AAATTATTTTTTTTTTAAAAAAAAAAAAATGTATATATATATAATTTCTAAACAATTATTTTAACAAGGATTATATATATTCATTGAACTTTACCTGATTTTTGTACAGAATAAACAACAATAAATAAATTTGAAAACATTGAATAATACACCTAAAAAGATTTAATTTATTACAAGAAAAAATGTTCAAGTTCAAAAAATAAAATAAAATAAAAATTTTCAAGATTTTAAATTTTTAGGATAACCATTAGGATTTAATAAGCTATCATGATTGATTCGGGGACCATTACCGATACGAGTATGTAAGATTTGTTTGACACTATCGTCAGGAAAAACAGGAATAATATTTTCATTAAAATTATTAGGCAAAGATAATTTTCCAATGTTTTCTTTTTCATTAGGAAATAAATTATAAGGATCTGAAAAATATGAAACATTATTTTTACTAGGAGGAAAATACTTTGAAATGATGTTTATAATTTCCGGAATATTTTGTTTTAAAGCGTAAATTACAGCATTCGGACCAGCATCAAAAGTGTAAGCTGCTTTAAATTCGTCAGGTCTGCCAGTTGTGTTATTATATTCAGTAATAACACGAATTATAGAACGAGAAACATCATTAAGATAAAAAATAGGTGGAAAAGTATCTAAACAACAAGCATGAAATTGATTTGAATCTTTCATAGTTATTTCAGCAAATTTGTTGAAATTCTTATGTAGAATAGCATTAGTCATCGATTTCATACGTTCAGGAACAACATTATTAATACGATACTGTAAAAGAGTTGAAGTTTTTACAGTATTTTGCATTCCTTCAGTACTACTCGTACCTTTTTTTGCATCACTTACGATACAAATTAACGCTGCTAACTCAGGCCAATGATCATGAGGAGCGATTTGTAATGCTTGACTATCAGAACCGTCTTGCTTGATACCCATTTGCCAATTAACAAATCCCCCAAATAAAGAACGACAAGCAGAACCAGAGCCTTGTCTTGCAATCTTCGATAATTCGGTGGTGGATATGGGTAGTTCATATAATTGTGATAAAGTGTAAACCAAACAAGCAAATCCTGATGCTGAACTTGCTAATCCTGCCGCTGTAGGAAAATTATTTTCCGAGCAAATATGTAGATTATACGAAGATATCGGTTGTACATTATCTATTCCGATTTCATCACTTAATTGGTCTTCATATTCTTTACGTAGTTTCTTTGTTGCTCTTAAACAATTTTGAAGACGAATGTTATTGTCGAGGTTATGTTCTTCGACGCCATTAAGCCATAAACGCGTTTTTGTGAATTTTGGTGAGGCTCTAATTGTGGTTTTACTTCGTAATTGATCTTGCGACAATGTTATTGAAATTGATGAATTTGTTGGTAATATCAATTCTGTATCTCTTTTCCCCCAGTATTTTATAACCTTTCAAAATTAAATAAAATTTATATAAAATACGCACATATATGTTTACATACATATAAAAAGAAAAAAGTATGAAATTTTTTTGCACTTACAGCAATATTCACCGGACCAGTTGAAGTTCTTTCATGCGCCATATTTTTTATTTGATTTTTTTTTGATTTTTTTTTTTTCGAAGTTTTACCCTTTCTTTTTTTTTTTTTCTGAAAAAAAAAACCCAAAATATTTTGTAATGTTTAGGTAATGATCGGCAGATGTTTACAGTACTAAGTAAATATAATTCAATTTTCACCATTTATATCATAATTACTATGGAGCACATGATGTACGCAATTTGATGCACGAGAAAAAAGTTTATTTATAAGCATAATTTAAATTTTAGAGATCGCTTCTTTTCTTTTATATATGCGTATATATAATGACATTGAAATACACTGACGTTAGCGAATTTCCTCAGGTACTATTTGTATCCATCTAAAGAAAGTGATTTATTTAACTATGAAAAAATTGATTTTTCCTTTATAATAGATTATCGAGGAACTTCAAAGTTCTTTTTCAAATAATTTAACGAGACCGTTAAATTATCGTAAAAAACAACTTGAACAATTATATAATTTATTGGATGAAAACGAACAAGAATTTTGTGAAGCATTATATAATGATTTGCATAAACATAAAACTGAATCATTGTTAGGAGAAATTAATATGATAAAACAAGATTGTTTAGATGCAATTGAGCATTTAGACGAATGGACTTCTCCAGAATATGTTGAAGTTGGTCTTGCACATAAATTAAATAGATGTCATATTAGAAAAGATCCTGTTGGTAAATATTACTTTTTTTTATGGAATGTTGTTTGAATAGGCTATATATATTACTAATTTTATTTTGATTTTTTTTTTTTTTTTTAAAAAAAAAAGGATTAGTTCTTATAGTTGGAGCATGGAATTATCCAGTTAATTTGGTATTATTACCTTTGGTAGGAGCAATAGCAGCAGGATGTACCGCAATAATTAAACCATCAGAATTGGCAATAAACACAGCAACAACAATTGACGCACTACTACCGAAATATTTGGATCAAAAAGCTTATAAATGTATTAATGGAGGAGAAACGGAAATGACAAATTTATTAAAATATAAATTTGATCATATTTTTTTTACAGGATCAGGTGCTATAGGTAAAAAGATTATGTTGGCAGCATCAAAACATTTAACTCCAGTTACACTTGAGCTGGGAGGAAAAAGTCCTGTAATATTAGATGAAAATATTAATTTTTCAGTTACAGCGAAAAGATTAATTTGGGCCAAATCATTTAATTCGGGTCAAACATGCATTGCACCTGATTATATTTTATGTACTAAAAAAACTCAAAAGGCTTTACTTAAAGAAATTCCTAAAGCATTAAAAGATCAATTCGGTGACGATATTCAAAAATCTCCTGATTATGCTCGTATAATTAATCAAAGGCATTTTGATCGTTTAGCAAAATTATTAGAAAAAACCAAAGGAAATATTGTGGTTGGAGGAAAAATTGATCGGGATGATTTATTTATTGAACCTACTTTTGTTGAAAATGTACCTAAAAATGATAGGTTAATGGAGGATGAAATTTTTGGCCCTATTTTCCCTATTGTTACTGTAGATAATATTGAAGAAGCCGTTAATTTTATTAATGAAAAAGAATATCCTCTTTCGTTATATCCTTTTAGTAACGACAATAGCACTATCCAATACAGTAAGTAAAGAATCAAAAATGAGAAATGGATAAAAAGAGAAATGTGTTAAAAATTTTCTCTTTTTTTTTAAGTTTTGAATAATACCCGATCTGGTGGAGTAACCGTCAATGACTGTCTTATTCATGCTACTGGTAAGCTAATACTCAATTTTTCTTATCTCTTTTCATCTCATAATCATCTCATTATTTATTTTTTAGTTCCAACTTTACCGTTTGGAGGAACGGGAGCATCAGGAATGGGTGCATATCATGGACGTAAATCATTCGAAGTATTTACACATAAAAGAAGTGTATTGACATCACCATTTTTCTCGGAGAAATTATTAGAAGGAAGATATGCCCCATATAAAGAAACAAATTACAATATATTAAATTGGTTATTGTTTTCTAAACCAAAATTTACTAATAAACGTAGTAGAGGAAAATGGAAAATCAAGAATATTTTTGGAGTACTATGTATCATTATTGTTGCTTATGTTCTTAAGAAAAAGTTCATTAAATAGAAATGATGGAAGAGAGAAAGCAGAATTCCAGATTCGAGAGAGATAAAAATATATTGTAAGTTATAAACTTTTTTAATTTATATTAAATATTATAAATATTTGAACTTTTAAGAGTTCACTATATTTTCAATTATATATGCTTGACAAATTGCATTTTATTTACAAAAAATAATTTAAAAACGAAAGATGAAGGACTATAACACAAAAAATCTTATTCAGAAAAAACAAAATGAAGAACTAAAACTAATTGAAAATAAAATACAATTATGAATTCCTGTACAAAAAAATTTTAAGCATACTGATTATAACTTGATTATGAAAGAAAATATTTCATTTTATTCCATATCCATATCAAATACACCATGATCATGATGATCTTTATTATCTACAAAAGAAAAGTATGTCAATAAACGATCCAATCAAATACAGTAACGTCAATAACCTACCATGAGCATCATCATCACCACTTTCAGTACCATTTGTATTATTATTATGTTGTTTGAACTTAATAGGAAGAGTTTGTGGAGGGGCTAGGTGACCTTCTACTTGAGTTGTTTTAACATTATTACTATTAGATTTTGTTGAATTGACATTTTCGGTATGAGGAACTTTCGTTACTCCGGGGACATAAGCCAGATTAGATGGAGGAGTTTTTGCCAACGGGGAATGAGCAAGATTAAGTAATGTTGTACGATCATAAATAATTCTTGAGCCTTTTTAACCAAAGTTGGTAATTAGTTAAAAGATTGATTAGTTAGGTAAATTAGTTTTAGCAACTAGTTAGAAATTTGATCTTTTGATCCTAAGGGAAGCAACCTAATCGACAAATTTTTTCTTCTATGGAAATTATGTTTATAACGCGTCGTAATATACTTTACCTCCAGGTGTACTAGAATAAATTGTTCCTGAAGGAGTTGTGCTGTAATGTGCCGGGAGCGATGCTCCGGATTCGGCTTTTTTTATAGTAGGGATATCCCTAGCAGTAGCAGCAGTTGATGACATATTTAAGTAATGCTAAAATATATATTAATATTTGATTTCTATAAAATATAAAATATAATAATAATAATAATAATAAAAGGAAATGATTCTAAATCGTGATCTAGCCACTTTTATTTGCAATTAAAGATAAAGAAAAACCAACAAAACTGGTTATTTGAAATTAGATGTTGAAGAAACACTTCTTTATATCTTAATTACATATGATCCAGTCATGAGTCATGTTATTCAGTTACACAAAAAAATTCCACACATTGGTTATTAGTTCTACTTTGTCATAATTAATATGCATAGTGCAAAAATTTCTATAATAGGAATTAAGAAAATCGGGAACCTGTGATTGGATTTAAAAAATGTATCACGTGAAAATATTTTTAATTATGTGTCAAATCATGATTTTGTAATGCTTTCAAATGCTCTTAGATTCAACCTATGACCTTACACGAGATCAAATGCATATGCATTGGTGGATCAGATTTCAAATTATTTTATTTATTTTCCATTTATAGCATAATTACGTGGCTTTCAATTTATGGACGAAAAAAAAAAAATTGGAAAAATTATTCCTACTCCCTTTCACATAAAAAATTCTTAATTATTCAATATTTTGTATGGTATATATGGTAAATCGGGTTTAATTAACTTTTTTTTAGAAAGAAATACGTCCGGCAAGTTCCTATTTTTTAATCGATTCGGCTATTTTCATTGATTATACATTATTATATCGGATCACAAAGCACAAAAAAAAATAAACAAAGATAATTGAGTGGTTCATTCTCATTAAATTATACATGTTACATAAATTAAGCATTACATTTTTTAATTTATACTCTTGTGATACACTTTGATTCGTACACTTGATTTTTTTGATGTGGGCGTACAGATATGAAGTTATCAATTACCTAAAAAAGGCCTTACACGGTTTTTGGTTTAACCAATACTTAAAAAAGATTTAAATATTTGAAAATAATTTTCTATTTCGCTACTTTTTTTAAAATAAAACTTGATCTTAACAATCTCTTACCTTTTTACCATCTTAACACACCACAATTTTTTTTTTATTAAAAATCTAACAAGAGACTTTGTTTCTTTATTATTTTCTTATACAATCTTTCTAATAAAACTTTTTTACACACATTAAAAATGCCTCCATCAACAAACTCGACCGAACAACAAAAGTATACAGGACGTATTGGTAGTTTAAGTCCTCAACAAGAAGAAATATTAGATAAATTCCGTCAAGAAGTTAAGGAAGAAGGAATATTTGATGAAAGACGTCATGACGACGCATGTTTACTAAGATTTTTACGTGCACGTAAATTTGATTTAGTTAAAACAAAAAAAATGTTTACGGATTGTGAAAAATGGCGTAAAGAATTTGGCGTAGATGAATTAGTAGCCACATTTGATTATAAAGAACGTGATGAAGTAATGAAATATTATCCAAGATATTATCATAAAACCGATAAGGATGGTAGACCAATTTATATTGAAGAAATTGGTAAGGTTGACGTAAAGGCTTTATATCAAATTACGACAATTGAGAGACAAATTCAAAATTTAGTTGTTGAATATGAAAAATTGGCCGATATTAGATTACCTTCTTGTTCTGAAAAAAATGGAAAATTAATTGAAACTTCTTGTACTATTCTTGACCTTAAGGGAGTTAGTATACGTTCTTTTTCGAACGTTTTTGGTTTTGTCAAACAAGCTTCTAACATCGGTCAAAATTATTATCCTGAACGTATGGGTAAATTTTATATAATTAATGCTCCCATGTTATTTTCTTCTGTTTGGAATTTAGTTAAACCTTTGTTAGATGAAGTAACTGCCGCTAAAATTGTTATTCTTAATTCAAAATATCAACCTACTTTATTGGAAAACATTCCCATTGAAAATTTACCCGTCGCTTTCGGTGGTAAATGTGATTGTGAAGGAGGCTGTCAGCTCTCGGATGCAGGTCCATGGAAAGAATCTGGTGCTATTAATGGATTGGTAACAAATGGTTCAATATCTAATGCTGACAAGAAATAGACGATCTTTTTAAATTTAGTTATATATATTTAAAGAGGAATAAAAACTTGGACTTTTTTTATTAATAATATATAGAGTATTCTTTAGTTTCAATGTTTCCATTATTATTATTGTTTTTATTTTATAGATTAATATATTATCAATTTTTAATATAATAAAAATTGGAAACAAACTTTTTTTTTACAATTGATAATTCAATTGATATTGATTTTATTTACAATATGAAATCCTACAAAAAAAAAAAAAAAATCTTCATTCATCACTTTTTTATATTTGGTATAATTAGTTATACTGCAAAATTATTAAACGTGTTTAACATTGACATTTGATTTACTTAGCTAATTAATGCTTGATGCTTGAGAAAGTGATGATTTTCTCAATTCGGCAAAGAAATCATTGCCATTCGCCATTAAATTTCCTAAAAAAAAGTATTAATATATATATTATGGTAACAAAGTTATCTAAAAAATATTTAAATTCTGAATTAACCTCTTTGTCCCCATACTTGCCCACTTCTAACTTCCCAAGTAGTAGATTTATGCAACTCCGGCTTTTCTAAAAGAAGGCCAAATTAATTTTAAATTTGATTATAACAGATTTATTTATAATTACCGGCTTCGGGAAGATTATTATCATAATATTGGCTCAATGCTTCCTTCCAAGCTAGATAAAAAAAATGATTTTTTTCTTAATCTAAAATTTTAAACTTGAATCACACAATACGTTAAGAGTAGTTACAGTTATTCAAAAAATTTGAAACTTCTTGAGCATTAAAATTATTAACAGGGGAGTGTTCTAGAGGCCGTTTCACACTAGGCAAAGATGGACCAGGAACGGTCGCTGATACAAATGAATTATGATTTGAAGTAAATGATGCTGAATTTAGTGTGGCCGTTGAATAAGGAGTGATCGTCCCTGATGTTGATAGTAGAATTAATATTTAATGACCTTTCTTTTTTAACCAATACTATTTAGTACAAGATACAAAAAATTATTCAAATTAATTAATTCTTACCGAAAGAATTTTTTCTATTATTATAATTATTGTAGTAGTTCGTTTGTTTTTTGAAACTAAATAAAGACAAATTAAATGAATACGCATACGATAATTTTATGCCGAAGTTAAAATTAAATACTACTGTCGGTCATCTTCTCGTGCGCCTGTCATAATTTTAAAAAGAACGTTCATAAAAAGAAATTCTACGTGTTTTTTCAGGGTTTGTTTTTTTTTGGTTCCAAAAAAAAAAAAAAAATCTAAAATCAATTACAAAACCATCGTTTTTGATTGGCAATAAAAATTATGTAAGATAGCGGATCGCCAATCACATGAGATCCCATAATTTTCTCAACCTTGAAAAACCATATATAAGCAATCGATATCCGCTTCCTAGTATTTTCATACTTACCTGGCGCGGCATCTCTGTGATCAACAAGGCAGAGATGCGGGTGATGGTTGCTGGCATTGCACAGCGCTGGCGGCTACTGCTCCGAACATCCGCATGGATGTCTCGAGCGCATAATTTCTGGTAGTTGGGGTTGTCATGGTTCGCCGTGGCCACCCCTATTTTATCTATTTTAGCGGGTTTAGGGTGTAAAAGGTGACAGGTATTTTATAATGATCATGGAGTTGAGGACCCACTCTGCAAATGGGTTTATAATTTTAAAGTTTAAGTTGTTGTTTTTCTAAAACTAAGGGTTTACAAATAGTTAGTTATAACTGTACAATCTCGCCATACAATAAACGATAATCTATAATCTGTAATAAATAAATATAAATATCTCTTTGGAATCATTTCTATGGTATCTTCGTGAGTCCCACGCTCAGATCTAAAAAAATAGATTGGAAATCTTTATTTCAAATCGATATGATTAATATATTGTTTTTCGAGCTTGTAGCAATTCAATGCGCATAAATATATTAAATTATCAATTATTCGGTATATTACAATCATTTAGTCCAATAATTCCAGATTGATACTTTGATATTACGCGATTATTCAAGGAATTCTAAATGACTTCACTGATTTTCACCTCCTAGTATCCAACATTAAAATTTAATTAAAAAAATATGCCGCTAAAAATACCAAAGAATTATAAAAACATTGTTGATCAGCGTCGTTATTCGTTGAACATCACCCTTGGTACACTTTGTTTACTATATTAAGAAAAGATATTTTCTTAAACACGAATTACTAATTAACTGCAGATAAATTTATCATTTGTTTTACATCGAATTATGTGAAATATTTCATTTCATTTTATATTTTAATATTGATAATTGGTTTAAAATTAAAAAAATTTTATCAATTGTGTGATAAATATTTTATTGAATTAACGATTTAATTTAGAAATTTATATACTTTAGTAAATTATTAATCCCAATCCTTTTTGATATCAAAAGACTAATAATTAATTGGAAATATTATGTTAAAATCGGTATAATGTTCTAACTATATAGGTAGAGATCAATTATGAAATAACACTTACCCAGGACCATTCAATGTGGGTGGCGTTATCATCATCGATAAATTTGCTCTATTTTAAAATACGAAAATTAAATACTGCTTGATTATTTTTAGAATCATAAATTATTTTAAGTCTCACTAACCTTTGCTTCATAATGTCCACGTGCAAGCATACCGCTGGGAGCTTCTTCAACCATGAACTATGTATAATAAATAAATTCATAATTAAAAAATGTATCAGCTAAAATATAACAAATAAATATATCACATACCTTCTTTTCGTAAGGTTCGGCGTTTGGGCCGTAACTTCCAATCATTTCTTCTGTTTTGTCGACCCTGATTCCCTTTCTCTTGACAACTTGTAAATATTTTAACCCGGAAACAACATCATGTTGTATTCTATATAATAAGTAAAAATATATAAATTGAATATCGCACGATTTTTCCGAAAATATAGAAAATATAGAAAATATAGAATTTACCTAAATTTGACTTTCAAACGATATTCCACGCCTTCTTTGATCGTGAATGGAGTATTTTTAACATTTTCAAGTTTTTCTATAAAGAAAAAAAAAATTAATTTGCTGTTCATAAAATTCATCATTCATGATTATCAATTATAATAAAAATAATAAGAAGCAACCTGGAGTTGATAAGTCTAAAACAACATCATCTCTTCCTTCAACTTCTAATGCAATTTGCAAGATAACAACCTAATTTCGAAGATAATAAACGAATATGTTTAACGTGTAAAATTTTAATAGAATGAAAATAATCAGTGCATACTCTTCGATGATCGTCAGCAGGGCCTAAAATAAAAGTATAAATTAATCTCGCCGTAAAATTCTATTCATAATAAGATGTATACTCCTTACCGGTTGAAGTAGAGTTTAACCCGAGGGATGCTTTCCATTTTGCAAGAGATTCATCGTCAGCATCTAAATCTTTATATTCGTTGATGCTTTTCTTTTCACCAACTTTATAACCCGCTGTTTGACTAGGAGTCAAATCATCGTCTTGATCTGATACGTTTGACATGTTATTGGAAAAAACTCGAGAATATAAAATATAATTAAGGGTAAGATGAACAAAACTACGTTGCTATATATTTTTTACATTATTTATAAAAAATTTATTGTCAGACTTTTCATTTGATTGGTCGATAATCAAATGCAAAATTATATGCTTCATGCTTTATTTATACATGCCGTTAATTAAAGTTTAACGAATGTCATTTATTATGGCTATTGGTCAGATTCATAAAAGATCTACCTTGTGTAGTCTACGTAATACAAGTTGGGATTTATTAAACTACATTAATTAAATATGATATATTAAACTAATTTCTTACGATAATAGTAATTCTACAAATATTAAATAACAGTATTTGAATTATTTTTACAAAGTTTTTTGATATTATCTTTTTTCCTTCGGCCTGTCTTTAATCTATTTATCATACATCATTCCGTGCATTGTTATCATTAAAATCTCTGGCCATCCCAATTTCATCCCCGTTTTCTCTACTCCAAAATCCCCAAAAATTATACAGCAAGAAAAATACTCCTATAATACAAAGAATTAAATAACACAAATGTTGTCTGTGTCTTATCGATGTCATATGTTTAAGTTTTCCCACAGTTCCGTTTAAGCCTCCTCTAAGTGATGTAAATGAATTTCCCTATATATATTAAGTAAACGTTAGATCTCAATAAAAAAAAAAAATAATAAATAATAATTAAATAAATGAGAATAAAAACAAACCGATTCATCAAGGACATTATTAACTTGGTCATTAACATCATTATGAATATCAAGTGTGATCTAAAACGTTCCAGTTAAAAAGAGAAGGTAATATTAGAAATACATACAAATCTTTTCAGACCCAGTTTATAGTAAAATAGTAATTTACTTTGTGTAAACTGGATAATTTTGAACTTAAATCTTGCAATCTTAAATCATTTTGTTGTTCAAATGTATTATTCGTATTTATATCATGATGTTTTATTTTCCTTCCTGTTGAGAGGAAAGAATCACTGTTACTACCACCTGAAAGTAAATTTGCTCGATCTGAAGATCTAGATGTATTGTTTGTCCAGTAACTTGTATTATTCATTTTATCAAAGTTTATAAAAAATTGGAAGAATTTGAGCTTAAAAGATAAACGTAAACAGAATTTTAATTTGACGGCTTTGAAACTAAGGTTTTTTATCAACCGATGAAATTTCCGGATTAAGTAGATCATCTACTATATAACTAGCTAGCTTTGGAAAATGCATTTAAATAACACTTTTATTGCGAATACAAAATTAATCTATATAAATTAGAAACGATCGACACAGAAATTATAATAAACTATTAAGATAGCATTTAATCCTTAAAATACCACTTTTATGCATAATAAGACGGTGAAATCAACATATCAGATAGAATAGATAATTGATCCTCCGTAAATTGTTTCATGTCTTCGTGCCAAGAATCCTGATGTGTTCTCCTAAAATCTGCAAATGTCTTCTTGACAGTTGTCTTAACAATTAAAAAATATACGGTTAGTAATGTTAAAAACAAAAAAGTTGAACATTTTAGGGATGACATACCTGTATAGGAACAGGGTCTGATATACATTCTGCAAGTTTAACCAAAACTTCGGGCATCCATTTTGGAACTTCATATGGGAAAGCATCAATCAAACAAGATAATCCAAGAACAGCTGCGTGGCGAGTAAGTACAGCTTCTTGAAAGCCTGGGGGTAATGCTGCTCGGGGAGCTTGTCCTGTACGTTTGCGTGGCGGGATTTTTGTCCCTAACAGCTTAGTGAATTGATCCTGAATAAAAATAAAATGACATTAATAACATTTATAATTAAATAAATTCTATAATGTTTGATCTAATCCCCACTTTTAATTTAGATATTGCTTCTCTTTGTGAACATCGAATTAGACCCGATAGTGTAACTGCAGCCAATTGACGGACCTTAATGTAGTAAAGTAGTTTAGAATACTCAGTATACAAACATATGAAAAGATGTTAAATTACCTCAATTTGATTATCTTTCAGCATTCCGGAGACTACATCCATTACTTTATCTGTCTTATCTTTACTTAACATAAAAAGATGTTTAAAGAAAAAGACCTGAAGCACAGGTAAAGCTTTTACTCTAACATGCCAACTTGAAGATTCCGTCAAGATCTCAACAAATTTGTCAATCATCATCGGTACCATATCAGGAGGATATGGATAGGATGCGATAATATTCAAGACATGGGTAGCCATGACTTGAAGATCTTGGTCATCATTAACGTCCTGCATGAGGAATACAGAAGGTAATAAAGGAAGTATCAATGGATATGTTCCAGTGGACTGCCACGTTGTAAGAGCATCATAGAGCCATGCAAGTACTAAACAAATATAAAAATTAATTAGTTAAAAGAATAAAAATCGTCGATCAAGGTGCAATTATATTTACTTGTCTTGCTAGCATTTCCGTATTCTGAAGATCCAGCTGCTGCTGGCCTTTTTTCCGCACGCCAGATTTCCAGCGATTTTACCAAATCCGATAATATTTGTTGAAAATTTCCATTTAATTTCGATGCTACAAACCCGACACCCTCGCCAACTTGGAGATTGCTCTCAAGTATTTCTGTAACATTAGCAGCAGAAGGATACCATTGTATTTGCAACACCAGATTAATATTTGCTGCTATAGTATCGCGTACTTGTTTATAAGGATGACGAATATTTGCGAAATATTCATCTAATAACGGTTGTGTTCTCGGTAGCATTCGCCATGAAAAAGAATTGAGAAGTGTGCTTACAAATAATAATTCCTTTGCTTCTGCAAAGGAAGCATGAGATGTAGGGTCGATATGTGAACTTAAAATCAAATCAACAAGAGGCAACACTCGTCGTGGGTCACGATTACGCTGCAATGTCATAATACGTAGTAAGTATATAAAAATTTTCATCCTATAAGGGAAAAATATATTACATACCAGGACATAACTTAGGAACCTCTCCCAATATACAAGAGAATCCGGAGTGACTGAATTAAAAGTGTGTTCTAATAAAGGAATTAACCAATTCCATAATGCCTGTAATCTATTAAGAGGCCAATGCTTGCTCCCTCTTATAATACCTGCCAATATTTCCGTTGCAGCACGTTGCTGATTCTTCTCCGATGATTCGCATAATTTAGTTACCTCTGGTTTAACGATCTCTAAGAAAGAATCCTCATAAATCTGGAAAATACTTTTAAATAAATTTGCATTGCTGGTAGAAAAATTGTCTTCTCTATCTCGTGAAATTTCTTGTGATAGATATGATAATAAAGTAGACCAAAACTTAGAAGATTCAAAACTTTCAAGTAATTTTTTATAAGCAGCTTCAGAATCTGGATTAAGTTTTGGCATAACGCTTGTTGCAGTACGTGGTGAATATACCTCAAACTTTTCAGGCCATAAATACCATCCAACACTAACTTTATCTTGAAGAATCCTATTTTTATTAGATTAATAGTGCATAATTAATTTATTACGAGAATTTAATAAATAAACTAATAAGCGAAATAAAAAATTATTTGATACAAACATATTTTTTGCATTACTTTCATCAACTGGAGTTAGGCCCGATATTAAGTAGTTGTCTGTATAACCTTCTGGTAAAGGACATGGTGTTTCGTAAGTTCTTTTTAAAGGATTTTCCGATTTACCTAAAGTTATTAACTCAAGGTCACCCTTAATAAATGTTCTTTGTTTCATATAAAATAATATTCTCGTCGTTGTTGATATAGCTATACGTCTTAAGGCAGGAAGTTCTGAAGTTAAGCCTTTGGCTACATGCTCTGCTAAATCTACAGTGGTTGGTGCCTCTGGTCGTACTAAAAGATCTAAGAAGTTCGAAGCCATTGACTCGAAGCGCCAATGAAGCGTATTTGATTTGACCAAATTTAAAAGAGTATCGACCTATATATAGATAATTATTTAATTGAAATTTGTTGAAACAAAATTAACATAACTTTAAACCTACAAGATTATAATATTCTCTTTTTTGCATAGCTAATCTATCCTCTGCTTTTTTCCGAATTTTATTATACTTATTTTCATTCATATTAATCGAAAGAGTCTCTAAGGCTTGTTTTATTGCTTTATCCAAGTTATCAGTAAAAATCGTCTTTAATGCAGTATTATTATAGTTCATAAGGTAATCGTAAAATACTTTGCGTATCATTTCTTGTACCGAGGGCTAAATAAAATTAAATGAGAATGTAATAATTTTTATCTTACTTCTTTATAAGATAGAATAATGAAGAAATTCACAAACCTTATCATCATGCTGAGCTTGACAAATTTGAATAATAAATTTAGGCACAAACCGCCAATCCCTCAGGCACGTATACATGTATGTCCGGGAACCAAGCAAATATAGTGCACCTTTCATCCTTTCAGAGTTTGGCTTGTCTAGTATATAAAGCAATTTTAACAAAAATTCCAAAAAAGGTTATAATTAATTCAGATAATTCAGTAGATTTTGAATACCAGTAGGCTTTAAAGCATCCAATAAAATTGGAATAATAAGGGGTTTTGTGCCAATAAAGCAACGAGACGCGTTTGTCAAATGAGATTGTGCTATCCTGAAAAATTTGAAAAAAAAAAAATTAAATAAAAAATGAAAAAAAAAAACTATTACATATAAATTTGAAATTTCGTACTTTCGAATTTCTGAGTATGAACTTAGCGATAATTCAACCAAATCCTTTAGTAAATTATCATGCAATCGTGTTCGAACGCGACCAAATGCGTTTTGTTTTAAACGACACAAGTGCTGTTGATAAGCTCGTTTTACTACAGACGATAAATAAAGCGATTAAGGTAATTTAGATAATTTATCCAATAATATTTAAAGAAAATGCGAGATTAATTTACCAAGCAAATAGCGCGGATATTTCTTATCATGACGAGAAGTCTTCAACATGTTTTTCGCATATTGATAACCGCGTTTACTCGCATCATATTTGGATTTTTCAACTCCCCGATCTGTGAGATAAATTTTGATCATCTAAAACAATAAAACTATAAATAAATATGATGTATCGTATTTCAACATAATAAATAAATAGAAATAACGAACCTTGAGAAGGATTTTTAAACTTTCCACATCATCTTCCCGTTGAGTTCGGAAATATGTAACAAGCCTATGAAGGAATTCGCCCAATTCTTTTCGTAATTTTCGTGCGCCTTGTCTTCGTGGATCGTTAGAATCTGAGAAGCAATAACCAGCAGGTATAGATTTTGTTGGTCTTACAGCTTCGGTCTCTTCATCTCTATAATGTCAAAATTTGTTAATCTTTTTTTTCCAGAATTCTGAAGTGGTTGAGATATCAGCTTCATAATTTACTTGAATTCCGAAATATCATCATCACCGTCGTCTTCTACTAAAGTAGTCATTCCACTAAGACAATTTCTAACCACACTGAATCGACGACAAAATTCGTGAGTCAATTCACGGTTGCTTAATACCTTTCCGTTTTCGTCAGTTTTATTTGTCATTAAGTCCTCGATTCGACTAAGAGTAGGTTTTAAGAAAATATCTATTATTTCCATTGCAAAATCGATTTCTGGGTCTGTTGGTACATGCCAATCAATGTTAATATTCTCGGGACATCCTGGTTCAACCCAATATTTATGATGGTTTTTTATATATTCTAAAACAGAATAAAAATTTTCAATATATTAAACTTTAAGTAAGGTATTGGAGAAGAATTTTATTTCACCTTCGGAATTCCATCGTTCCGGATCAACATTTCGGCATTCTAAAGGATATATTTGCGTCAATGCCACTAACATCATCCGAATGAATTTTCCTGTCCACATGTAACCTTTCCTTGAACGACATCTTTGCACCATTTCTTTCCCTAACTCTATCAATTCTTTTTTGTATTTAAGTAATTCAGATCCACTCGACATAGCTACATGATAAAGAATACACTGATACCAATGTAATGTCGTGTCAGATTGGATATGATGCGTTGATGAAGTAGTTGGTGTTGATGATGCACCATGTTGAAGTTCATTAAGGATATTTGAATGACAGAGCGGAATGAATTGGGCAAGCGCCTTGCTTCGGTTAGGACTAGTAAGAGTTGAACATAAATAACCTATAAAAAATTCAGTTGGTTATTACAAAATCGAATTTCCGAGTTTTCATTTCAAATCCTCACCCATTGGTTTGGTTGCGTTCTGGAGTACTGTTGTGGACGCAAAATTAATAACCATTTTCAGTGCCATATCTTGAAGTTGCTCAGACATTTGAATACCAACTATCTCACAAGCATGCTACATAAATTCAATAAAATAATAAATTCATTGTTATAAACTTGTAATACAAATTATAGTATTTTACCAATAACACGGTGACCAATCCTGTTTCCATGTTATGTAAAGTTAATTTTCCTCGTTCCTGTTGTGGAAGATATTCGAACTAATTAACGTAAATTCAAGTAAAGGAATATATAAATATTTACTATGGTTGATTAATATAAATGATTAAGCGAAGGATACAATTGTAAAGACGCGTCTTAAAAATTTTGCAAGCCATTCTTCAAATTCCGCAGTACTAGCTTTGCAAAAAGCATCTTCCTCCTGTTCATCAATTTCCATATTGTCTTCTTCTCTTTCGTCAATGTCCATACCGGTCCATCTGAATCCAGACTCAACGGAACTACCTTCAGTCAAATCTCTTAACGGGACTCCCATGATCGCATGTGTCAAAAATATTAAAGATGAAATTGTCTTTATTGGATCATTCATATCAATACCAGGAATTGTTAAATGAAGAAGGGGTGCTAAATGCTTTCCTCCAGCTGGATAATGAAATCGAGAAAATAATGGAATGGCCAAAAGAGAAAGTGCAGAAATCGAAGATGTTGTCCTATGCGTCTTATAGCCATTATAAGAAATTACTGAAATTTAATGTACCAAATTATAAAAAATTAATAAATCAAAGAAATATTGTTACCTCGGTCAAGGTTTCAAGAGAAGGATAAACACGTTCTAACAACCCAGGGCAAATTAATGTAGGCTCCAGCCCTAAATAATAATTCAGTATAAGTGTAAAATTGTGGAATTATGTATTATATTATGTAATTTATCAAATTATGAATTATTATTAGTAATGATAAGATACATGCTAAATATTTCAAAGCTGCCTGACTTGAACCAACAGACAATGAATCCTTTCCAAACATTGACAGGAATGTGACACCTCTAAGAGTGAGAACAAACTGGCGTCTAAGTTCTGGAGTCAATCGACGCGATTCTGGAGTTTTACATTCCGGCTTGTTTTCTGAAAATTGTTTATACGATTCGTTAAATTTTTAAAGGACTACAAGAATGTTATCATCGATAAGAATTAACGGCTCACCATCTGTCCATCGCTTTAAGAATTCCCAGCCAAGAAATTGTAAAAACCTGACGATAGAAAATGTCCATCTACCAAAATTACTTGGATGATAAAATGATTCAGTAGCTTGAATCATGTTTGATAAGTGTGTAAGAGTCGTTTCATCTTGTGAAGATGAATTAGGCGATGAAAATATCGTATAAACAATAAATCTAGCCAACATCTTAAATTTGTCCTAATAATAAAATAAATAGTGAAATGCTATTCATCCGAATTGACCAGTGAGAGATTAATAATATTAACTTACAACTTTCTTCCTTAACATCATAGCACTCCCAGCTCTCTGATCTACTCGTGCAGACCATCCAAATGATCCACCACCTCTTCCATAATTATTATTGCCATTGCTTGAACTACCAACAGGTAATTCCATCATTTTTTGACCGGTTGCAAACACAGTTTTGACTTGATATTGAGTGAAAATCCCAATATTTCCAGGTTTAATATCTTCAACTACTACATTCTCCTCGGCAACACGAGCCACAAGATCAATAAATTCTGTTTGAAAGAGTAATAATCCAGGAACGAGATACCAAAATGAAAATATTGTTGGTAGCCATTTTGCAGGTGAATACTCGGGTGTTTTTGAAGGTCCAATTGGAAGGAAGCGAACTAAAAATGCTTGTACAGTAAAAGCGTCTCCAACGTTATTGGCGTGAAAAAGTGGAAGTACCCTGGCAAGGATATCTTTCGTAGCCTCGGGGGGGAAAAATCTACAAGAGATTGATGAATTAAAACTCAAATTTTGTTATTATGGGTTTAGCAGAGATTTTTTTTTTACCTCTGAGCATGTTCTACTAAACGAACTACAGCCGATATTTGTTTACTAAAAAAATAGGATGTGATTTAAGGACACACATATTCATATAACGGATCATTTGAAATTAAAAATATATTGTGAGATAATATTTAGGATACGATTCACTTATTAGAGTTTTTTGACGGCCTTTTGGAAAATATATTCTGTAAATCATATCAAATAACGGCTCCCAAGGTAGTGTCAGGTCTTCCGGCCCAATTTTATCTTTTTTTCTTTATTAATTCATTAAACAGATCAATAAATCAAATTATACCCAATTAAAGAAGTAAGAAAAAAATTCTAGTAAAACTGGCTATGCCTACTTGAGCAAGCGTACGCAAGTATTTGAAAAAACTTCAGCATGTGAAGTATCAATTCCCGGCGTAATTACAAGTTCAAAAAGAACGCGAGCTAATTGAGCGCGAGTTTGACAAGATAAGGGGTGTTGCAGGTCGAGATAGCTATGACAAAAAAAAAAAAATTATATCCGAAGAATTGGGTATTACAAAAAAAAAAATGTTAATTTATTTTTACGAATTCCACAAATGAACAATAATAAATAATTTATAAAACATTTAAGTTAAAAAAAAGTCGAGAATTTTGCTGCATTCTTACCCATTGAGTTGTTTTACCCAAAAACCACAACCCGGCCCCCAATCCTGAGCCTTCGCAGAGGAACATAAATTTTCAACTATTTCGTTTAATAAAGTGTCAGCTTCTCCTTCAAAAGAGGAGGAATAAGGAAGATTTTCCGAGAAAGTAGACATGTTATTAAGTTGGGCAGATTTAACTATGGATCTGAGCTTTAAATATTGATGCGTTAATGCAAAGTCCACATGGACCACATGCGTGATGAATAAGAAAATTTTCGTAGGTAGATAAAACGTAATCCAATGCTAAATCTTGACACATAAGGATATACGTAATTCTTTTTGTAAGATACGTAATTGCGATCGATATGTTGTACGAATATTCTGCGATTTGAATTTCCGATATATCACGTAATCACGTAATAAACCACCTTATCTCCCAACAAACTATTCGTTAATTCCTCATTTCTTCATCTTTTTAATTAATAATTCTTTGGTTAATACTTTTACATTTAAAAATTCAGATTAATATAATAACAGAATAGAAATCAAAACCAAAAAGTCCACAAGATGGTTTCTTGGTTCCAAAAGTAATCATTGTTGTTTAAAAAAACAAACACCAACTTACTATATTTGCTGAACAATTAACATTGTATCAAATAATCAAATAACTCGACCGCAGTATTTTCACACAAAAAAATTATGGTACCCCAAAAATCAAACTTCATTGTTTGATTGTGACGTACATTAGATGTTGATTAATCAGTTCCATTGGAACTTTGGTTCCAAGAATTCATCAGATGGTACTCCAACTTTACGTAATTTATTTTTTACATACATATTCAAATTTACTTTCGACCGTTTTTCTTTAAAATTCACAGTTAAAAAAAGAGGTCTATTTTTAACCTCACGCATTTTTGATTAAACTGAATAAATTTTTTAAAAAGCCACATTTAAAACCTAAGAGCATTCTTTTCATTTCCAAATAATAACTATAAATTCTTTTGGTGTTTAGCAAATCAAAAATATGTCGTATGAACAACGTTCAACTATTCTGCCTATTTCATCTGAAGCAGAGGCACTACGTCAAGCAGTCTTATTAACATTGAAACCAAACCGACGTGAGACAACACAGCAAAATGAAAATCAAGAAGGAACGACAACAATAGTTCATCCACAACAAACCGATGCAACTCAACAAGAAGAATCATTACAAAATGACAGATATACAACACCACCACCGAGATCTCTTCGACCTGAAGAGTGCTTTAATACACCAGAAGCTCAAATACTCGACACTCAAGCTGTATTAAAACGTCAATCCCCTTTTTCACCAGAAGAAGGAGAATATGTAAATTCCAGCGGAAGAAACTCCGATGAAGAAGACCCTCAGAGATTTATACCGATAACAAACCCGTTTAACGTAATGCAAGCTTCAGCAAACGGGACTAACTTTGAACGAACTGCTGGTAACTTATTACAAAGATATATTGAGGAGTCTCCCGAAATGACTTTTGTCTTTAATGGCACGGTTGTACGTCGTCCCCCAATGGAAGTGAACTTTGACGACGGATCGGATGCGGAAGATGACGATGCCAGAACTTATATAAGACGCTGTCGTCGGGTACCTACTCCCTGTCCACGAAATGAAGATCTTACGCCATCAAATTATATCTTGGATTATGTAGAAACATTAGAAGCATCACAGAACAATGATAATGAAGATGTAATGCAAATAGATTCAGAAGAACAAGTGAACGAGAATGATGGTACCGAATCAAATAATTATATTGTTTCTGATCGAAAGGGAGATGCTCCTATTTTACCTACCACAATTCTTAATAATCCAGCTCATGGAACAGGGACCATTGATGAGTTTAGTTCTAATAACAATTGCGCTTCAGAAATATCTAATGAAGTATCTCCTATGCGTGTTGATATTAATCAAATGTGCGAGGTTCCTTCTAACACCCCTTTTACATTCGATGAATGTTTTAATAAGACGGGTGATGACCCGCCTAATACCACTAATACGAATGGTGATATTCAAATTTTCAATGATATTAATCAAATAAACGATGATCTCATAAATTCAACTGGTGATGATCAAATGGCAGATGATGTTAATCAAATAAGAGTTCACACTATTAGTGATGTTCAAAATGGTGGCGATTTTAGTCAAATGAGCAATAGTTTTTCTCCTGTTCTCGCTCACCCTACCGCTGTTAGCCCAGATTATAATGGAAATGATAATGATCGGCTATTACCTGATGATACTATAATCACGAACGAAAGATCTTCTCAAATGAACGATATCCCTGCCCACAAAGTTGGAAGTCCAGTTGAAGAAGGCGAAATAGAAGAAGGTGAAATTGTCGAATCGGAGATAACTTTTGAAGAACATGGCGTTCAGGTTAAGAATACAGACGAAGAGACAAGAGAATTAATGAAAGAGCTCTATGAGGAATATGGTGCACAACCGTTTGATATCATTCAGGAAGGGATTCCGATCGATGTCGTAGTTCGTTTTACGAGAGAGCTCAATCACAGATTGCCACCGGAACTAGAGGTCTTTAGTGTTGTAACTCCAAGTGATCAAGTTTCTTTATCGACACAGGTAAATCCCGTCTTGCCTAGCGTTGAACCGGTAATCAAACTTGAACCAGTCGAAGACAATTTGCCAATTATCAATAACAAAAATGATAAACGCGAAAGTTCCTTGTTACCCACATCTTTTCAAGTTAGACCAAATTTTGATAGACCATTTATAACACCTCGAGAACAAAATTTTATTATCGATCTGAGTGATTCTTCAGACGGCGAACATCGTATTGCTGGCCTACTTCAGGAAGTTAAGTCGTCACTTTCTAACAATGAGACACAAATAGATGCTAAGCGAAAGTTAGAAGAGAAAGAGCGTGAAATAAAAAGAATGAACGAGTTGATTGCGAGTAAGACTGAATTGCTCAAAAAGAAATCTACGACAGCTCAACAAGCCTCAGCATCAACCGGATCGAATTTGGGAACGTCAATTGATACAATTCGAGCGGCGATAGAATCTTTTGAAACAGCAAAATCTCAGGTTTCGGAAGTTAAATCCCGCCTTAACGAAGAGGAGAAGAAGCTCGAAAATATTCGATCTGAACTAGCTGACAGGAATATAAAAATTGAAAAAAATAATTCGCTTGCCGGACAATATATAGAACAGATAAAAAGTTTTGATGTTCAAAAAGATCAGATGTTGCAGAATAGAGAAGAAATTGAACATCGTATTCGAGCACTTCAAGACGAACTTGTAAAAGTTCAGTCTCAGATTGAAGACATTGATAAAGAGAAAGAAGTTGCGAAAATAGAATTAGCCAAAAAGGAAGAGGATTACACTGAACAATTAAGGGCGAGAGAACAGCAAATGGAACAGGAGAAAAGAGTATCTGAAAATATCACTCAAATTAAGAGACAACTTGGACCGATTTTAAAAGATATTAAAGCCAAGAAAGAACAACTTTCGCAAATGGTCTCCCAGTCGACAAAACCTCGGAACGAGTCGACTTTGGCTGAATCATCGACATCCGTTTTTAACAAGAACGGAAAGAGGAGAATTGTTCACGAATCAGAAATTGTTCAAGAAGAGATTCCAAAAAAGCCTAAATTAGCACTAGAAGTAGCAGAACTTAGTAAGAAGATCGAGCAGGTGAGCAAGGAACAACAATCCTTGCGAGAAAGCTTAGAAAAAAAGCGCCACGGAGACACAGAAACCACAATTACTCGTAAAAACCAAAATTCATATCCAGAAAACGAGTGGAGGGTAGAGAAGATAGCATCTCAGGAAGTAGGTTTATGCTGTATTATTTTTTTATGTAGTTTGATTTATTGATTTTTTTTTTCACTTCTAGACTATCTCTGAAGACAAATTTGAAGTCTTCAACCCTTATGAAAGCCCATTAAAGGGCTTCCGCTCATTTAGACTTCACCCCGAATATGTCAAAGTTGTGAAAGATATCAAATCGTTCACATTTAACAATCATATCGTACCTAACAAGAAGATATGCGCGTTCGAACTCCAACCACGTGGGATATGTAACGATGACGACTGCAGATCGCAGCATTTCCGCGATCTTCTAATGAATGGTATTTGATTCGGGATAACCTTTATTTTGTTGTTATTCTGTATGAATCAATATATAACATTTTCTTCACGTTAACCAAATTATATAGAAAATGAGGTAATTGATGATCTCGCTGGGTATTATGAAGGTGAGAATTTAACACAGCAAAGGCATTATCGCGAAGGCCTCCATAGACTGCTTAACGATCTCGAAATGTCCGGAAGGAATACGTTTCTCACGAAATTTGAAGAAATAAAAAAATACCGTGACTCGTTCGTCGCAAGAAGTTTAAACGACGGTACCGGGGCTCCACGAGTCGTGTTCATAAACGAACATCGACCGTTAGCCGATGAATGGTACAACTCACCGCCGGTTTGTGAAAGCGAATCGGATTACGTTTCTGAAAGTTTACCTACTCCAAGGATGCCAACATCTCTTTCGTCGGGACAAGATGACGACCAACAACAAATATATCCAACTTCGCCAGAGTTGGAAGACGATGATGATGACGGTGACTACTTCTCTTCGTCCGCTACTCGTCATAAGAAGAAAGATGATGAGGAGAATGTAAAATATGAAAGCTATAGTGAAGAAATGGAGATGGGCAATGAGTCTGACGATCAATTTGCTGAATTACGCGAATCTGAGTCTGCTTATTCAGAGTCCGACACGTCATCCGAAAAGGATGATGACGAAAGTGAAGAAGAAAACGTAGATGAAAAAGGTGCCGTTGATGTTAGATCCACCGAGTTCGTATCTACGAACCAAGGTGAGGTTGAAGAACAACAACAATCACAACGACAACGGCAGGAGCAGCAAGGAGAACGAGCTTATGCACCATTAGGATATGTAGGCCGAATTATTAACTGGTTTCGCTGATAAAATTATTTTACGATTGCATGAACCTGTTGGGCGAGCATTTGTAAATAATTTGTAATAATAATTATATTAATTAATAATATTAATTCTTTGTTTACGGATGAGCATATGTATATAATTTTTTGTAAAAAATAATGAATCTTTCGTCGGAACAATAATAATATGTAATAATTTAGTTATACAAATACACATAATTTTTTTTGGGATTATGATATGCAAAAAAATAAGCATAATAGTCATTTATAAATTTAGAATAATTATGAATGTTTTATATACAAAAATTATAAATTATTTCACTTAATAAAACCTAATAAAATTTTTCTAAGTTAATGAAAAAAGGATGGGAATGGTTATCAATATTAGCTGCCAAAAGCATATAATATGAAAAGCTGAGAACTTCGCAATTCCAAGAACGTCAGGCGGTTTGCCTAACTTTACTTACAAAAGAGATCGTTAAACCAAAAGGAATTAATATTCAGTATTCACAGCTTTCTTGGCAACTATCTTCTTTTTATTATGCCACGAACAAGAAGATATAAACCGTGTTTGAACCCGTAGAAGTTCAGTCAACCTTACCGCAAACATTAAGGTATGCGTCGTTAATAGTTAGTTTATCATTACTAAAGAAAAGTAAAAGCGAGTGAAGTACGAGAGTACAAAGTAAAAATACTCACAATGGAATGCTAAATTTAGGGAACCTAAAAGATGATCGAAATATCTTTTCCTATAAGGCAACTTAATGAGCTTCCGAGAAGATAAAGTTATTCCATTAATCACTGTTGAGATCAAGCAGTTAGCGCTCCTGAAGTTACCATCCAAGATAAGAACATCATTCAATAATGTTCCTCTTGATATTCGACAAATTCATCCTGGAAGTGTCATCGAAAGGCGTATGCAATCACAGGCCTTGATTTCCGATTAGTTAATGAAGTCCCCAGGTCACATTCATATCGTCGTATATCCCAAATCCGAGGAATAATAATTATAATGTAAATAAGCAATTTTGCGTTTTTAATTCATTGTATGGAACAGGTCTCATTGTATATGCTAGAATTTATATAAATAATATTAAAAACCGAGCAATGTCATACGAGCTGAGACAATGCATCACTGAGTTTTTAAAGCAGGTTGCAGAAGAGAACATCAAACAGAGAATGCCGAGCTTTTTAGTAATCAAGAAAATTCAGGAGCTAGCATCCGAAAGTTTCTCATAATCATTAATCCAGAAATATTTTATATTCTCTGTGATAGTAAACTAAATACTAATGTGTTTCGGTCACGTGAATCTATACTGCAGCTTCTCTTGAACTAAAAACTTTAGTAGTGTTATACGCCATTTTGAAAATGTCACGTAATAAAATGTGCAACATAAAAGCGAGCGCCTGCGACATAAATTTCCACCATTCATTCATTTTGGATTAATGTCCCAAATAATATAATTTCGTGCCCCGTTTTCAAATCTTATATATCAGTCAAATCTTTTCTAATAAGTGATATCTTTTTAAGAAAATTCGGGTTTACCTCGTCATACAAGCTATCACACATAAACCGTGTTTTTAAATTGAGCGTGATTTATCAAATAAATTTTGCAGTGAAGCGAAGAGCTTCGTTGTTATGCCGGCCGCCATCGTCATCGTCATCGTCGATCCCACCAAATTTGGTGAAAGTCACATGTGCCATTTTAAGTTACACAATATATAAGATGGATAAAAAAAAAGTCTAAAAAAAAAAATAAATCATAGATTGATTTCACTTTCTTTCTCGTGGTCGATAATTATGGTGCATTTAACAAAGCTCGCCGCCGCTGCGGTTAATCGCACTTCTACTAATGCTCCATATAGTGTTGTTGCCATTAAGAAACTTTTCAAAACTTCCAACTATGTTCGTAAGGAATCTCGAGAAATTATTTTTACTCCTTCCTGGGCTGTTGGTGCGAAGCGGCGGTCTGACGGTTCAATCCTTTCAAAAACTTCTGTAAGTGGTACGTGTTGTTTAGTATTTCTTCTCTTTTTCTTTTACTCTAAATAAAAATGGAAATTTTGAACTTTAATACCTTTTTTTGTTGTAATAGCTGCACCATATATCGGTAATTTTCAAAAGCGTTTGTCATCGTCTTCAGCAGTAGTAGATTCTAGTAAATCAACTATAGTACCGGACTTTTCCCATTATAAAAAAAATAGTGGACCAAACACTAGTCGTGCATTTACTTATTTAATGGTTGGCGCAACTGGAGCATTGACAGCTGCGGGATCTAAAGCGTTTGTTACTGATTTTCTTGCAAATTTAAGTGCATCCGCTGACGTTTTAGCTATGGCTAAAGTCGAAGTAGATTTAGCAAAAATCCCGGAGGGTAAAAACCTTACCATTAAATGGCGTGGTAAACCTATTTTTATAAGACATAGAACTCCTGATGAAATTGCCGAAGCAAATTCTGTACAGCTATCTGAACTTAGGGATCCTCAAAGTGATGCCGATAGAACAAAAAAACCCGAATGGTTGGTTATGCTTGTAAGTGAAAATTTGAATAGCGTATATATATATATTTTGAAATATAGTGTTAATTTTTTTCCATAAAATATAGGGTGTATGTACTCATTTAGGTTGTGTTCCAATCGGCGAAGCCGGTGATTATCATGGCTGGTATTGTCCCTGTCACGGCTCTCATTATGATATATCAGGTCGAATTAGAAAAGGTCCCGCTCCTCTTAATCTTGAAATCCCGGTGTATAATTTTGAAGAAGAAACCAAACTTGTTATTGGATAATTTAAATGAAATATTGGAAGGTCGAATATTGCAATGTGTATTATTATTAATAAAGTTTTGAAATTTTATATATATTTATTTATTAAAAAAATAAAAATGACGAATTAGAATCTCTTATTTCTTATTATCATTAATGAATGGCAATTTTATTCGTTTATTGAAAATTTTTAAAAAAGAATAATTAATTACATTTTTATGACATTAAAAAATGCTTTTTTATTAGTCTATAAATTAATATATCACTTAACGTACTATTATATTCGCTCAATTATTTCTTGTTTTTTATCATCAAATCTATCGATAGAAACTCTTAATCTAATTTCTTTTTCATATAATACGTTCATAGCTTCTTCTAATTCATCTATAGTAAATAAATTACGTAATTTTTTAAATGCCATCATATAAAGATCTATGTATTTAAAAAGAAATTAGTTAGTATAATTAATACTTAATGAATTAAATATAAATTATTACCTTTTGACCATGGACACTCTCTTACGGCTCTATAATATAAAGTTTTGGCTATATCATGTCTACCATAAGTCATCTCAAAGTTTATATACAAAGTCCATAATGAAATTGAACTCTTTGTTCTTTTGTGTATGATAAAAGATTAATAATGAAATGATAAAAGGATCGCCATTATTATTAATTTATACTTACTTTGAACTTTCAAGTGCTCGATCAAATAATGATCTTACTCGTTTAACATTAAAAGGTTGTCGACATAGTTCCGAATATAAAACAAAGGTCCATATAATGTGACTCGGACTCCTAAAAAAAATATAAAATAAAATAAAATAAAATGTCTTTGAAATTGATTAATTAAATTATAATTTTTTTCTGATACTTTTGTAAAATTTCTTCTAAAACCGAATTCAATCCAACTGATATACTTCCGCGAATTTCTTGATGAAAATACATTGATAAAAATATTGTATTATTAGGAAAAGCTTTTATAGCTCTTGTTAACACATCTTGAAATAATGTCCCTGATATATCATTTGATGACGTTGAACTATTATTGCTAGCGATATAATTTAGGTACTGATAGATTAATTTTACGTAAGTATTAAAAGAAGTATGTTAAGAATAAAATTATTTACAAACTTCCAAGATTTCTCGAACAAAATATAAAAGGATATGCCATGAAAATTAATTCAGCCTCCAAATCCAAATAACCCTTTCTCATTTCTATATCCTGTATCATTTCTTCAAATATCTTGCTAGCTTGTTGTAAATTCTGGCTAAGACATTCCAACAATGCATAGCAAACGCAATAATGTAACGAATTTCCTGATTCATATTGTGATATGGTTGTTGTTGACCTTGCCATTTGTTGTGTATAATACTAAATAAAAATAATAATATTAATAAAATGAATTTAAAAATAAATTGGACCTTTACTTCAATTTTACTAACCTTTCTCGCTTTTAACAATCTCGTTACAGAAACATCGATCTCTGCTACTGATTCTTTTTTTTTTTTTTAAAAAAAAAAATGAATTCTATAGTTTCACTGCAGTGATCGCAATAAATAAATTAATTACCTATATTTCCTTGCTCCTCGGTTAGCAACACTAAAACATCTACATAAATTAATAATCAAGGACAATAAAATTCAAATAATGAATAATTAATTTAATTAAAAATATAAGGATACTCATAGCAGTTTTATAATGTCCTTGTTCTAATTCCATTTCAGAAAACATTCTATGTAACAATGGAGCATCAATTTGAAATTGTTCGGGATATGAACGAATTTGTGCAATGGCACCAAGATACACTTTACGTGCCTATGTTTTAAAAGATTTAATTATTTAACTTTATTTATCTAAATACAAGCAATAAAAAACCATGCAAACTATATCTAAATACTTCTGTATATTTATTTGATGATCGCTCGATTTGTGCATATCCATTCCAAAGTGCAAGATTCATCTTTTCTCGCTTTAACATACTCTTCGCAAGTGATCGACCACTGAAAAAAACAAGCTATAGTAATTTCCAGCAGAAGGACTAAATTTGACAATTCGGCTTAAATAAAGGATTAATATACCTCGATATATCATACAAATGTTCTACAGCAAGACGGCACAACTTTATCCCCGTGTCATTCACAACTTGCCTTAACTGATAAAACGCGTTCCTAAAAGGAAATATAAATTAGTAGCAATTTTATTATATGGTAACTTCTTTCAATAATGTTTTTAATGTTTTTCTTAAATATTACCTTGCAAATATCATATCGACATTTATAACATCAACTTCATCACAAATACAAAACCAACTTTGTGACTTGAATAAATTATCTTCAATTTGAGGAAACGACTTAATGGGTAACTTGAATAAGCTATTATCCGTCACCCAAAAACTATTATTCGCAATTGATTCGTCCACAAGTTTGGTATTCAAGAATGCATCCGTAATCAACGGATTTGACGATGAATATCCAGGATTAAACGTTAACCCAACAAATGAGAAACAAGCGTAAAGAAGTTCTATATAAGACTGAGGGAATGTGATATCAAATAAGAAAGTTCGGATATCATCAAATATTATAATCCGATACGGATCGTCTACATTGATATCATCATCACCTCCGGTACCTATTTAATGTATGTTAAATAACATTATATTGAATAGAGTAGATAATGATACTTTCATACCTGTTCTTATTGAAAGTAATTGTCCATCATGCATTCCTTCAGCCTTTGCCCATTTTTCATACGCGTCACCTTTCATAATCAAAATTAGATAACTCATAGAAATTTATGAGGGGGAAAATTTTACTTCAACAAAAACTAACCATGTAAATTAGAAACATTTACAGGATTTGGTGGCGTGAGAGTAACATGCATCTCATTATCACCTGCAAATTATATATACGTGATATTAGAATAATTATCTCTTTAAGAATCAATTCAAAATAAAAATAAAAAAAAAAATACCATGTTCAGCATAATATGCCCATCCTTTAGCATCCTATCATATTTAAAGAAGAATAAATTAAGCTCTTATTATACATATAGGTTAAGAAATAATCACATACATCTTCACCAAATCTTGGCCATTCCTCCTCCCAGAAAATTTCTAAAGCTGTGACACGATCGTAAAAGGTTTGTTGACGTAAATGATCCGGTGCGAAAAAGATAAGTTCAATCATCGCTTGCCAACATGCGTACGCTCTTTCAGAATATCCTAATAATTTAGCGTAATCATCAACTTTTAATAAAAATAATAAAATCTTCTTATTTAACCATATATATGATACCTGATTGTAAGATAAAGACGCATGCGCGTTGAAACACGTGAATCATGATTCTCTCGATCCGAAGCTTCTCTAATTCAAAAAAAGCATATTAAGATTTTTAGCATTTTAAAATAACCAAGTCAAATTTCTAAATTACCATTATAATCAGTAGCAACCACTACAGATTTACGTAATACGTGTAAACAATCTTCAAACACTTGTAAACATTGAGCAACACTAAAAGAAACAAGATTTGTTTGTCTAAAGTCTATATATTGCATCCAAAGTATTATATCACCAGGATTTTCAGTTAAAATTTGATCCCATTTGGTAAGTAATTTTGGAACACTAAGTGAGGTTAAATAGGGATAAATAATTGAATCAAAATACCTTTAAAAAATATAGTTAAATTAACTTACTCATAAATTTGTTCGCAACATTTTAAGTATTCAACAAGTAGCCAAGAATTTTTGGGGTTTAATTGTAAGGCTTTATCAAATATACTTAATTTAACTTCATTTATACTTGTTTTTGTAGAATCTGATTTTTTTGAAGTAACACTAAATTGCATAGCTTTATCTTGAAATGCAATGAACTCAAGCCATAAACTAATATCATGAGGATTCTTTATGAAATTAGAGAAAAAAATTTAGTGTAAAGAATTAGGTTTTTATTTATTTATTTATTTTAAAAAGTAACATTCATTACTTGGTCTAACTTAATATTATAATCTTTTGTTTTTTGTCTAATATCCTCCTCAGATAATTCGTGTTTTGTCTGGAAAATAAACTCTCGATTTTCGGAAGAATTATTTTGATTCTTATCCTTCCTTTCTTTTTTTCTTTCTTTTTTATCTTTTCTTAACTTTTTGTCCATAATAATTAATCTAATCAGTAAAATCTGCGTCAAAATTAGGTTTTCCGCCAAATATGAGTGTGATAATCAAATTCCTATTTTCCGTAATTAATATAAAATAGGGGGAACTGCATTTTTCGGAAGAAAATAAAATATAACTTACATATTTATTTATAATAAATTAATAAGGGATCTACAAAAATGTTTCATATATAAAAATATTTTTTTTTTAAAAAAAAAGTGTAAAAACATAATTACACTTAGAATAATTGTTGTGGAAAGAAATAATAAAATAGTAAAACTTTCTTTTATAATAATATTATTATGCGCCAAGAGCGTATATTAATCGTCAATAAATATATAATTTTACCGATACGGAGAGAAAGAGATGATACGAATACAAACGATTTTAATTATAACCATACCAAGAGTATTGTCCATTCCTTTTCCACAACAAAATGGACAAAGTGATTCTATATCTTATGGTTCAATTAATTTAACTGATTCTGAAGGCAAAAATCGTATATTATATTGGGTATTTGGTATAGTTGGTATTGCCGTTTTTGTGGAAGTTGTATATTGGATGTTTAGATGTGCTAACATATTAAAAAAAGAAAGAGAGAAGAATAATAACAATCGAATTAACAATAATAATGATATTGGAATTAATCGTAGGAGAGGTTTATTTGATACTCCGTCATATGCTGGTTCTATTGACGAACAATTACCTCCTTACGAAGGTTTTAGTTTACCTAAGTATAATAATATTATAAATGAAAATACTTCTGATGAAGGAACTGAAAACACACAAACGGAGGAAATAAATACGAGTATTCCAGATACGAATTCAACGGTTGAAATTGAACCACTTCCTTCCTTACCACAATCACAACAATCACAGCAATCACCTCAACTACCTCAACCACCACAGCCAGCTCGTCTTTCATTATCTGATCCCCCTTCGTATAAACCAAATTAATAGTATCATATAGTATCATAGTTAATTTACTTTATCATGTAATTTTATAATAAACTGCGCCATTGAGCGTGTAACAATGCGAGGTGTTCTAATGATCACGTCACACGCATAAATGAGTTGTTCCATACGTCGTTATATGTCGTTTCTGTTTTGTTTTTTCTTTCTTAAATCTTAACCTACGTAATTTTGCGAATGACGATCAGTCAGTCTCGTGGATATTGAAAATATTCCGCATGATTTATGCATTTGATCAGTTGATCGTCTCTTTTTTTTTTAAAAAAAAACTTTAATTTCCTTCATTGTTTCCGTAAGAGTAAAATTCGCTTTAACTGCGCGAAAAACTTTATTCGTCTGTCGATCATTTCCAACATGTGTTTGTTTGTTTATTTTGAAATACCGCGTGTGCAAAAATGCGGTAAGAGCGCCAAATTACAATGACCTTTTAGAATCAATTAATCCATTTTCAGTGTGAAATGAAGTGTTTCTTTTGTTTTGATTTTTTGGGTTTTGTCTCTTTTTTAGTTTTGTACTATTTTATTTTACCCTGGTTTGGATTATCTGGGTGCAGTTTGTCCCGCCTTTCGGATATTTTATAAATCTTTTCCTTTCAAAAAAATCTTTTCTTTTCCCTCTTAACGTGCGCGATACGCAGTTTAACAAGAAATTATATTTTTTAAATACTAAACATTTCATTGGATAAATAAAAGGTACGACTGTGCGACTGATGACGTTATAGTTATATAAAGTTTCCAGATCAACAGATATATAATCAATTTTAACACGCTATGGTTTTTTCGTTCTTTTTCAAACATTTTATCCGATTCAGTTTTTCGTTCTTGTGTATTTCAACTGAACTTGGCATATTTTTATTCTACCCGTTTACGCCAACTTTTATACTATCCTTTTACCGAAATTTTCATTTAAAATAAAAAAAAAAATAGACAAAAAAAACAACCATTTTAATATTACGCAATGGCATATAGTCTAAATCAACGTCCTGACAAAATAGGTGTTAGGTTAGACGATAAATATGCTAATTCTTTATCATTACGAATAAAAGAATTATTGCGTTATAAACACGAAGAAGGGTAAAAGAAATAAGTTTTTTTTCGTTTATTTATTTGTTTTATTCAAGCCTAGAACCGTTAAAAACTTGATCGCACTTATTTTTCTTGGAAAAAAATAGATTTCCTGGTTCTCAACCCGTTCATTTCGAATCAGGACATGTTGAATTATTAGAAAAGGAAAATTATTATGTACGAGATAAATCTGACGGGAAACGATATATAATGTTTTTCACAACCGTCGATGGTGGTACAGCATTTATGGCACGTTTCCCTTTCTTTTTTTTTTCTTCTAGAAAACATATTTACCAAAAGAAATTTTTGGCTATTAATAATTGATAATTTAATTAATGCGATTATAAATTAAAACAATACAGATGGACGAATCGTGTCAATTTCGAACTTTGGCTGGATTCAAGCTACCATTACGTTCAAATCCTAACCAAATGCATAACGAAACCATGGTGGATGGTGAAGTAATTATAGACACAGACAATAATAAAGTATATAACTATTTTTCATTTATCACTGATATTTTAAATTATTGTAAATTATTGTAAATTAATTATATTTATTTCTGCATTTTTATTTTTATTTGTAGCGATATTTAATATTCGATCTAATGGTTTTGAATGGAATTACTCTCATAGAAAGGCCATATAATAAACGATTGGGAGTGAGTATTTGATATATTTTTTTTTTCCTTATAAATCACAAAACTGAGCTTTTTCTTTTGAATTGTTAATCTTTTTTTTTAAAGATGTTAAAGGCCGATGTATTAGAGCCATTAAATGCTGAACTGGAAAAAAATATGGGGATGAAAACAAATTTACCATTAAAGTAATAGCTTTCATTAAGAAAAAAAAAAATAAATGCGTAATTAATTTACTTAATTTGTATACTAAAATACAAATTTTTCTTTAAGATTTGCAATAAAACCAATGGAATTATCATATGGATTAAAATGTGGAAATGACGGGTTGGTTTTTGTACCGGTGAATCATCCATATGAGTCTACAACATGTAAAAAACTGTGAGTTAAATTTCCCAATTTATTTATAATTTTTGTTTGGGTGGCTTAGTAAACCTTAATTTATTAACTATCGATTTGTGTCGATCACTAGCCTATTATGGAAACCAATTACAAAATTAACTGTTGATTTCAAGATCAAATATTTCAAGGAAGAAATATATGAATTGTTAATATTTGATGGTAGAGATCACAAGCTTTATGATTACTTAACGATAGATTCAGGTCTTGCTTTGCAGTGAGTATTTTCATGATACATTTCAACGATTAATTATTATAACAAATTCTTTAATTTATATTTATACTAATGAATTAATTTCTATAGATGGCAAAGAAATTCACCTGATGGTAATATTGCCACATTCTGGTAAGTTAATCTAGGCTTTATAAATAATTCATTCATTAATAATAATTACAATCTTTATTACAATTGAAGGTATGACAAGCGTTGGAAGACATCAAGATCACATGATGGTGGATGGAGGTGAGCTAACAAATTGATAAAAAAAAAAATTTTTTTTTTTTATGAAACATTTAAATTTTTCTAAATTAGTCATCAAATAATAAATCATGTAGGTTTTTAAGGTTTGTACAAGATAAGAATAAAGCTGATCGTGAAAAAGACGTAGATCGTGTTTGGAAGTGTATACAAACTGCTGTGCCACCAGAGATGGTATATTTCATTTAATTTTATGTTGATGATATATAATTCAACATTATTTATATGTTTATATATTTATTTAGTTAGAAAATCGAAAACCTATTATAAGAGAGAACTGGAAGCGAAGAAACCCCCCACCATTTCCAGATGCCCAGCCATTACCGTCACCAATATCTCAAATACAAACACCGTCAATTAATAATGCGTTTGAATCAGTATCACCTTCAATTCCATCAAAAATATATTTATATAATAATAGTAATAACAATACACAGTTGGTATCGCCGTCTATTAGTGCTTCAGAATCATTTGCCTTTTCATCTGAGGAACAAATTATCAAAAGTGAGCCAACTGAAAGTATGGATGCTCTAACACTTTCCAAATTTTCTCAAATGCTCGTAACTTCACCTGGGAAAAAATCACCTACAGATGCAACATATTTTTCTTATAATAGCAGTGATGGTAATCATGAAAATTTTAAACGAAGAACTTCAAATGATCGTTCTTACTTTCCACCGGTTCATGAAAGTAAATCACCTGATCAAACTGGTCTATCACTTCCTAACATGAAACCAAAAGATTCTCAAAATTGCTCTTCAAAGGTTTTTAAACCCCCAGTACAAGAAATGAAATCACTTGATCAAAGAGCTTCAATGCGTCCTTCTATTGATACAACTTGTTCTACAATTAATAATTCCATGATATCGCCTAAAAATCGATTAGAAAAGCGATCAGCTGACGTTCAATATTTTCCTAGTAATAATGAAGATGTTCCAATGAAAGATTTAATGGAACGCGATTCTCCTAAAACGTCGCCAACACCTAATCGGGATCATTCTCTACTTAAAAGTGATGAATTAATAAGAAATGATATAATAAATCATAGTTCTAATGAAAAAGTATCAAACAATGAATCTGGTAATGAATCAAACGATAAAGTAGTAGAACAGGCGTCATCTGGCGATGGTTTAAATTGGAGAGAACGTCATCGAACGTTTATTTCTTCTGAATCAAACGGAAGTTTGAATAAACAAGACAATAATTATCAACAAATTGAACAAGAACCTAATTTTGAGAAGGAAGAATCTTCCACTGAAGAAGATCCATGGGACCAACCAGAACCAAACGAAAGTCCTGTGTCGACAAAAAGTCAAAATAATTCTCAAGATTATTGGGCTGAGGAGGAGGGGAATGAGGATGAAAAGAAAGATGATGCTCGTGGTGAAAGTGGGGATTCTATTGAAGAAAATAATTATCTTACGAGAAGTATTTCTTCCCCGAAACTAACCAAATTACCTATTTTTGAACAATCACAACTCCGCCAAGACATCTCTCCTCGAGAATTATTTACACCAATTCCCGTACAAGATATAGAGACTTTACAACAACAGCAACAACAGAAACTGTCTTGGAAAAAATTTAGTGCCACTGACAGTTCATTGGAAAACACTCAACCTATAAAACAAATACAACCAAAACCTCCATTAGAACAGGATAATAGACTTATTCCTGAGCGATTGCAGAACAGATTACCTAATAATGGAGACATTTTTTCAAGCCCACAACTTCAATTACCAAATAACAATCACGTAACATCCCATAAAGGAATACCAGAAATATCTTTTCATTCAAATGTATCTTCACACGCTATCCTATTTAATGAACCTTTACAACTACAGAATAATATGTTTACAATGGGGCCTCAGGATCTAATACAAGAAAATACAAAAGCTTCTTATAACAACATACAACGTACTTCAATACAAATGAAATCCCCCATTCCACGAGATCAAATACAAGAGAAAAATATCTCAACAACTTCTTCATTACAACAATATAAAGTGCCAGATAATCAATCTGATTCTACACAAATGCATGTTCCAAATCAGAAAACTCAACCCATTTCTGTACATTCACAACTTCCCTTACAGTCAACAAATCAATTTACCACTATGGAAATACGTCAATTATTTCCTCAAACACAAGATATGCAACAAATTCCTTCAAGTTCAACAAGAAAAGTTACTTTACAAAATAATCTACAGGAATCTCAACAAGATATTATATTAACACAACCTAAATTATCAGAAAGTAGACAAGAAACATCTCGTCAAGAAAGTCGGTCTACTATTATTCTTCAACAACCAAGACGCCAAACAATATCAGATAGTCGATCAATAGTTGCACCTCAATCTGCGCCTGTCCAAATACGTACTCCATTACAGGAAAATCGATCAATGAATCCCCCCCAAACTCAGACACAATTAATGGACAGTCGATCTATTTTTCAATCACAAGTTACAACACAAGAAACAAGACAGATACAACAGGAATATCAACAGTTTAGTAATAGTCAATATATTGATAAACAAAAAGACCTAAATATGGAACAAGAAAGATTCAATCATAATAGTCCTAATTTTCAACAAGCACTTAAACCTATGCCTAGAAGACATACATTATCCAGTACAAATAATCCTTTATATCATCAGAATTTTTCTGATTCATACCATGAGAGACAATCTTCTATGATGGTTTCCTCTTATCCACCACCAAGACAAGAAATATTATCTTCGGGTATATCTTTTACATCGCGATCTATGTCACCACCACAACAAAATTTTCCGACACCAACAACCACTCCGCAAGGACTAAATACTTTATCGCAAATACCTGAAGAGCATAGTCATAATAATTTAACACATTTAAAATTTGTTAATTTTATGCACAATCCGTCACAAGAACTATCTCAAACTACCCAACAAATACAACAAAGTGTAAAAAATGTAATAACAAATTCAAATATACCACCTGTGTCAAGACCTACTCCGCAAAAACGTAAATCAAAAGGTGCACTTGATTTTATACTTAATGCAGGTGGAGGATCTAATCTAAAAAGATCAAAATATGATAATGAAGATAATGATGCTAATTAATATTTAATTCTTTTAAGTTATGTGATAACCTTTTTTGAAAATTTTCCCCTTATTCTTTTCGTGTAATTATTTTTACTTTTTATAATTTGTTTATATATTTTCTTTTGTATGTGATTGATAGTTTATTTAAATATATAAAAATATAAATCAATTTTTTTTTGTAGATACATGATTTTATTTATATTTACTTTTTTTTTCTTTTTTAATAGTACAGTTTAGAAATTTTATGTTTTAAGAGAGAAGATTTATTATTATTACATATTTATGATAATTTATATATTTTTTTTATATAGTATTTATATTAAATTATTATTTAAAACTTACCAAATTATGCATAAAATATATAAAATATGTACAAATTTATATATTGGATACATGTAAATAAATCTTTTCAGTTTGAAAGCTATGTCCCTAACTTTTAAAATTATTACTACCGCGTGATTTTTGTGCCATTTGCACGTCTGAAATGTTATAATGTGCCGCACCTCACCATTTATTACACCAAAATCTTTCGGGTGAGAAACTACAATGACATAGCTTACTCCCTAAGGCGATTCCATTTGGATAGATATTTAATAGTATAGCTCTAATTTTGTAGATTTACTTGGTATTTGGTAATATCTGTATTAGCATATCTGGGCAAAATCCAGAACAGAGAATAATAGAGATCGTACTTATATTTCTTACTGCGTCATTGAACTGCTTATTTTTATGCACTTACTGTATCAATTGAAGTAATAAATCTGTTTATCTTACAAAAAAACTATGTTCTCTATGCATACATACTGTACGTATAATATTGTTCGCCCGTGTTTCGGGTTTCATCTTTTTAACCAATGTATGCTACATGCGAGAATATGCTGTTTTTCGTTTACACAAATGTGTTCGCTTAGCGAAGCTATTGCATTGTATGTGCATCAAGTCATATATCCTGCTCATAATTTTAGATCGGTCGAGAATATTGTCATACTCTATTTCAACTACCTGCTCGTTTACCTATTCGCGAGAATTATTCTTCATTTCTATTGAACCAAATAATATAAAGTTGCACATCCTATTTGGTTATATTCTTGTACTATAGCGAAAAATAATTTATCGATATTAGCTCTTTATGAAAATGTTATAAACGATCTTAATTCGTTAAAATTAAGGAAATCTCTACAATATTGGAAGATAAGAGACGTCAAGCAACATCCTTCGGAATTTGCGGCATTAGAACATCTACAAAGCTATTATTTATCGATTATGAATCGATAGCTTACTGTCTCATTCTGCTTCCTAATCTCCTGGCGGCAGCGCGATCCTAACATTTTCTTATCTGGGAGTTCTTTAACTTGTTTCTGTTAATGAATCAATTTCCAATCGCATATTAAAATTTGCGAGTCAAAGATCTGGCCTGTCAAACTCACTCTAAAACAATCGAAAAATTCAGCCTATTAATCGATTACTGTAAAAAAAATTACAAATTAACATCACACAGTACATATATCTGAATTTAATTATATCTAATATTTGGGAAATCCCGGTGATTACATATATTATGTCCCTTTTATTATAGGGATATGATATTTATTTGCTAAAGTTACAGGAACCAATATGTATAAAGATGTTCAAATTATATCCAACTAATAATTAAAAATAAAGAAGCTGAATTTGTCCATCCAAAATTATAAACTTAAGAGGTAATAAATATTTTAAATATTGACTTTACTGAAGAAATTAATTGAAAATTGTACTTTTATACTATAAAACAAAAATTGGCAAATTATTTTACTTACTTATGCAAATTTATTTATTTGATTTTACGAAATTGTACTTATTTTTAAACATGCAAAATTTGCTATCTAAAATTCAAATTATAAAATTTTCTTGAAAACTTAATAATCATAATCATATTTAATATAATTCTATTTACTTATTCATTTCTTGTTCAATTTATCATAATTGTTATCTTATCATACCGTACCGATTTATTATATACTCTTTTATTATTATGGATATTTTATAGAGTAGTTTTTCTCTTTTGTTTAGTGATTATAATTATTCCATCAATTTAGTACAAAATATGTAATTTATTGTTTATTGCTTAAAGTATTTATATATTTAATTATAATATTAATTATACAGTTGATTTACAGAAAATTATGACGATGATTGTTTTTCGAAGTGTTGAGATTGTAATTGTGTCGGTTGAGCCAATGAGAAAATATCATTTCTTCTAACTAATGGAGCAATGTAATATCTTTCGATAGGTGGTTCGGGAAATTGTAATCCGTATAAAGGATTGTATATTAAAAAATGAAAAATTCTTTTGCTAGTTCCCTTACATTTTATCGGAGTGTTAAAATAACGATTCTCTTTATCTGGATAAATAATCCTAATTGTAGCTTTCAATATATTCGCCAATATACATAATTGAGGTACTCCCATAATAGTTCCATCAATACATGTATTCAAAGATTCAATTTGCCATATATAATTAGCGTATTGTGGATCATTTTTTGATAATCCGAAATTCGATAATAAACCGACCGTATGTTTGTGAAAATATCCTTCATATACTGATGTTGTGGTAATATTCCCTCCATTAGCTGAAATTTCTTCCGTGTGCTTTTCAAATATACGACGATTCTTTTCTATACGATTCACCATTTCTAATACTACACGAACTCTTAATTCCTCATGTAAATATTCAATTCCTCTATCATTATTATTATTACAATTTAATAAAACTGATACTGCTCGAAAACCTTCATTTCCATCTTGTTGAACTTTTAATGGAAATTTATAATCTGTAACGTGTTCAGGAATAAAATTCATTGCATCTCTTTCAATAAAATATTCCGAATATTGTCCAATATTTTTTGGAAAATTTAATAATCTAAAATCTGTTAAGTCAATTAATCTTTGTACTTGTTGACATTCGAATTTCAATAATGGATATAATCGTTCCCATAAATCTACGTAATCGGATTGTCGATTATTAAATGATTGTCTGATAAATTGTGCTAAAGTCGATAATCTTATATTCATTTGACGAAAGAATTCATATCGGTTTACACAAAGAATAGCATTCGAAGAAGATAATGTAGAAGGTATATCAATATTTTCAACTTTTGTGGGAGTTGATGTTGTCGATGTATTCGGTGATGACAATACTTTCGTATCATAAGTGATTGTATCTGTTTGTGACATATGTGTACGATTAAAAGAATTAACTATAGTATCAACAGATTTTCTTCGACTAATATCTAATTCATTTTTTTGATTTTGAATCATTTTTGGTCTTTTATTTACGATAGAATTTGATAAAGAAGATGATTGTTCATCAACAATATTTGAATAAGGTCTTTTATTATTATTATCATTATTGTTATTGTTGTTGTTAGATATCCCAATAGATGAGTCAAGAATATCTAAATTATTTGTAGAAACTGGACTTTGCATCGTTTCCTGAAATTCTGTAATAAATGAATTAGTATCATTTATCGACCTGTTCGAATTATTTTCAATAAAAGGTGTATTAATATTTAAACTGGTTTCGTCAAAAATAGATAATGGATTAAGAAAAGGATCATTCTGCCAATCAAAATCAAAATTTCCAAGTTCCGTGTTAGACGAAGAAGATTGTGAAATCACTTTTTCGGATGGTATTGTAGTTATTAAATTATCGTTAAAAATAATATCATCATTCAGAAACAAATTCGGATTAGAAATATCAAAATCGAGGGAATCCAAGATTATTGCGGATTTTTCCATTTCAATATTTGGATAAAGTGAGTTCATATCATCAAAAACTTCAGCACTTATAGCGAAATTTTGATTATCTGAAGATGAATTATTATTATTATTAGGAATTTGGGCGGCATTTCCTAGAGATTGTCCGATAGATGAATAAGAGGAAGACGATGGTGAAGTGGTTGAACTATGATGTCTTGAAGGATCTGAATTACTGTTATGGTGACTAGTACTCATTTGAGATAATTTTTGATCTGGTAAATTCAATTGATATTGAAGATGAGGCGCAGCAAAATTATGAAAATCTCTTAGATTATGTTGTTGAATAGAGTTAAAAAAAAAGTTTTTGTCAAGAGAAACACTCATTGTCGTGTTGTTTTCATAAGTTTGAATTCAATCGACAACAATTTATATCAAATTTATTTTACTGCGTGAACGCAGTTGTTGTATTGTTGACTGTGTTTGTAGGACAAAAGTATTTTTACTTTTTTTCGGATGGATTTACTATTTTTATTTTGTGGCTCTGTGGCTAATGGACTTCGATCACGTTGATAATCGCAGTAATTCCTACGATTCCGGCCGAACCTTCAAAATTTGGTATTAGAAGTATTTATTATTAGAAGAGGAGAAGGAAGAAGACATAAGAGATAGCTACTAATTCGTATTAGAAGAATTGATAAAGATTTCGTTTTATAACTTTTTTTTGTGTAATTATTCTAAAAATAGATCCTTGTTTTATTCTTGTGGATTGACAAAAAAAATCTCTCCTAATTTATTAAAAAGTCAATTAAAATAAATACAAGGATATATATTATATGTTGTGCAAATTGAAATTATTTTTTTTACACAAAACATTGATGAGAATGTTTGTAATTTCATTCCTTATGTATTGTATGCGTTAAGGTAATTTCAATGCATGGTTTGCATTATGAAAAACACAAATAAAATTATTTTTTTTATCTCTGCTTTGTTTGAAAGTAAAATACACTAGTCTACCGAATCAAGTATTCCAAAAATTGGTGAATTATCAAAAAGAACTTTTGTGTTGCAAAATTGATGATTCTTTTATAACTAAATTTAATTAATTTAATTGTGCAATTCTTTCATCATAATTATAAATTTTAAATGGAAAGTGAGGGTTATAGTACCAATTTGATTTCATAATGATATTATTTTTATATTTCTTTATATATTTATTAACAAAAGAGGATGAGATTCTAGCGAGTTACTTTTAACAATGAAAGTAATAAGCGTGATCACTGAAAGACCCACGTGCGTGGAATCCAATCATTGGAATTTTAGCAAACTTACTCAGAATTTTTTTTGTAAATTTCTCACCAAATGCCCGTGATTCTATAATTATACCTATTTTCGTAATAAAACATTGAATTAATATCCCTTGTTGTACTTCATAAAGTAATCAATATTACTATATAGTGTTCAGTAACGAACATATAAATAGTAAATAGCCAATAGGAAAAATTCCTTTTCTTTTAAATAAAAATTATAAGCAAAAATTGTAGTTATAAATAGTTCGAGGATAATATAGCTATTGAGTATGATATATACCCTATAAAAAAATTTATCCATTATTCCTGTAAAAACTCCGTAAAAATGAGCCTTTCACGGATTCATTCACTGAAAAATGTAAATAATTCGATAAATTCCGTGATATAAGGTTATTAATTCCGGAAATATGAGCCTTAAGATGGAATATAAAAACGGATTGACTTTTTTTTACAGGGATACCTCCGATGTTGTATAGTATAGTGTAAAAAACTATACTGTATAGATAAAGCTATACTGTATAAATAAAAAATTATACTGAATTTATTATATAAAAATGACGTCATACCGACGATCATTTGCAGATCATTTCAAAAAAAAGAATAACGTAATTTTTTGACGAAAAAAAAAATAGAATTAATTTTGCCTGCTCTACAAATTTACTCAATACGAGGTATACCTATTGGTAAGAATATTAATCCAGTACTTTCATATATAAATAAATATGATTATATTTATAAAAATATTTTATAATGTAAAATATACTTAAAATTATTTATCTGTTAAAGATATTATGAAAATTTTTGAAAAATAAAAACTTTTCTACTATTGAGTTTAGAGTGCAAACTACATAACACATACCTTATTAGTTATTTCATCAAATTATATGATTTATATACTTATACAGGGGAATTTTATATATATTATTATAATACAGAACTGGCAATTATACTTATAACTAATAAAGTAATTATAGAAGGAGTATTTTATATATAAAAAAATTGGAATCAAAAAATTTGTGCCTTAAAAAAGGAGTTCTTATATAGAAAATGTCTATAAAAAGATTGATTGTATTATATATTATATAAAATATTGCAATTAAGTTTAATACTTCATATTATTTATTAAAATAAAAAGATAAATTTTAGTAATTAGTACTATTGATCACTATATATAGTATACAGAGTCTTATTCAAAAACTTGATATTTAGTTTATTATTCATGAATATTTTATAAGAAATTGAATAGTACTATATTTGGATATAAATTATATAAAAAGTAATAAATTATTAAAGATTATATCTAAGATTACTTATCTAAACTTCTCCAAAATCCTATGATTAGTTTCTCCAAGATTTTACTATAATTTTATTATAGTTTTGGTAAAGTTTCAGCAGTTTTGGCATTTATAATAAGTTTTATTATGCTTTTCTCCAGAATTTTGCTAACTTTTTAATAAGACTTTTATATAGTTTTAGTAAAGTTTTGCTATTTTAGCATTTTGTCAACTTGTCAAAACCTTTTAATTTTTTCAGTAACCTTAATTATATTCTGGATATTATTTAAAAACTAAGTAATATGTAGTGTTTTGCAAATGATTTAGTCAAATTAAATTGATTTATATTTGATTTGATAATTTTTGATTTACAAATCAAATTTAAATTTTAAATTTCAAATTTGAGTTAAATCTGAATTAAATTTAAAGTAATTTAATTCAATTAAATCAAATCTAAATTGAATTTAATTGAATTCAAATTGAATCAATTAAATCAAGTCAAATTCAAATTCAAATTAAATTTGAATCAAATTAAATTACTAAATTAAATCAAATTAAATTGAATTTAAATTGAATTAACTGCTAATAATTATAATTTAAATTTATTTAAAAATATTTTAATTATATTTAAATAATTTAAAATGCTAGCTATTTAATTTATTAAAATTTAATTACTAAATCAGTTAAATTTTTTTGATTATAAAGAAATAATTAATTTATTTTATTAAAATAATTTTATCAAAAAATCAGAAGCTTATAATTTTGCATTTTATAATTTTATTTGTAAAATTATAAATTTATATTACAAACATTTTTAAATTTATATTTTAATTAATTTTAATATAAATTATATACTAATTTATTAATTTATTAATAAAATTTATTATTACAAATTTAAATGATTTATATATTAAATTTTAATTAATTAATGTGTAAATAATAATTTTATACAAAACATTGCAATACATTCCTTTTTTTAAAAAAAATTATTATATAGTAAATTTGCTAATTATTTATAATCATATGATATCATAAATTTCATTTTTTTTAAATAAAAATGATGTCTTTAAACATTTTTAAAATAACTCTTATTGATGATTTAAATCTAACAGTTTTAGGTTTACTTGATATTTATTATTATACAGAATTGCAAATAAATGTATCAGCATAATCTAGTTACTAAAATTTATACATAACTCTTCTTTATCCTTTTAGGTATTTTTCAACTTAAATAGAATCATTTTATCTAATACCTGCTACTATTATTTAAGGTTAGTGAACCAGTATATTTATTTATTAAACAGATTCCTTATAGTTTACAGTAATAGTAAGCTAATATTTGGAATCATATAACAGTTATCTGAATAACTTGAGTATATTTAAATATTCAAATAATTATTTAAATATTTATTTAGTCAGATATAGTATAATTAAAATTCTAATTGGAAAATTCTTAAATTTAACTAATTAAAATCATAATTCAGACTAAATTTATATAAATTATTACTATAAAAGAAAATTTAACTTATTCAAATATTATTTGAATACATTTTATAAATAACATTGCTATTACTAAATTATTTTATAGATGAAGAACAAAATTAAAGTAGCAGACATTCCTATTAACTTTAAATTTATATAATATTAATGTCTGAAACTCTAATATGTAATCATACAAATTCAGTAAATATATATATTAAATTTATTTTTCATTGCTAGTTTACATGTTACTATGATTTATGAAAAAATTGTAAAAAAAGAAATTGAATTAAAATTGTAAAAAATTTATTTTATTTTCACATTTACTTAAAATTGTACATATTAAAAATAGTTTAAAAATTTTATATCATTTAAAAGTCATTACTTTGAAGAATTAACATATAAATATAAATTTCTATATCTTTATCTTTTCTAGAAAATTAGAAATCAAAAAAATACTAATGTCATAATCAATTGTATTTTTTTAATTATTTAATTAATGATATAAAAATAAATGTATTTCTTAATGTTTATATTGTCCGCTACTTTTGTCCAAGTAGTGTATGTTAAAATTAATTTATTGTATAGCTTTTTTTTCTATAACCATACTAATCTAACCCAATCAATATGCAATTTTCTGAATTTAATTATTTATTAGTAGCAACATAAATTCACGGTGTCAACTTTAATATTCAAAATGTATGTTAACTGTAGAGGGCCTTACAGAAATAATTAAATAACTGTCTAATTATACATGAGTGGGATAATATTTTTTTTTAGGTAAGCACATTATCATATCTAAAAACGACTAAAGATTCGCTGTTTAATTTTTTATTTTAACTACATAAGATGGGCTGTGATTCAAGTTTCTGAATCTGAGTCAAATCTGAAAGAACAATTATTAAAATAATAATAATAATAATTTATATATTATTTTGGTAAATAATTAAAATCGTAATAAATAAAAAAAATTTTAATTAGTTAATTGTAATAGAAAGCAAGAAATAATATTTATATACATATATTTTATAACGTATTGTAAAAAAAATTAAAATATAAGTTTAAAAGTTGAATTGAATCTTTTATTATTTACTATAAATTCTTTATTCTTGTTAAGCACATGCAATTTAATTTGTGTTTAATGTATATTCTTTAGCAACGTGTTACTATTTTATTACTATTCTAAAATTACTATTAAATACTTACGCTGAAATAATTTTAAATTAATCGTCGTCCATTAAATTTAACTAGAAAAATACATAAATCAGCTATTGAACTATAAAAACAAATTCATTATATAATATGAAAAAATCTTACTAATTCATCCGTTGGCATTTGTTCTTCATCCGCTGTTTCAATAATTGATTTCCTCTCAAATTTCGTTTTCAAAAACTAATAAAAATATATGAGTAACAATTTTATAATAATTATGATAATACAATATTTTTACCTCTTCTGCCTCATTCTCAGTTATTGAACTATCATCAGCCTCTTTGTTACTAATTAAGGTTAATTTATTGCTTCCAAGCAATTCCCAAAAATCTGTTTTTGAAGGATTACAAGTAAAAACAAGAGTTTTCAAATCTTTAAGAAATTTATTAAACATTTCGGATTCATTCTCCTATTATTAAATAATTTCATTAAACAATTTCATTAAATTAGATAAATTAATTTAGATATATATTAATCCCCAAAAAATAATATTTAATAAACCTTGGCACAAGTCTCTCGTAATAATTTTAAACATTCCAGTGCTTTTTCATACAGTGATGCCCCAAACGAAGATTTCACAAAGTGTTCAATTACTTGACACATTTGTTCCACAGCTATAATAATTTCAAAATTTAATATTCAAATGTTATCAAAGAAAGTCACAATAAAAAAAATCAACCTTTACCCTGGGTAACCAAATCTTCTTCGCGATTAGCAATCATTTCTTTAAAACTGCCAAGAGGATCTGTCAAACCTACTTCACGTACAGAATCCTTTTTGTCTAACATTAAAGAATCTTCCCTATCTCCATTCTCGGACTTTGGTTTTTTCCCATTTTCAAGTGTATTATCATTATTTAAAAGTTGATCAAGACTCAGATTTTGTTCAATAACTACATTAGCGTCAGCAAATCTACGTTTTGTAGTTTTGCCTTTTCCTTTAACTATAATTTAAAGTCATGCGCTGGTTTATTAAACAATTAAATAAGAAATTAAAAATTACAACTCTATCGTAGTCACCTTCTTTTATCTTAAATAATGCTCGCATTTCTTCAACCAGTTCCTTATTTTTTTCCACCAAAGATGGCAACATTCTTGTTTGAGCTTTCAAAGCTGGGTCAGGCTGTGGCAATGATTCTTCTGGATATAGTGCTTTATGACTCACTGCCTTTTTTATCATAACGTTAACGGGATTATAACATTCTTTCACTTTCAAATATTCTCTAGAATTTCTAGAGAATAATAGAAATATCAATAAATTTAATAACTTAAATATGAGAGTGAAGGGAAATAATATTATACTAACCCTTTACCATCAGTTGCTGCATTCATCAAATCCAAATTTTCAATAAAATTCCCCATCTTATCTAACATTTCGTCGGTTGGTAAATATTCGTGAACATCCAATTCTTTTCCAGTTTTAGTCACGATACGATCCAAAGATGGAAAAGTAAATCTTCGATAATCTTCTTTAAAGGGAATCTTTTTAAATTGACCAAATTAGAAATATTCAATCATTTTGACAAGTCATATGAATTTAAATTCTTACACGGGCAAAATATAAACATTCTTTTGGAGGCTTAATATAAGGGACTAATACACCTAATTTTGGTGATTCAAGGGGTTTCTTTACATATCGAACTATGGCAAATGAATCCTTTTCGTATAGTACATGTATGAAAGATGAAAGACGCTGAGCAGCAACCGGCTCATCTTTTTTGGGTACAACTGTAAATACATTAGACAAGACTAATTCTCGTCTGAACTAATTTATTATTATAGAGGGTTAATTAGTAAGAGTAAAAAAATAAATACCTCTCATTATATATAATAAATTAAATTTACCTCTTCCGTCCTAATAAACGAAATTATTGACAAACAGGGGGTGGTTTCAAATGAAAAAATGTTCTCATCTTGCTTGGGCAATGGTATAAAAGTCTTGCCCAACGCATAAGCTTTGTCCAATTCATCTTGTGGTACGTCAACCTTTTCATTAACATTCTCATCCACAGTTATGGAATAAGTCCTAGAATGGCTCACTTCATATGTTTTGTTCTCTATATTGTTCGCTGCTTCTGCAAGAGCTGAATACTTTTTGAAACTTTTTGGTTTTGCCTTCATTGTACGAGCAATTAACTCAACTTCGATCAAAAGTGAAGCTGAACCGTACGTTTGAGGATCGCCAAGAGTTAAGGATCCTCGGTAAACAGGCATAGGCTTAACAGGTCTTATATATGGTTTTGAGAGTTGTCTCAAAACATCTTCCATAGAAAAGATTGTACCCTTGCATGTATCGGCAAGCTTTCGTAAGAATTGCTCATTTCTTTTCTATTTAAATTTAAATTTTTTTAACTTGAGTGTATAAAAATAAAAATTGTTGAATGCTGTAACCTGCTAACCTTGTTTTCAGATTTGTTTTCTTGTCTTAGTCCAATATCAGGATCATCAAAATCTACACCTCTATAAGATAACAAATAAAAGTTCAATCTTATTTAATCCGCCGAGCTTAATTTTTTTTCATACTTACAATACATTTAATTCTATATTTTGATCTAAAATTTGCGATGATACACGATCAAAATCATATTGATTTATAGGAGACTCTCCATCAGTGAAAAGATATATCTTTTTTGTGAACTTTAATTTTTTACAATATTCTTCCATCATATTCAATGCAACGATAATTGCATCAAAAGCTAAATAAATAGAATAAAACATTAATTCAAGTAATAATCATTATGTTGAAATGTTAATTTAATTAAGGTACCATCTGCTTGTACATTTCCATGAGGCATATTGTTATTTACTGTTCGAAGAATCGGTAATTGTGGTTGTTCTATTGGATATAGTGTAGTTATATTCTCATATTCACCTGGCGTCTGATCATTCAGTTGATTGTCTGTTTCTAGAACATTAGAAAAGTACATGTAAACGAATATCTAATAAACCGATAATCAAAATTTGTCTTATTACCATCTGTTCCAAATACAAGCAACCCAGTCACATCGGATTTAAGACCCGCAAAAACCTTAAAGATCATCGTTTTAAATTATCATAGGAATTTTGAACAAAGGAGAAATTTTTATTAATTACATCTTACAAACATCGAACTAACTACTGCGCCACAATCGAACGCGTGTAAAAGCTTTCGCGTTAATTCAGATATTCTGATCAATATTACACCCTTCCGTTTAACATTTTATTTAAATAACAATAATAATGTTCATTATTATTAAATACCTTTGCTTCAAGCATGGCCAAAAGGGCTTTTCGAGCCAAGTCTAACGCGATGCCACCCTCGTCCCGCTTGACTTGCCACATTGTAGGTCCTACATCAACAATATAAATTGTACATTTTTTGTCCGCCATCGCAAAAAAGCTTCCTTGATATTTATAAACACGGAATATTCAAACAAAAGAGAAAGGAGAGAATTTATTAGTCATAAATCATAATAACTAAGCATTTATTAAGTTGGTCACATGGTTTGTTCAACATCCTCACATCACCGACAAGGTCTAGACTCTAGACATCATGTATAAAAAATTTTTTATTAACTAACTATCACATGATATTCAATTGAAGCGAGCGTCACTATAAAATTCACTATCAAAAATGCATCATCTTATATCATACCGGCAGTCGGACATCTCATATGATACTCATAAGGAAAAATTACATTCCAGAGATTTCTTTTATTAACCAATTTAATGGCATGGTATTATTTTATAAAATAATTAGTAAACTCTAATATACCCATATAAATTATACAGCAATTTTCAAAATTAATATTTACTCTTTTATTTTTTGCATTATCTTACTTCAATTTTAACTTTTTTATTTGTAAAAATATTAATTTACAATTTTTAAAAAAACCAGTTAAATTAATTAGACTATTGATTATTATAACATTAGTAAAATTGCTTTATTAGTTAGCATTACAATGGATTTATAAAATTTGGCAAAAACCCTGCTGCACCCTCAAAAATTAAAATTGACTTACAGAAACATTAAACTTCAAATATGACGCATCTTTAATATTGGAAAAATTGGTTAGGTAATGGAAAAATTGGTTAAACGCAAGATTTGGAATACAAAAAAATTTTTTAAAGTTCATTTATGACTGTTTACTAATAAATTTGGGAAATTTGGTGACTAAAAGACTGTCAAATATTTATTTAATTTAATATGACAAACAAATTTAGGGTATTTTATAAATCTGCCATAATGGCTAGAGAAGTTTTTTGAGATTTACATAATTGATGAATTATATAAATATATAAAACTTATATAAAATAGTAATAGAAAAGTTTTTACAGATAATTGCAATAAGAAAGAAACAATTGATTGATTAATCATATTAATATAATAGGATAATATTGATAAGTTCAAACTGTCAATGCAAATATATATAAGGCAATATTTTCTTTTGAATAAAAGTTGTTAACACTTGAGTTAATCTAACAGAAAGTTTAAATTGTATTATTTATTAAAGTTAGTGTTCCGAAAGGGTCAGGTCAGACCCAGGTTGTTTGACCTGACTCATGTTTAAATTCTGAATCGGGGTTTTATTTATTTGACACGAGTCATAGATTTGTTTCAACCTGTCGAATCAGGGTCATACCTTTGCTTGACCCAGGTTGACACAGGTTAACCCGGGTTTTAATAAGATGATTAGATGATCTTCGATATATATATTTATGTTACACAATCTACTACGCGATCTAACTTCATTTGTATTATTTGTATTAAAAAAATGAGTGAAGCTGAAAAAACCTCTCTTAGGAAGCGAAATTATTTAAGAAGTGAACTTTTTACTAGAGAACTTTTTAAAGAAAACGACTTTTCATCACAGCATAAAAATGTAAAAACTCACTGGGAAGTTAAGTGTTTGAACTGTTTGTAAGTATTTTTTAAAATTTTTTTTATACTGTATATAAGTATTTTATAAAGTTAAATAGTATAAATATGTGCTAACATTTTATTTTTCTTAATATTTTAGAAATTAAACATGGCTTCGCAAAATAGGAGACTCTAATACATCAAATCTTTAGCGTCATTTAGAGCGTAATCATCCAGATAAAAATCCAAAAAAAGCAAAGAATTTAATAATAGAAAGCCAAAATACATTAGATGAATTTGTAGGCCATACAACTTTTCCATCTAAAGTAAGTTAATATACAAGCAGTAAAATATATAAATTATTTTTATAATATTTACATTTTTCATTTTAAGTTTACACAAAAAGATTTTCATTGGTTCGTTTTCAAATGGGTAATTGATAATGATCAGCTGTTCACAATACTAGAAAATAAATACTTTTGTCAGATGATAAAGATATTAAATTCAGATGCACTTGTTCTGTCAGCAAATACAATAAAAAATGATATATTAGAAAGTTTTAATGTGGAACAAAAAAAAATAAAGGAATTATTTCAGGTAATTTTAAACATACATATAAATGATTTTTAATAAATCGAATTATTTAATTATTTAATTATTTAATAGGGTATACCAGAAAGAATCTCATTTGCTTTAAATTCATGGACATCAATGAATGGCTATGCTTTTTTAGCTATTACAACACACTGGATTACAAAAGATTGGAGACTTCAGGATAAATTACTGGATTTTATAGATCTTTCTGGTCTTCATTCTGGTGAGAACCTCTGTAATGCTTTTGTAAAAAGTTGTCATGAATTCAGAATTTTAGCAAAGGTAAATATATAATTTGTATAATATTTAATATTTATATTATATGAACTTAAATCTCATAAAATCATTGTAACTTTAATAGGTTTTTGCAGTTATAAGCGATAATGCATCGAATAATATCACTTTTATGAAACATTTAGAAGATGTTTGTCACAAAGAAAATATTTTTTTTAATGCTATTAATTCTCATTGTCGATGCCTTGCTCATATTATAAATTTAGTTGTACAAGAAATCTTAAAGCAATTAAAAGCTGGTGAAGCGCAAACTGAGGATGACATCATGAATAATATGGATGCAACTATAAATGCTGGAGAAATAATTCCAAAAGTTAGTTGATTTATTGATTATTTTTAAATTTTTCAATTGTTATAATATTAATTTTATACTATAATTATAGCTTCGTAGACTTGTAGTAAAAATAAGACTTTCACCACAATGCCAAGAAAGATTTGTGCGCCACTCTGAAGCTGTTAATCTTAAGGATCTTAAACTCATTTTAGATGTGAAAACACGGTAGAATTCCACCTTTGACATGCTTAACCGTGCATTTAAAATGCGTGAGATTAGAGTATTTATTAAATACAATTGCTTTTTTATTTATATTTAAAATAATAATATTATTTTTATATTTAGACAATAGATGCAATGGTAAATTCAGATAGAGATCTTAGAAGTTTTGAAATTACTGATGATGAATGGAATAAAATCAAAGAGATTATTTCTGTTTTAAAGGTAAGTAAATTGTAATATTTATTTAACCTTTATGATTGATTAAAAATTTTTTTTATTTATATTAAAATAGATATTCGTACAGACTACTAAAATACTTTCATCTGCAAAATATCCTATAACATATTGTGAAAATTTTGATAGCTCTAGTGATATAGTAATTGCTGTTAAAGCAGGATTAGAGAAACTTAAGATTTATTATGAAAAAACTGATGATACTACTATGTATACAATTGCTACTGGTAAGTTAAATATAAAAAATTATAATTTTATTATAAATCTGACTAATATTTATCACATTAACAATTATATAGTGTTTGATCCACGGTTTAAGCTGAACTATTATGAAAATAATAAGTGGAAGCAAAGTTTTATTCATTACGCAAAAGAAACAGTTCTAAATGCTTACAATAATAATTATGCACCTGTTATAAATGTAGAAGTTAATGATAATAATGACAAAGATAATGAATTTTTAGATCATATTTTTGGCAAAAAGTAAAATTTTCAGCAAAATGAAGTGGAATTATACCTAAAAACTTCTCGAGCAGATTGAAATCAAGATGTTCTACTTTGGTGGAAGGTAATTATTTAATAATATAAATTATTAGTTTAGTTTTACTAATTTAATTACTATAAACATACGTAGTTGAATGAAGTAGAGTATCCGCACCTAGCAATAATGGCAAGGGATTATCTCGCAATTACAGATAAAAATATTTAACAATTTTTACTATTACTAATTACTAGCTAATAAAATGATTTTAATTTAGCTACGGTTTGGAACACAACAATTCATCAAATAAAATTGTCCAAATTAGAAATTTAATAAAAATATTTTGGATGCATATATTTAAAATAACTCAACATAGTTTAATTGTTACTAACTTAAACTACAAAATGACGTTGAGATTATCCTGATTGGTGATCTAAATCAAAAGTTATTAGCCTGCAAAGTTCAGTATTTTCTTAATAAACAGTAGGATTTGAAACATCTAATTCCGGCCAGAAATTGACAAAATTCTATAATTTAGGCCAGAACTATGACTGGCTGAGAGGTAATGCAGATCATAGAATTTTTTCCCATGGCACGACTAAAGAGACAAGCATAACACTGTCAAAAAATAGCTAAAAAAAGAAAAAAAGCTGTGAAAGATTTGTTCCAGATTTTATTTTTGAAAATATTGATGATTAATAAAGTAAAACATTTCCCGATATGGTTTGATTTTTAACCAATTGCAAATTAGTGTTATATATATCACGTGATTTTTTAAAATCTCAATTTGAAACAACTTGATGATTTGTTGTGTCCCCAACTATACAAGTGTTCCAGTAGAACAGATTTTTTCTAGTAACCCAGATTTAATTACGGCTAAAAGAAGTAATCTCAAAACTAATACAATCCGTGCATGTATGTATTTGAAGTCTTGGTGGGCGTAAGATATGGAAAAAATGATTTAATAATGAGAATTAGAATTTTAGAATTTTATACTTTATCAATAAAAATATGAAATCTTTCTTGTAAAATTGTGCGATCTACATGTTACTATTATTGTTTTGCTGATTATAAACAAATTTGTTTTAAAGATCTGAAAATTTATCTGACCTGGGTTATCTGGGAGTTAAGCTATATCAGGTCGGATCAGAAATCGAGTTAGATAAATTTTAACCTGAATATTTATCGAGTTTGATTTTTATACTCGGGTCAAGTTCAAATACATTATCAAACCTGACCTGACTCAACCCTTTCAGAACATTAATTAAAGTATTATTTTTTTTGTATGATTTGATTGTTAGTTTTTTTTACAGTATTAAACTTTTCGTATGCTTTATTTATTTTACCTTTGTGTTTTATGTTTTATTATTATTTGTTTAATAGATTTTTTTTTATTTTTAAAAAACTCTTATATTATTTTACTAGAATTATACTTTTATTGCTAATTTTTTATTGGGAATTATTAGTAATATATATATATATTGTTACAATATTATTGAAATACCTATAATTTTGACTGTTTGACTTTTTGCCACAACTAATCAGCTTAACATTTCTAATGTTAGTTATCACTTCAAACCAAATTAGTAATAACACAATCAACTTTTTTAATTTAATAGTATAATTATAATGAAATATACCTATTAGTAAAAATATTAATCTAGTACTTTTATATATAAATAAATATGATTATATATATAAAAATAGTTTATAATATTTTTTTTTTTTAAAAAAAAAGTTAGTATATATTTTATTTAACAAATATTAAAGAATCTTTAATATTATTAAATTATTACCAATAAAATTTCTAATAAAAATCAGTCTAACTATACTCTATAAAATTAAATAATAATAAAATATTAACTAATAGTTAATGAAACAGAAATAAGAATTATGTAACAATATAGAAAAAAAAATAAAAATAAAAATATCAAATAAAAAAAAAAATAAATAAAAATTTAAAATCAATTAAATTATAACATTTAAAAAAAAGAAAGCTGATAATAATCAAGATTCAAAATGGTTTATAATATAAAATATACTTAAAAATTATTTATTTACTGAAAATATTATAAAAAATATAAAACTTTTCTTTTAAAGTGCAAACTATATAATACATATTTTATTGTTTTATTTGCAGCGTATTTGCAGTTTTATTAAAGTAGAAATATAATAAAAATATATATACATAGTATGATTCTAAAAGCTACTCTAATATAATTAAACTACAAACCACTCATCATACGTATAGTACCCCATGTGTGCACTATTGAGTGATTGTTAAACTCAGTAGGTAGACAACTTTAACGTCAGGTGATCACAGAACTCACATTTTTATTGGTTATTAATATATGGAGTTTGCTATTTATCACCGGCGGTGATCATCACCGCTGTCACGTGATAATATTTAAATCACTTCAATTATAATTAATAAAGCGCAAATTTACCACAAACGTAATTTATTTAATTTATTTACAAAATGCCGCTTCTAAACTTAAACTCTAAAAATTTGTGGCATGTTACACACACGCGTCTATCGTAATTCTAAAATTTGATTAAACCAATCAAATGTAATACAATGTACAGGCGCATTTTTATTAGCTACCCTACCAAACTCCACATTCACTAAACAACCCGTTCAGAAGCTTTATGCTTTGCGCAACTTCTAATATTATGACCTTTTTCTAAACAATGACTACACGTCTTGGAAGAAGAAGTTATATTTTGTTTATTGGCCATTTCTGTTACCGCTTTATAACGTTTTGGAGAACGGCCTTTTGGCTTGTGGTACTCTGGATTTGATATCTCTGGAATGCGATTATTATCTATCACAACTAATGGTTGTCATTGGCAACTATTCTTTGAGGAATAACCTTCNGTAGTGCGTCAATATTTCATTATAAATTGTGTGAGAAGTCCAGTCAGTTCTCCTGTTGCACCTTCTGTCACAGCAATTTGGACACTAGTTTTTGCCATAGACATCGCACTACCAAATTCGATCCTTTTATCAGCCGTTTTCTTAATAGTTGATGTATAAACGTTGCCTGTTCGAATTTGATCAATGTAGTGCAATAGTTTGATTGAGTAAGTTTTATTTCCTTGAGCAATTGTGGCGTATCTTGATGTTTCAGATGGCATGGACTCAAACCAACGCGTATGAATGAAGCCCATATGGAATACGGCTTTATCAGATTGAAGTAGAATACGATATTGATGTCGGCATGGCATCCCTTGATTAATAATATTCATGCATGTACAAAATGATGTTGCGTCTGCAAGAATCGCTACATAGTGTGGTTTAGCTGTAGATGATGTTATTGTTATATAGCTAACCTCCCATATTTCCTGAATTTCGGTATTATCTAGGTTTGATAAAAGGTCTTGCAATCGGATTTGTGGCATATCATACATATATTCCACTATATCTGAAGGATTATTATCAGGTTCGTTAACCTTTAAATCAATTGGATTAGCATACTACAAACATTATATTAAAATGAAAGCTTTATAACTACTCACTTGATCTATTGTAATTAATGTTTCCTGGTATAATAATGCCTGTTTCATTTGTGCCCTCTGAAGTGATAATGGTATAGGTGCTAAACATTCCTTTAAAATAGAATCAATGTCTTTAAAGATGGAGTTGTATGCTGATGGAAGACCAATTGTTGGGTTTGATCCATAATAATCATTAAGACGTTTGTAATATGATTCTTTATCTAATTTACGTTCGACTTCCCTTACTAGCTCCTTTAAAAGTGTACCACGGTCAAGATGCTTTTTAAGAACACCATTAATGGATTCGACCCGTTGAGTTGACTCGACCCCTGCTGTGAATACCTTCCCGATGGCATACCTCGCCCATGATTCTCGGCTTGGATAAAGTTTTTTCTCAAGATAAGTTCGACATGGCTCATATTTTGTGAGCATCTCTTTGTATCTTAATTCGAATTGGCATTGAGTATAGCTATTGCGCATGTGATGAAAATCTCTAATGAAATTATTGATCATCTCTCTATGCAATTTAGACTTAGCTTTCTTCTTTACATTTTCTGTAATATGATAGATACATAGTAGGTGTCGAGTTTGTGGATAAGTATTCTGAACGGCAGCTATCATCGCCGGATCACCATCTGTGAATAACACAACAGGTGAAAGATTACTTGTGGCTTCTAAAGTGCATTGCAATATCCAATTATAGTCAGCTAACGTTTCATATTTTGTTAGTGCTTGAGCGAGGATCCTTGTTTTAAAGTTGTTGTCAACACTAACAAATAAGCTAAGGGCCATTTCATATCGATTCGTCTTGGCTGTATTGTCTTGTATGACAATATCGTGATATTTAGGCCAAAGTTCGTTACGCTGTTGACTTGTCATCCAAAAAAGCCCAGTGAGTTCATTAGATGGTCCTTCCAATCGTGCTATAACAATAAAATCGGGATCCTTACTACGCTGCTCTATAAGATATGAGAACATCATTGCCGCGTCAGACTCATCATGAATTCGAACTCCCCAGAACTTTTGAATTGCGTTGTATAGATTTTTTTTCTTTATGTGATGTTGAGAAAATTCTTTAAGAAGGAGATCGTACTGTTGTCCAGCACTTAAATGTCCATTGATGGTGTAATGTTCAATTTTATCCAGAACTACTTGTGGAAAACGTTGATTCATAGGAGCGAGTTCTATAGTTACTGGATCACATTGATGATTATGGATATTGTTGAATTTGGTAAGATGTATGGCGGTCGCGCGTTTTCCAAAATTAAATGATGCTTGCCATGAACAATTTGTTTTGGTTGTAGTAGCATCACGGTGTAATGTAATATCTTCGACTTTCTTCGGTTTACTGATTCCAGATTTCCAACAAGTATAGACACGTCGTCGAACGATCATTTTATCAACTTCATCAATATCTTTACGGAATTTAATAGCAATGAATCCGTTTTGTTTTGCGTACTGATTGATAATTACATCAACCTCGTTCCAGTCTTTAAAGGTATTACCAACTTTTAGTATTACTTTGTTTGCATTCGTGTTTTCATCGTTATAACGTCCATTTGTATTTTCGTTATCATCTATAACTACAATGTTTGTAGTTTGGAATGGTGATTGTCTTTGATGATCTAACTCTATAAGCGGCGTTATAAAGTCAGATTGGCCTTGGTGATCGAACTCCATAAGTGGCATTACAAAGTTAGTTTGGGATGTTGATTGGCCTTGATGATCAAACTCCATAAGTGGTGTTACAAAGGTAGTTTGGGATGTCGATTGGCCTTGATAATCGAACTCCATAAAAGAAATTACAAATGGTTGATATTCGAACTCCATAAACGGAATTACAAAATTAGTTTGGGATGGTGATTGGCCTTGATATTCGAATTCCATAAGCAGCGTTACAAAGGTACTTATCAAACACGGTTGGTACTCTTTTACAGTTTTACCTAAGTCTTCTATACAAACTAATTCTTATTGATGTACTGTAGGTTGCAAAGTGAAAGGTAAAAATGAAACCAGTGGAAACAACAATAATGAAATTAAATACTTTAGATACTAGTGATACTACTTCCTTACCTTCAAATTATTTATCAAACCACGATAAATTGGCAACAATCGTTAGCTAAAGAAATCTTTATGGGTTTTAAGTGAGATACAAGACTGTGAGAGAAAGTAACCGTGATAAAGCTAAACAATGACGAAAGGCATATGATAAAGTCGAAAACAGTCACGCGTTGTGATAAATAACCATGCGTATAAAAAAATTTGCATGACACCAGTGATAATCACTGCTAGTGATTTATAGCAATTTTATTTTTTGGAGTATAAAAAATTCGCATGACACCGGTGATGATCACCGCCGGTGATTTGTAGCAATTTTATTAATATATATATATATTTTTTTATAATATAAAACTAATAGTTGGTATAATTGTACTTATAATTAATAAAGTAATTATAAAAGAGAAATTTTATGTAAAAAAATTAAAATCAAAAAATGTATACTTAAAAAAAGTTCTTATATAAAAGATATTTATAAAAAAAGTTAACTATATTGAATTTTATAATATATAATTAATTTACTATAAACATTTATTAATTAAATAAAATGTTTTTTGAAAAAGTTTTGTATATATAAAATATTATTTAAAATAAAATTAATAAATATAATAATAATGATTTTATGAAATAAATAAACTTATATATTATATATTTAATATATTAAAATAAATATTTTATATAAAAGGTATATTAAAAAGAATACTATATAATAATATTATAATTTTAGCCAAAAATTGTATAATAGTAATTTTTTATAATAATATTAAAGTAATTATTTCAGATAATTATTAAAAAAAAAGGATTTAACTTTATATTTACTTTTGATAAATTTCATTAAAATATAATTTATATATAAATTTAATAAATTTTATAATGAAATTCACCTACTAATAAAATATTTCTATGTTTCTATTCATTTTATATTAAAATTTGTAAAAATTTGGTTTTTTTACTTTTTTTTCAAAAATGAAAAAGTTTAAATTTTAATATGGTGCAAGTAAACTATATTTAACAATAAAATTATAGTACTAAAAAATCTTATAAAATTTTAAAGAAAATAAACTGGTAGTTTTATTTTTCAAGACAAGTACTATCAAATTACCAATCAGATTTTTGAAAAAAAATCTGTATAAAAAGTTATAGGCGTTTAAAACTAACTGATTTTTATATGATCGGCCTAAATTTGAAACAAATCGAATCACATGTGTCCTATCTTATTGGTCAAAAATTTTTATAATTCAGGCTGAAATTATAATATTTCAATGCTGGCTAGAATTATCACATTCATTTGATCATAAGAAAATTTCTTTAACAATGAGAAAACTAGGAGTATATCCTTACTGAGTCTGGTCTGGTGATCTTTCTGAGTCCAATCATGTCAGTTTTTAGCACAGTCATGTGAATTTTGATGTGAATTGAATTTAAACTTTGATCAGACTTTGCTACCATCAGACTGAGTTAATTGTGCCAAGTCCTGTGATGTTGATCAATTGGACTGAACTAAATTAACACGACTGATCTACATTTCTTGTATTTAATAATTACAATTATAATAGTTATAAAATATAACATTAATATTAATATTAACACGAAAAATTTTATAACTAACATTTGTATTTCTATTAGTGATAAAGCTCCGAACAGTTCAGGCTAATCTGGGGAACTGATCCAAAACCAGCTCAAAATTTGGTTCGATTCAGTTCGGATATTAGAACCGAAAAACTGGTAGTTCAGTTCGGTTTAATCTGATTTTTATAAAAATGCGAAAAATCGAATAGCTGGCTATCTAGTAATTGTATAAAGTCGAGCCATATATCATTGGATTCGTCTCGACGAGACGCGTCGAATGGTGGTAAGATCACGTCTCTAGCATCAATAGATAGCTTGCTAATGCCAATTTTTTATAAATTATTTAGCGTGAATTAACTTACGATCTATTAATGCTAGAGACATGATCTCACCACCATTCGACTCGTCTCATCTAGACGAATCCAATGAATCCTAATTCATATTTGTACGACCATTGGACGACGAATAAATTCATGTATCAGAATTTTTAATTTTTAACGCTCGAAAATTTTAAAAAAATGAGAAACTTGATATTATTCGCCATCTAGTGGTCGTACACGAACGAATTTATATTCATTGGATTCGTCTCACTGAGACGCGTCGAATGGTCCTAAGATCATATCTCTAGCACCGATAAATAGCTTGCTAATTCCAATTATTGATAAATCATTTAGCGTAGGTTAACGTGTGTTCTATCGATGCTAGAGACATGATCTTACCACCATTCGACGCGTCTCGTCGATACGAATCCAATGATATATGATTCGACTTTATACGATCACTAGATGGCCGGCTATTCGATTTTTCGCATTTTTATAAAAATCAGATTAAACTGAACTGAACTGCTTGTTTTTCGGTTCAGTTCTTACAGATTTTGGCTCTAATCTGAACCATCTATAATCCAAACCAAATTGACCTGTTCGGAGCTTTAATTAGTGAATTAAATTGAATTAAATGTAATATTATTTTTATTATTTTCAGTAATGTCAATTACATCCATGTTCTTTATAAAATTAAATACATAAAAAATTGAAAGAAATTTGTAAATTTCATTTAGAAGGCTTACAAATTTGAAATTATCAATTAAAATTATTAATTATATAATATTAATGACATTATAATTATTCATTATGGCATAATATTAATATCTCATTAAATTAAAAAAATTTTTTTTTAATGACTTATTATAAAGCGAATGGCAAAATGTAGAGATCAAAGATCAAGCTTTATAATTAATCAGACCCAAGTGATTTTAAGCGGATCATTAGATCACATGGTCTGAGGGTCCGGACCCAAATCCACATGACTGTACTAAAAATTGACATGACTGGACTCAGAAAGATCATCAGACCGGACACTGTAAGGTATAACTGGAAAACTAGAGCTTTGCAACTTGACCTGACAAATCGGGTAACCTGATGGGTTGACCCAAAATATTCAGGTCAGGTCATCAAATTTATGACCTGACACGGGTCAGGTCAGTGCTGGTCGGCAGTGATGTGCATTGGAAGCTTCCAATGAAATTTATTGGAATTGGAAGTTCCATTGGAAAAAATTGGAAGAATTGGAAAGATGCCAATCTTCCAATGTTTCATGTGCATTGGAAGCTTCCAATCAAAATTCTTGGAAATTGGACATAGTAATTGGAAGCTTCCAATGGAAGCTTCCAATACAAAATTAGTAATTTTATTGTCACGAATGACGTAAATGACACGTATATTAATTATCAAAATTACAATACGTTTTTATGTGATCGTTTCATTCTTTTTTTTAATAATGAAAAGACCCAGAACCCACCGTCTTACTAAATATATAAAGGTTCTTGGAAAACAAAATTCATGTAATACCTACGCGGCATGTATTGCTTGTTTTGAAAGGTTGGAAAGTAGTGAACTTTCAAGAAATACTTTTACAAATAAAAAACTGCAAGTTAAAAATTACTTGAAAAATTGTCCATATTTTCGAGAAAAAATTGGAAATCAAGAAGAACTAGATGATATTATTAATTTGACAGATAATGAGATAGAAGAAGAAATATGTCAAAAACGTAAAAAAGTGGATAATGAATTTGGTAAGAATGATGAAAAAGTCTTAAAGTATTTAAAATCTTTGCAGTATAATTTCAAAATTCCAAAATTTAAATCAATAGAAGAAACAGGTTCGGTAAAGTCATTTGGGTCATTTGCTTCAACAACATCATCTGCACGCAACTTGAATTCAAAAAATACAATTAAAAATAATCTCATTCGCACTCCTACTAAAAGTGAAATACCAAAATTTGAACGTCTTTTATTAAGAATGTCAGTAGCGAATGGTTTTGCATTTCAGTGGATTGATCACCCTGCAACCTTGGAACTCTTTGAATTTTTAAATCCACATCTCATATTACCAAATAGAAAAGCTCTATCTAATCGTATATTAACGAAAGAAACTGAAAACTTGAATACATTGAGAAATGATAAATTAATTAATGATAAAGTTGGGGTTGTATTAGCTTTTGATGGTTGGAAGAACATTTTAAATCAGCATATATTCGGATCATTATTTATATCTTCTTCAGGTGAAATTTTAATATGGGAAGCTTTTGACATTAGCAGTGAACGTGAACGGTTAATTGAAGTAATACCAAAAATAACTGGATTAATTCAAGAAACTAAAAGATTAGGTATTAAACTTAATGCAATAGTGTCAGATAGTGCACCGGCTTATGCTGCAGCACGGTAAATAAATAAAATTATTATAATGGATGCATGATTAATTTCAAACTATTACTTATTTAATAATTTATCATAGGCGACGTCTTCGATTAGAATATGCAGAAATTGTCTTTCTTCCTTGTTTTGCACACCAATGTCAACTAGCAATCGGAGATATTTTTAAAGAATCATCAATTTTGAAAACTGCATCAAGTAAAGCAATTAAAATTGCTTCTTACTTTAAAAATGCAAATAATAGTTATTTCATTAGTAAATTGCGAGATATACAAAATGAATTGTATGAGAAATATTATTCAATTGTAATTCCTGGTGAAACAAGATGGAACAGTCATTATTTCTGCTTTAAAAGTCTCATTCGATTTAAACAAGCTCTACGAGTAATTTTTTTTTTTATTTATTTTTTATAATAATAATACGACAATTAAAAAAGTTTTTTTATTATTTTTAGAATTTGGCAATTCGTTACGAACGTCCACAAATTGGTTCAGGAGATGAACTTTACTTGAATTCAGAACTTTGCCAAATACTTCTTGATAATGATTGGTGGGAAAAAATTGAGCTTTTGCAAGACATTTTATTACCTTATTGTGGTGTTTTAAATAAGCTGCAATGTGATAAAGCGCGTCTTTATGAAGTGCTTCATGCTCTTGGATATTTTATGCAATTCTGGAAGCAATTTCCCGATACAGATTTGGGCAATCAAATGATCGATCGATTAGAAAAACGTTGGAGTCAATGGGAGCAGCCATTATTCTTACTTTCTTTTGCTCTCCATCCAAAATATCGTTTTGCATATTTCAATTCTGACCTTAATAATTTATCATTTACTTCCTTAGGACGATATTTGACATATTATTATAAAGCATGGTTTAAAAAATGCCCATTACGATTATTATTGGAATTTGAAGATTTTCATCAGAAAGTTGAACCATTTAATAATAAGACTTTTGAACAATTTGGAGATGATGCTTTTAAATTTTGGGGATACGTAGAAGGTGATTATAAAGAATTGGCTGCAGTTGCTTTAAAAATTTTTGGTATGTGTGTGAATGCTGCATCTGTTGAACGAATGTGGTCTTCCATGGGTTTTTTACATACAGTTCGTCGTAACCGATTAAAAGTAAGTTGTTTAAAGCTAGAACTTCATTATTTAGTTAATATATATATACCAATTTTGATAACGAATTAATTAATTTAATTATTAAACAATGGTTTATTTATTAATTTATTTTATGGCGAGTTTTTTTATTAGATCCTTTAGTATTTGTTTTATGTTTGGTTTCTTATTTATTTAATTATCATTTCTTTTATTAATTAAAATATTAAAATTTTTTTTTTTTTAATAGAATGAAAAAATATTAGCAATGAGTCAACTTCGGACATCTATTAATTTTTCGTTAAGAGAAAAGGAATTACAACAAAGTCAAATCCAATTTTTGGATTCAAATGCTCTTCCAATGGAAACTGATTTTGAAGTTTTTACGCCAAATTCAAATATTGAAGAGGACGAAGATATTGAAGATAACACTATTGTTACTCCTGAACATTGGGAACAAGAATTGAGAGAGTGGGAAGAGATGTTAATAGAAGAAGAGGTAGCACGATTGGAAGAGGAAGAGGAATTAAGGAGTAATTCAAATAATAATATGGAAGGTGATCTCTTAAGCGAATATATACATCCAGCAATAGACGAAAAAGCAAAATGGGAGCTTAAAAGTTTATTTAGTTCATCTCTTAATGCTCCTAATTACTTAAATATAGGATCAAATGAATAAAACATAATAAAACTTTTTTTCGTTTAATGCCTTTAAAAATTTTCATTTTTATTTATTTATTTTGTCAAAGTGGGAAACAAATAAGAAGATGCTAGGTTGTGATCAAGGGACTGAAAATAGCCTTTAAAAATTTTTGTATTGGTATCTGATTTAATTTTATTGGATAAAATATGTTCGTGTAATAAAGTGCTTCCAAACTTCCAATAAAAATTCATTGGAATTGGAAGTATGATTGGAATTGGAAGATTTGGAAGTCCAAATGTGCTTCCAACTTCCAATGCCCATCACTGCTGGTCGGTATCCAACCCGACCTGTTGACCTGACATATATTTGGGTCAAATAAATTAAAAAATGCCAAAACTAATAGTTCTGGCATTTTTGTATATAAAATTAAAAGAAAAACTGCTAGAACTATACATGCCACCCAAATTATTTTGGACTGCCGTAATTATAAGTAAAATCCCAAATTCAATTATGGCATCCCAAATTATTTTGGCACTTTACATAGTAAATTATATATAAACCGAATGAATTATGGCATCCCAAAATAATTTGGGCAGCATGTATAGCCAGAACTAATGATTCTAGCATTTTTACATGTAAAATTGAAAAAAAAATGCCAAAACGAATAGTTTCAGCATTTTTACATGTAAAATCAAAATGAAAAATGCCAGAACTAATAATTCTGGCGTTTTTATATGTAAAATTGAAAAAAATGTTACAAAACGTTTTTTTACTTGAAATATTCAATATAATAAAAAAACTTCAGGTAACCTGAGTTATCCAAAGTGACCTGAATACTTTCAGATCAAATGGGTCAGGTCGGGTCAGAACTAAGGTTGCTTGTCTAAACCTCTTCAAAATTCTACGATTAGTTTCGTCAAAATTTTACTATAGATTTATTATAGTTTTGGCAGAGTTTCAGCAGTTTCAGCATTTATAATAAATTTTGGCAGTTTCGCCTTTCTCCAAAGTTTCACCAGTTTTTAATATAATTTTAATATAGTTTCAGCAGAATTTTGCTTTTCAGCAAAACGCCATCTTGCCTAAATCCCTAGGTTTCGGCAAGCAACCTTAGTCAGAATGGTTTATTTGACCTGACCTGACCTGAAAAAAAATTTTGGTTCAGGTTAACCAGGTAACCTGACCTGACCTGATCCGTGCAGAGCTCTAGAGAAAACCTTCTGATTCATGAGAAAATCATCACATGTGAATAAGAAAATTTCGATCTGGCTTTACTGATGCCATATAAAACAAAATGACAACAACAAGTTAGTAAGATACCTAGGAAAAGGTCATTATATATTACAATACCATGTAATTCAAATATGAAGAGTTTCAGTGAATAAAATTTCATTTTGACATAAAATATTATGTACGAAACAGTGTAATATATAAAAATTCTCATTTTTTATTGGACAATATCTGATCACGTGATATGAAACTTGCGCGAAACATTATCACGTGATTGTCGAGTATGCACCATATAATAATTATAAATCACATAATATGGTGTAATTTTAAAATGATCCAAAAAAAATTATAACTTTTAGATAATTTTAACAAGATATTAATCATCATTTGTGATCAAATTTTTTTGGATTATAATTAGCAATTGTATATAATTAAAGAAAAAACATATATAAGTACTGCAAAGATTTTAATAATCAGCAATGATCGAATGATCGGCATGACGTTCTATTTGTTAAATAGCAAGTAAATAATTATTAGCTAATATAAGGAGCCTTACTCCCCACACCCAGGTTTTAATCAAATATTTAATTTTGTATCATGTAAGATTTTGCTTAACCCTCCACCCCCTAAAATTAGCTAATATATATCACGGCCCTGAAAAATATATTTACGATAAAACCACAAGTACACGATGATTTTTTTTAATTTAATAGCAAATAATGAACATTGAATGCACAAAATTTGTATTGTATTATTGAATATAAACATTTAAAATAATACAAAAAAAACAAAAATATTGAAATAAAAGTTCAATAAAATAAAAAAAAAAATACTAAATACACAAAACATATACATATATATCATATTTAACACTTTCCTATTCTAACTTTAAATGCCCTTAAATTTTATGAAAAGCTAGTAAAACGAATGCTTCATATATAAATAAGCCAAAATAGACTCAATTTGTTGTAAATGATAAATTAAATCAAACGATAAAAGATTATCAAATATAATATTGTTTGTTTGATTTTCTAAACTCTCATATTCTTAGATATATCGTCTTTAATACAATAATAATCAAGCAGGTCCCCATGAACCTCCTCTTGGATCCCGAGTATCACCATCACTTTCATTTTTCACAAGCGCATCATCAACGCCTAATGCATTATTCAACAAAATACTTACAGTTGGTTTTTTAATATCATTTACTTGTTCAGATGTCTGACCGTGATCATCAATTTCATTAAGAAGAAGTGAATCATCGTTTGAACCCCTTGCTGATGTTGATATTTCCGTTGATGATGTGATATTATGATTGTGTGTAAGTGGAGATGACGGAGGGGATAGAGCTTCGTTGGTAGAATTTGTTGAGCTTGGAGTAGATGGTCCCGATCCTCTTGACGATGGAGCCGATGTACTTGTTATTGTACCATCTTCTGTACTTGCTGTTATTGGTGTTGATACAGTAGTTGGTGTCTGATCATGTGAATGAGAAATAGAGGAACTTTCATCATCATCATCATTTTCCAGTAGTTCTCGTCTTGAAGTAAGTATCTCATCATCTATATTCACAAAATTATTATCGATTCGATTAAGCAACTCTCCTTCCCCATTTTCATCGTTATTAGATAGATTAGGTGTCGTTATAGTTTCTGTTGTAGAACCGTCAGATGATGAAGCATTATTAGAATTATCATCCTGTGTTCTTTCAGTCTGATCTCTTTCTTCCCGTTCTCTTCTTTCTCTTTCCTCTTGTTCTAATAGACTCAATCTGATTGCTTCCATGACCATAAGTTCTTCCAAGTCCGTACCCATTCTCATAGCAGCCAAGTATCCTCCATATTCGCCTCCAGTAGGTTGGTTATTACGTCGAGAAGAATTGGTTGATGAAGTCACGTAGGTGCTTCCGCCTCCTCCAGGGCGAACCATGATACGTCTTGAAGGTGAAGTATTAGTAGGTCGTCTTGGAGTCGGAAGTTGACGAGGAGGTTGTTGTAGGACTCGCGCTGCCCAATCTGGGCGAATTTGATCTGATGAAATAAAATTAATGAATCATCAAATTTCAGATATTTGCAAACTCAACGAATATAAAACATAATTTAATAATACTATCATAAATGTATTTAAATGACCTCTACTGCAAACATTGACCATTTCATTATTATCATTATAAAAACGACTTACCGGTAGTAACAACATCCGGATTCTTATGGCTAACACTCTTTCTTCGAGGCTTCCCATCTTGTGGATTAAGCGAGGTAGTTGAGGATGATGATGGAATTAAATTATTTGTATTTAGTGATGTTGTAGATGGCTATTCAAAAAGGTATAAATAAGGTATGATTATTATATTAAAAAGAATACAATATAAATCCATTAATTAATAACATACCGAGCTTTCACTACCGATACCCGCACTGAAAGTAGGTGGTTTGTAGCATACACCAAAATTAGGCTCTACACAGAAGGGGCATACGGCTGGAGAATTATTTGCGCCTAATGTACCATTCTCCGGTCGTTTTATTTGAACAAAACATTCAGTACAGATAGGTTGATCACAACATCGAGAATGATTAATATTTCGCGGATAATACTATACATAATTATTAGATAAATTAATATAATAAATAAAGAATGAATGACATTGTTTCCAAATATTCTATCTTTATATTTTTCAATAATGAATAAAGAATGGTCTTGAAATTTTCATGCATTTTGAAAGAATATATCTAAAAATCGGGTTAAATTCTGAAATGGTAGCTTACCAAAAAGCAAATAGGACACTCGATAGCACCCTTATATAGTTGAGCTTCTACCGATTTTGACGGAGGTACCTCTTTACCCTTTGTTGTGCCTATAGTATTTAAAGTTGGAACTTTTAGCTCCTATACTTCCTTGTGAGTTATATTCGCCATTAAAAGAAGCATTTTGACCTCACCATTTTTTGGGAGATTAGAGGCAGTTGTAACTTCATTCCAACTCTCGTCATAGTCTGATAACCCTTTATAAAAAGGCGCTAATTTCCTTTCTATGATGAGTTTTCGGACACTCCTATAGTCCCAATCCTGTGGTCCTTTATATACTCCATGTGGCATAAGTTGACCTCCGTCTACAGTTTCTTCCCCTTTATCTTTGCCTATCGAGTTTCCCATGCTGGTGGATATCAGATATTAATGGTCAATATATGATGTCTGATCGTATACTTTCGAACCAGTTCAAAACTTATGTAATATTCATCAATACCTAAATATAGTTGACTTATAAGAGGTGAAGAATCAAGTAACTACAAATCAATTATTGTCTCCGTAGACTTCACAGAGTTTTCGGGACCCTAATGACACAGCAATGGATTCGACAAAAATTTTTTTTTTTTTTTTTTTATTTTATGAATTACTTAAACTGCACTTTATGCGCCCTTGTTAAAAAATTTCTTGTTTCGGGGTTAAAATTTTAGTTTCTTTATTACAAAGTCAACGGGCTATGATATCACAATACTCCGTGACATATTCGTCACGTACGTGCTATATAATTCACTATAAACAATGCTGTTTAATTTAATTATACGAAGTTTGCAGTTGTCATAAATATTATAAAATTCAATAATTAGCTTTTAATACGTTTTAATGGTGATCGGCGCGTGTATTTTAATTCTCTTCAATAATAGTCTTTTCTTTCCCTTTAGTTTTCAAAGGAGGAGTTTTCGCCTTTTCTTGATCATAATTATTCTTACTATAATGAAGTAATGAGCCAATAAGGTATAACTGACCATTATTCGTGTCAGCTCTAAAATTTTTCATATATCAATGAAAAAAATATATAAACAACTAATTCGGTAATGTAGGTATACATTAGTAAAATTAAAATGTAAGTTATACCCCGTCACTTCGAATTCAAGCCAAGCGTCTTCTTCGATGGTTGCTCCCGTGTCAGAAAAGACCCATTGACCCTCAGCGTACATTCTGTCTAGGTCGAGTTGTTTATCAAGGAACATTGCATCATAAAACTCATCATTATCTTTCCACAAGAATACATCAAGAGGGATATGATGGCGAGGGATCTTGACGTAGAATTGATCATAAAGGTGAAGATGTATATGTGAAAGTGATTGATTTGCAACTCTCCCAACTGACAAAAAACGGAAATCAGTTAATATAATAGTAATAAATTAAACGATATCACATTAATGCTTACATAACTTATATCCGGTTGATGCATTATATATCAGAAATTCAGTACGGATAAAAAAGTGAGCATATGGCGAATCTTCAAATATGATACCTGAGTTATCGCAAAATTCGATATTACCATATGATAAGACAAGCCCTTCAAATTGTTCTATTTCATGCATACATACACCGTTAAGAAAATTTTTTACGCCCGCCTCAATGTTTTCCAATGCACTGGGCGGAAGATCTATTATCATATCTGCCGCAACAACTTGTAAGGGTGTTTTGTCCGCTTTTAACAATATATCATAGCCATCAATTAATGAACAGACTTGTTCGGAGCGTTCAATTGATTTAGTGCTCTTGTCAATCTCGTTGACATCAACTATTGCTTTTTTCTTGTTTTTACCGAGTTTCATTTTCTTGTTCATATTGTATCAAATCAAACTAGTAATCAACGGAAACTTTAAAGATATAAATTTTGAGAGTATATGTGTATTATCTAATAAATCTATTAAAAATATACAATTTTTATCTTTTTCCTGCTGTAATTCTAATAAATGAATTTTGAGAATGTTGAATTTAAAAGTATCTTCACCCTAGTCATATGATATTTAATGATTATCGCTAAAATTTCAATTAGATGTTGAGAGATAATCTGCTATTCCCACTTTTACAAATAATATGGGAAGAGTACCGAATAAAAAGAAATTCAAATTAGCAAAATCAATGTCATCAATTATAAACTACGATTTAGAAACGGAAATCGAAATTGAAAATATTAACAACTCTCAGGCTTCGAGAAGTTCGGATGTATTGCCAGTCATTAAACAGGTTTATATTATTTTAGTTATTTCTATTCAAGTGCAAAAATTTTTCAATTGTTTCTCATTAGCAATTTTAAAAGTTGTCTTCAGCTGATCCTACTGAGCGCGCATGGGCGGCAAGTTGTGCGTCCAATTTAATAGCAAGCGAAGAAAAGATTCGTCGTCTTTTGTTATCAAAGGATCTCATAAGATTATTAATAGAACGTTTAACTGATGAAGTCTATGAAGTAGTTTATGAGTGTGTGGGTACTCTAAGGTGACTGTATAGCTCGATATAAGCTAAAAATCTCAAATATGACAAAGCAATGAATTTCTTAAACATTTGTTCTACATACAGGAACCTAACGGCTATAGGAGAATATGAAATATGTGCCGAAATGTTCAATAAAGATATTTTAACTCCCTTGAATATGCTTATCTCAAAAGTAATAATATAAATACAAGTATAGATTTTTTTTTTTTTGAATAAAGAAGATATAATATTTTTTTTTGTATTATAATTTATAGATATCCATAATTATTGATAACCTGTTAAAAGGAATATCTCATAAATCTGATCCAATTGAAGGCGCAAGGAAAAATATATGGATTTTTACGGAGAACATAATTTGCATTTTATGGGCTTTGAGGTATCAAGAAATAACTAAAATAATATACTATATGCTTTTCATTTTGTATTAAAAATATATTCATAATTTTTAGTGAAACTTCACAAAAGGTACTTAGAAGGATCAATAATATGAATATAGTTCCCTTCCTAATGGCTTTTTTTACTCAAGTTGAAAAAATTCCTCTAAAAACTCTTGTTGCCGCTGGTATATATAGATTTCATTTTCAAACATGATATAATCTTTGTTCACTTACAATATATTTTATGCTACATATATATATTTTTTAATCAATCTAGCACAATGCCTTCACACAATAACGGATGATAATTCAGACATACATGGTCAGTTTGAACAAAACCCACAATACGTACAAGTATTGATGAATGTTGTAAATCTCGAAATAACTACAAATTTGAATGATGATCATATACTCATTAAAGTTCTGTGTTGTGGTAGTATTTAATTATTATTATATATACATAAACAAAATCGTTTCTGATTTCTTGTTATTCTAGTAACAATAATAACAACAATAATCTTTGATTCATTATATAGGTATTATTTTGAACCTCAACTCTATCATTGTTTCCCCCATTTCCGGGACTGATTTTAATATATACATAAACAATTATTTAAAATCTTGTTTAAATTTTGATATTGAAATTGCCGCCAATGAAGCTAAAGAGGTAGCTTCAAATATAGTAAGTATACGTGATGTATTTACAATATTTTAAATTAAGAATATTATAGATCTTAAATCTTATTTATCTTATTTCCTATTATATAGAAGATATCCGATTTTGTAACAAAACATCCTAAAGATGATTTACCTACAGCGGAAGAGGTTCACATTTGGATATTACATATGCATACTATTTTTCAGAAACTAATAGTTTTTTAATTACAGGAAAAACTTATTAGTATAAATTCAAAATTAACGATATTGCAACTTGCCCTCGAACTATTGGCAAAAATTTGTTTGGAATGTTTCTCCCAAGGTATTACTAATTTTTATTATCTTTTTCTTTTCTTGAATGATTTAATTTACTTTTTTACATTAAAATAGACAATGACAACCTCCAGGATGAAATGCAAAATGACGATGAAATTGAAATTAACGATAGTTTCAAAGAAAATAAAATCATGGATATTGATGATCAAGTGTCAAATACTCACGACCAATCTCTTCTAAATGGACCGGAGCATCTAATTTTGAATGCATTCGCCACTGATATAATTTCAGATCTTATCCGTTTATCTAAGCCAACATCTCTTTCATATCCGGAGCAGTTGGGGCATAATGTTATACCTGTGAAGTCAGTTGTACCTACAATAACAGAATCACTTGCAATGGTACATTTAAGAGCAGTGGAGTGTATGAATAACTTCTTTTTAACAATGGTAGATATTGTTGAAGAGAAATGGTGGTTTACTAAACATCGGGATGCCGCTAAATATACATGGACAAGACTTGTCGAATTAGCAAATCAGGTTGCGGGCAAAGGTATAAAAGTTGGAGCAGAAGACCCAGGACAAAAAATGAGAGGCACTGTATTGGAAGCTCTAGTTGGATGCTTATGGACTTTGGCAAGAGGTTTAAATGGTGATATGGTATATATTTCATATTTTAATGATAATAATTTTACCCGTTATTTAGAAATTTTCTCAATTACTTGATAAATATTATAAGCCACTTGTAGAAAATCAAATTCAATCATTTATTCAATGTTATAAGTCTACTGTATCGGAGTCCATGCGTGTTAAATTGATTGGCACATTGGGGGTAATTGCAAAGAGACAAAACGCAATAGAAGATAATAAGGTAATAGAGCTTTTTTTTTATTTATTTTCATTATTTTAGGTTAAATTATTTTTGTTCACTAATTAAATTAATATCATAAAATATAGTTGATTGGCACGTTTATTATTGGAATAATACGAGGTTTATCAGATTTATCTCGAATGGATTCTCTTTCAATTGAATGCATTGCAGAATCATTGAACGCTATATTTGATATTTATGCGGATAAAGATTTTGACTACGACGAACCTGTATTTGTTCATGAAGGTTATTTACATATATTAGAAAGTATAGCTGATAATGTTCATAATATTGTAAGGATTTGTAATTTATTTATTTATGGGAATTTTTATTTTATGTAAATTTAACCTTTTTAAATGTGTAGACTAACTCAATCGATGAGAAAAAATCACGTGAACAACGACTCCGTATGGATGAAGCATATATCAATCTTGTCGAATTCATTAAATATAAAAAAGATGAACAATTTATTAAGTAAGGTATTATAAAACTAAAAATGAATGTATAATATAATTAATTAAACTATATGAAAAATATAATTACTAAAAAGAGTTGGCATCAAAATGCATTAAAAGATGATTTGTTGAAAAGTAATAAACATTTTATGAACCAGTAAAGAATGATCAACAAATTATATGTATGATTATATAATTTAAGTAGAGGAACCGGGTTAAGATTGTTGACTTGTGAAAAAAAAAGATCCAGAAGCTTCTAATTTAGATTCCCATAAAAGTAAATGGTCTGCATAATTTTATTAAACCCGTTATTTTTCATGTTTGAAAACCGAGATTCAAAGGGGTCTCAATAAAAAAAAAAATTTTTTGACAATACTATGAGATTATGTAATATTTTAATCCTTTTAGCAAATTTTCGCATTTAAGATCGCTTAGCATTTATATTATATAATCGACTCTGGGCCACATTTTTTTGCTTGATTAACAGTATTGTACGTTTGATGATCAACTTGGCATTTTTATACCAACATAACAGCATATAGAGTAAATATATATATATATAGGTTAAAAAGAAAGTATAGTGGTACAGTTCAAGAAGGTAACTTTTTGCGTAAATATGTGCAATTACATCTGACAGTTAGTACAAAGTCAAAAATAAAAAGTACTGTTAAATTTGTGCGATATATTTAATTTTTACATCTTCATTTATTTTTGGTTGTGCATTGAAAATCAAAAAAAAAAAAATAATTTAGATTCATCTCCTTGCATTACCGCAGTCATTATTTATTATGTACTAGGTGACTTATTATCCACCAATTAAAAAATATAAGGTTACCCAATTGCATTTTGAGTTTTTTTTTTCATTTATTTGTACTATTAAAAAATTTTTAATGGCTGTCTAAAAATTTACATCATAAAATCATCAGATAATTCAGATATATAATAAACGTATCATATTAAGTCCCGATTTGTTTTTTTCTTTTTATTATTATTTCGTGAATATATAATTCAATATTTGCATGCATAAAAAAATAAAATAACATCTATGAGCACTCCAAAGTCACCATCTTTTCCTTCAACAGCTTCTACCAAGAATACAAATGCAGAATCTACCTCTACAACTAATGAGCCGGTCGCTAATTCTGCAAATACTAACTCAAATAATAAAAATGTTGCTTCTGAAGCAAGTCGAAAGGATCTTATCCATTATGTCAATATAATCAATTTATTTTTAAATTCCTCAGTTCACACTGACGGAGACACAAGATTGCAACTTGCCATTCAACACCTTTATGAAGGCCTCGAATTTTACCCCGATGCATACGAGTTAAAGGTAATTGGGTCTTTAAAAATTTTTTAATAATAAAATATGATTTATTAATTTTCAATTAAAGATAGTGTGTATGAGTAGAGCTGTGATACTTTTTTATATGAACAATGTTCTGAAAATTAAGAATAATAGTGACCGAACGCGTAATTGATCTGACTTGTCAAATTTGAGTTTTTCAAGCTGTCAAATGCACCTAATTTGTTTTTTTTCCTTCCAATTTTTTTGTACCTAATGAAGTGTTCGTGATTCATTATTAGCTTTATATAATATAAATAGTTGAAATGTATAAACTTTTCTCAATTTTGGGTTCAACATAACACATTTACATATAACATAGTTCCTAGCCCACAAAATATCAATCAAAGAAGGTGACATGTCTCAAGCCATCGAATCTTTTGATGAATTGTGAGTTCCACTCTTTTTCGTTTCCCGTGGTTAACGATATACATATATAACTTCATATTTGATCACGTTAATCATTAAAAATCGATATTTATATTTATAGACGAAGACTTTTCCCTGATCATGAATCGTTGAAAGAATACCTAGTTCAAATAACTCATTCCGTACGATACCAATCTATGGATGATAAGTTTAGTGAGTAAAAAATTATAATATGTTAAATATTACTTTGTACTTAGACCGTTAAATCTGTATCCAAAAATATTTTTAACTCTAAGTGAGAGTTAGACAATTGAATTCAAATAGCGGATCATAAACACGCAAGGATAGGTTTGGATCTTGAAAAGAAATTATCCTTCCGCCGAATGCAATATTGCAAATCTTATATATTTGAATATATATAAAAGTCAATTTATCATAGCGTGATGGTTACAGAATAATCACGTCAATATGATTAGCTTCGTAATGACGAGGTGATTATTTTAGAGTAACTGAATCATAGATTTTTTAAAAATTAACCTTGCCTTGGTTATCCTCTCTTTAGAAAAGCATGTTATAACGATGGAATCCCAACTACGTGCTTCCAACATCCAATTTCATACCAAAACAATAATTAATGAATAATTTAATCAATTTTATCAGTTTTAAAATTCTTACTAAAAGACTTTGTATTTTTTTCCTATTTACTTTTAGTGTTCTTTCTTAAACTTCCGGCGCGAACTCAGAAAGATATATTGAGACATAGTGCAGGTAATATTTCTAAACTTCATAATAATATATTTTTTTATATGTTTAATTTTCTCTTTAAACAAATTTAGAATACCACGAAATGGATGGTGAATATTTAGACGCGTGTAGGATATATGTTTTACTTCTAAAAGCATATCCGGAAACTGTTGCTTTTTACGGGGTAATTTAATTTTATGATCTAGATTTTAAAACTGTAATTGTACTTATTCAATTAAACACTGAATATAATATTTCTTATTGTAATATTAATCTGAGAATTTAACCATTTGATTATAATTTAATAATTTATTGTTTTTATTTTTTACTTTTTTAAAAAAAAATTTAAAGTCACATGCTGCTCAACTCGCGGTTAAATGCGAAAACGAGAATCAGCCATTACCTGTTTCCAATTCATACCGAAAGATATTAGGTTGGTAAACATTAATTAAATAGATTTTAGCATGGGATGAAATTATTAACGTCCTTTGTATGTCTGCTCATTAATTTGAGGTTATTAATTTATTAAATTTGAACGGTGATCTAATTTTTTTTTCCCAAATGCAACCAAAAGTGGAAGATATTTTACCCGAGATTCTTCACCAAAAAATTGTGGTATATGATAACAGCCTCCCGCCAGAAATTCCAGTTTATCAACCAAAAATCTCCAATACTATATCTTCAACGTCACAACCGAATTCTTCTCAATCCTGTTTACACGTTACTTATAGCCAACTGAAATCATGGCTTGAAAGAGCACAAGGTTTTTATATTGCTAACAAGGATTGGAGAAAATTGTTCGAAGTTTCATTAGGAGTAATGAATAGTTGTGGGTACTTGAGATTTGAAAGGTACTTTCATTGTAATGGTAGGGTTTAATTAACCCACAAATTCAAATATTCTTATTTTATCTCAATATGATTTTCAATATTTTATACACAATTTTAGTTCTCCAAGGATAACGATGGTAGATCTTTTTTGCGATCCTCATGAATTACCGTCAAAATTGTTTTCCCTCTTGAATCAGAAACAAATATCTCTGGTTAATCAGCCATTCATGATGCATGATTCAGCGCCACACTCTTTTGCTGTGTCTATGGGAATTGCATGTTTTGTATTATGTTGTCATGAATTTTATGAATATGTAGCTGGACTAAAAAGTATGTAAAGACTCTGTTTTTCAGGGGATTTCTTTTTTTTTAATATATATATATGTATGTATGTATGTATATATATATATATATATTTAAATAAAAGCAAATAAAAAGAAAGAGAAAAAAAAGGATAATCTCGTAATAAATTTTTATTATAATCATTTGAAGGTAAACGAACGTGTTTAATACCCGTTCTTCCTATTGGACAATTTACTTCTCCCATGACAAGTCAATCAACATCTAGTTCTTATGATGATCAATGTGAAACGAGAGTTAACAAAAAGAGGCGGTTAAGCCTTAGCTTCCTGTTGTCAAAAGAATCTAGCGAAAGTAGTGCACTTGACGATTCTATAAATGATGAAAAAAATAATCAATCCGAAAAATACAGAGGAAATAGTGTTATGAATGTTAAAAGCTTGTTGATTGACGACCCAGAATTGTCATTGCAACAAAGACAAAATTCAATTACAATAGAGAGTTCTAGCCAGGAATTAAATACAGAACAAATTAATTTATGGAAGGGTATACTATTTATTATTATTATTATATTATTTTTTTTTTTTTTTGGTTAAAAAAAAAAAAAATTTGATGATTTCTTTTAATCGATCATTAAATATAATTATTATTAATTTCAGAATCGTATAATTCTTCGGAGACGTTAATTCATGTTGCCATGTCACATATAGAACGTGCCTTAACTTGCTGGCAGCTCTTAGAAGCAATGGTTCTACGTGGAGGGAGCGATTCTAAAATATTAGATCAAGGTATTGAAATGACTTCATATGTTTGAATATATATTTTAAGCTCCTTTAATCTGAAACATTATTCTATATTATAGAATTGGAAAATCATATTAAATCATGGGATCTTCCATTAGACGTTTCAAATGCGATTATGTTAACACGCGGAGATCTTGCTCTCTTTTGTGGATCCTGGAATACAGCGTATTATTTTAGTCAAAATTTATGCACTCGAATTGAAGGTGCTTGGGATGCTCATCGCAAAAAATTATCAAAAAAAGAACAATCTCCTCCGTTATCATCTCCAACTTATTTGCAAGAAAAGCAACAAACGATACAAGAAGAATCCTCGGATTTGTCCAAAATAAATGTTAAAACACAAACTCCATTATTACTTACGTTTCGAGTTATTTATTCCATTTCTATGATTTATCTTTTAATTGGTTGGTGGAAAGAAGCACGAAAAGAACTTTTAATGATATTGGCAACTATACCTTTTACGCCAGTTACACAAGAGCATTTTAAGAAAGACGATTGGTGTACGAACAAAACGATTGAAGGCATTAGCTATGATGAAGGATATAAACGAAAACATTTTAAGTTAATGGAGGTTACGCAAGAAGATCTTGTGGTAAGAACAATAAAAGAATTAATGGCATGTTATGAGGTAAGGCTTCTTAATATTGTACTTTTAATATTTTAACTCTCATTCTTATATTTGATTTTTTCTTTTCATGTCTCCTTAGAAAGAACTCAGTTCCTTTTCACGGAAACAACCAGAAATAGATAATACACTAGGGCATATAATAGTATTGACACAATATGGTTGGCCTTATTGGCGTGATCGAATATTTCGGCCGGTAATACTCCCAAAAATTAAAGAACATGGAGGCCTTAGTTACCCTGACATGTTACGATTTGTATACAGTAAGTATCTTTAACTTGTTATAATAATAATTTTAACTTATTTAAAATTTTTATATCTTTAATTTTTCAATTAATAACCAATTCGAAAAAAAAAGATATCGAAATCCTTCGTGAATTTCGCGAATTATATCGAAAATTTCCGGATCTAAATTTTTCTCTGTTACGGCAAAATTCAACTTCCAGTGACCAATTAACAAATTCCAATACAACAAAAGCGTCAATGCAGGCTTTGGAGGATAAAATTAATCACCCTTCTTCACGAAGCAACAATGAAAAATTAGTGGAATTTTGTAAAGAAAGGTTAATTCACTTACGAAATAAAAATGTTAAAGCAAAAGGTAAAGAAATTCCATCTAGAAATGTTAGTAAATATAATGATAAATCCCTCGATAATCCAGATAAAATAATAAGTGATCAAGATAACGTTTACGAAATAGACATGCAAAGTTCACAAAATACAAACACTCAAGAAACACAAATAATACAAAAAAGCTGGAAGATGAATGTCTCATCAATTGTAGTACCTAACAATATAAATAGTAATTTATCGTGTAATTATGTTCAATCAAACGGTTTACGTAATACTATAACAAAAGATACAAAAAAACTTTGAAACTTAACAAATACATTATTAATAATGAGTGAGTGTGTTAGGAATAAGTTGAACACTAAAAAATTTTTTTTAAAAAAAACGAAATTAGTAAAGAAATATGTAAATAAATTTAAGATGGTATATTATTCTTTATTGATTAATTAAAAAAAAAAATACTCTATTATTTAAACTATTTTATTTGAAATTTTACGTTCTAATATAAATTTTACTTCTAATACAGAATAATCCGAAGGACTATAATTCTATGCAAGGTGATACGAAATTACGAATGTCGGATCGGATGTCCGCCCAGCACGTGACGTGAAGTTGATTATTTCGGACTTGATACCGGTTTCCTTTTCCTTACTTAATTATATTTTTTAATTAAATATTTGGTATACCATATATAGTCAAAATTAATATAACTTAGCAAAACTTAACATTATTTATTTTTTGTATAAATATCAACAAAATCTTAGGAAAATTTAGGAAAAAAAGAATATGATTGATTATAGAAAAAATTTTTTAGATAAAATGTTTAACCTATAAAAAATTTATATTAACTTTTAAAAAAAAGAAAATATGAAAAAAAATAAATAAATCCATTGCTTATAATAAGTATTTAATAATAATCCAAAAATATGAGAAAAAAAAGAATAGCAAAAATCTATTGTGATTAGTAAATTTTTTATAGAAATATAAATTCCAATTGAAGTAAAAAAAATTTTTAAAAATAAAAAAAATAGTTAATAATTGCAAAAATATTTATTATCAAATATCATTTATATTAGAAATATAATTTATATAAATATAAAATAAATTATATAAAGATAATATATTGTATTAAAATTTATTTATTTAGTAATATGATTATGTAAGCCTACATTATAATACAGTTATTGGAAATTTGAATACTATACTAATATGCATTAACATCCTTCCTATTTCTAGTACAACAAACACTTTTTTTAAAAAAATAAAAAGGGTATAAAAGGGTATAGACTTTTGACAAGAGAAAATCTAAAAATCATATTTGGTATAAAGGTCAGTTTTTTATATTACGTGTTAAGCTTAAACAGTAATATTTCAAAGATAAATTTTATCGTGTTGTTGACTTTTCCGAAATTATAAATCTGTTTAACCTTCAAACAAAATTAATCAATTTTAATTACAATTTTTATATTGTACATATTTAGCCACATTATCCATATTATCTGGAACCACGGCCCGGTTTGGTATAAAGTTTTTTCTAATTTCACCACGCATAATTGAACCTTTCAAGAAGATTATTTGCATCTTGCACATCTTTTTGGGCCTTCTTCCTCATATACCTGCCATAAATTACAATTCATTGGCGTTAATTAAAAAAAAATAAGGAGTAATCGACCATAGATCTCGATTCGTACCATATAGGACAATCCTTTGAACTACAGAGAATATCCTGATGTAAGCTGCCTTGACACCTTTGACATTGAGTCCATAACCGAGCAAAATGGACTTCGAGTTTGTTTACAGTGTCGAGCTATCGGGAAAAGATAGTTATAAATGTTCTTATAATAAAACATGCAATGAAAGAGATTACCTGTCGCTGATATAATTCACCCAATTTCGGCTTACAATGTCGACATACTGCTGTGTCTATAATTTTGAAAGTGTAAGAATCTAAATATTATTATTGACATAAATTGTAGAAATACCTTTTTTTGATAGAGGAGTTTTACATCCTAAACAAGTAGCTGTCTTTACAGCAAATTTCATCAATCCGCCAATTGTTGGTGTTGCAATTTGAACGACACGAGTATGATCACCAGCAACTTGATAAATATAAAATGATTATTATAACTCGTTCATTTAAATATTATAAGTTCACTACTCACGTAAAGACTGAGCTTTGTCGCCAAGAATTGGTTCGAAAATTCGTAATAATGGTTTAGATAATTGATTCTCCAAATAATAGTTAGTGTCAATAGGAATATTATTTTCTAGAACATATATCGGATCTTCCGATTTTTCGTAGGCAGCGGCGCCTAAATTTTTCAAATAATACGTTGACTCACATAATTTGGTATGAAATAAACATAAAATATAAATTTATTACCTTTAGTACTTTTTACTATAACATAAGCGACCCGATCGCCAAGTGTTGGCGCGGAACCTTTTTTTTTTTTAATTAAAATAAATAAATAAATATATATATATATATATATAAATGTTAAAAATTTTTATAATTAAAAACGAATTTAACCGTGTTACTTGCCTGCATCACGCTTACGCATACGTTCAGCCAATTCATGATGTGGCTGTTTAGCCGAATAATCTGGATGGTGATATATCAATTAATAAAATTACATATATTCAACAAAAATGTAAAGAAATTAACAATTATTATTAATATCCACCTGATTTACTTAAGGCTTTTGTGATAACTAATTGCGACATGTCTATTTTATTTTGAAGTAAATCTGAAATTGTTTTCTTAGCGTATCTATGAAAGTACCAAATGTTAAGCAAATGTCAATGGGTAATATATTAAGAAAAACATATTAGGTACGTACTCTTCGGCACCAGAAACATCCCGATCAATCAACATTTTCCTCAAACATGTTTCTATTACATTTTGTACGAGAAGGCAATTGTCTCTCCTGACAGTCTATTATTATAATAAGAATGACGTTTAATTTCCACAATTTTTAACAAACTTTGCATCAAAAGCTTACCTCAATACCCTTAGTATCTAATTTATCCCATTTATCTGGATTTGTCCAATATAAACCAGCATAACGCTTTTTATTTATTAATAGATATGGAAAGTAAACCTTTTCAAATTCTAATTTAATTGGTTTAACAAATTTCCTTGTAACATAGTCTGCCGCTTCCCTCCCTATTAAAGTATGTTAATAACCATCTAAATATAAAAATGAATGCTAATGGAAATATTACCTAAAGCCATGGCATCAACTAGATTATCCACTCCAAATTTTACCATAACAGAATCTGTGTCTCCATAAATAATATGAGCATCATGTTGATATCCATTGGCTATGGTATATTGACTTTCCACCTCCTAATAAAATAATGCATATAAACTTGATATTTCACAATATTATAAATCAACTATGAAATAAACATCAACCTGTTTTGTCTTTTCAATCATCTGGCGTCCATAAGCTGTGACACTTGCTGAAATTTCAATACAAGGAAGCTTACCAACTGTAGCACCAGTAAATCCATATACAGAATTTGCACTAATCTATAAGAGAATGTTTTGGTTTCATTTCAATTTAAGTTCATTAGTTATTAAACATATGCAATAATGGTAAAAACATTTACGCGAAACTTTAGAAGAAAAATATAATACCTTACCTTAAGGGCTAATTGACGTCCATCAAGAACAGCTTTTTTAAAAGGATCTGTCTCTTTTTTTAAATCTGCCTTGGCTTTCTTGCGTGCAGAGAGAAGATCTTCCAAGATTGTAGGTAAAAGTCCCTTTCGATGATGGACTTTCACAAACTTTGCTAATGTAATTAATGATATATAAGTTAGTTAAGTGCTTGACAAAAACCCATAACCTTTTTTGTTAATACCTACCATTGTTATATGGTGTTGTAATATAATCAACATCACCTAATTTATCAATATCTTTGATATCCAATAATGTTGTATAACAAAGGTTATGAGCAATCATGATAGAAGGATATAAAGAGCTAAAATCAAGTGTAGCTATTGGAACATTATAAAATCCCCTTTCTGGTTCAATAACGGTTGCTCCTTCAAATTGATCATCGGACCCTAAGTAATTGCACATTAGCACCGTCAAATTTTACTTTAACCGAAATAACAGGATAAATAACAAATATTTAATACCCTCTGATTTTAAAGCCGGTATAACTAAGTTTTGCTCAAATGCTTTTCTGTATAATTGTGATATTACTTTAATTTGTTGTCCACGAGAAAGAAGATAATTGAACGGAACTCCCGTAACACGAGCCATTTCAAGATAATTGATAATGCACATGAGTTTGTCCATTAGTCTCTGTGGCAAGATTGCATCCTAGCAAATAGTTAATATCAAGTTACTTAAATTTACTTGTATAAATATGTATTTATTTAAATGATAAACTACAGACCTTCAAACAATAAATCGCTAACCTTCGTCGTGATTCATCATTTCCATTTTGTAAATCAGTGATAATAGAATGATGTACTTCCTCTTTTTGTTCCCCTTTATAATTTCAAAAATCTTATTTACATGTACCAAATATAAATTAATTAAATGGATTAAATGAAAAATAATATATATCTCACCTAGAAAATGAGCACATACAGAATTAAGTGTATAAGATCTTAACTTATGATCACGCTGCATAACCTGTAACATATCAAGCTGAAGTCTTCCTTCAAGATGTAAATTTTAGTTAAGACTAATAATTATAATGGTGATTTACATGGTTATTAGTTTTATGTAAAAAAAGGATATTGATAAATTTGTTTTCCCGTGTTCCATACGCTTTTGAAGAAAATTTAGTGTCTTTAGCCTCTGTTTTTATACCTTATTAAAATATAAATAATTTTAGAAAAATCATTTATTTCTCAAGAAGATAAGAATTAGAGAATAACGTATATGTTTACCTTTCATACGACCAAGATATGGAAATTTCTTTACATTCAAATGCTGGGCGCGATCAAGTAAATATGGAAAATCAAAATTTGTGGTATTATATCCTATGATAACATCAGGGTCTACCTATTAAAAACAATCAATATAAAGATTATTATCAAATCACATGATATAAGTTGACATAACAATATACATGCCTCGATTACAAAATCTCTCCATGCTTGCAACATCTTCCCTTGATCATAACATTCGATGACATCAGTTGCAACAATTGGAGCACAAGAATTTAAGGTAAAGACATTTCTGATAAAAGGATGTTTTTCACCTATAAAGTGTAATTAAATAACGGATTAATTAATTATTATTTAAATCAATTTACATCTATAAGAAAAAGTGACCTTGTCTCGTAACCATATTGGCTATTTGAATAACTGGGTCCTCTGTGGGATCAGGAAAAATGCCCTTGCGACCTGCGCATTCAATGTCAAAACTTAGAATACGCAATGGAGCTACTTTTGACCATTCGCCTTCAGGAGGATGACTAATAAATCGGTCGTATCTAAGCAGTTATAAAAATTAATAAATTATTTATTTATTAAAACATAAATGAAATTATCTACACAAGTATTACTTTATATCAATTTCCAGTTGACAAGTAGATGTCTCGAGCGAATTAGTACGCAAATTATAATTTTTTGGTGGTAGTTCTATCCAATTTGCTCCAGTAACCTAATCAGAACAATCCTATATGAGAAATTAGTTCGTAGATAACAAATTTGCAAAATGATAATATAAGATGAAAACCTTGCAATCAATCATGAATCGTAAGACATAACTGATATTGCTTTCAAATGTCATTTCTCGAAGTTGCCGTTCGTTATATTTAATAGCTCCATCCTCAATGAGGCGTACAAGGTGTTAAGGATTATTTATCATATTTATTTGTTAATACGAAAAACGGAAGATTAGATTATAAAGGATATGTCTAGCAACATTCATAGCTCTCACTTCACTAAAAATAATTTTGAGGAACTGGCTCTTTTTATTTCCATGATAACCCCATATACTCTCTTTAAAAGTAAGTTCAATTCTTTCGATTGGCTTCTTTAAACTATTTTCCGGTTGAATAGCGCGCTAAACATATTACTTATTATTATTTGAAGTTTAGAAATAAATAAAAAAGTTCAAATAAGATTTTATTATACAATTACCGTGATCTGTTTTTGTAAATTAGATAAATCATTTTCTTTGAAACCAATTGGTGCTGGAATATAAAAATATGGACGAAATCCCGTGACATAACAAAGAACGCTATTTCCAATCTATCGAGGAAAAATCGTTATTAACAGAGACAGGAGACTTAGCAAAATCGTTCATTCTGATGTACCTCCGTAATTCCGAACATTCGGATTATTGGTTCTCTTGATTCGGGATCGATGGTATCGTCGATTTCAATTTGCTGAAATACTATGGAAACATTAAATGTGAATGTCTGATGTCGAATGATAGACTATAAATATCTTACTTACTTATAGAGTCACGATTAGGGTCGATATTTGGCACACTTGGACGTGTCCAAACTTGGTGAGCTTTTTCAGCTATAGCGAACAAAAAATAGTTTTAATAATTAACTTGAATTATTAACGTAAACGGTCGCGTTTTACTTACCATTGGCGCTCTCACTATCTTGCAAAAGAGCCAATTGATTTTCAAAAGAAGATGGTGCATTTGCTTTCTTTTTGTTTCGAGTAGAAAAGGTAGACATTTTTTTAAAAAAATATATACAATTTAAATTTTTTTATTTTTTGTGAATTGAGACGCGTAAAAATCCATCCGCTAACAGTTGCAAACAATTGAATATAATTGGCTGACTAATGTGAACGTTTTATCACCTAAAGTAGATATGTAGTACTAAAATGTATTACGTGATCTTGACCTGGATAGTATAGGCGACGAACCTAGCGTCGCCTCCAGAAAATGGTAGCCGGATTCATGGATTTAGGGTAAGGGGATTAGGGTTAGTAATTTGTCACGTACTCACGTAGTGTAGTGGCACTTCCTAGTTGTTCTTCAATTTTATAATTATTCTGTGAACGCGGAATTTTTTTATATGTAAAAACTCTAATTGTCGCTCATTAATTGTCACACCATAATAATATATGTAACCACACCAACAGTAAGATCCATGGCCATGAACAAATACCCTTGCTAGTTCATTACAACATTGCGTAATTGCAATTGCAGTAATTGCAATATGATTTTACAATAATATTTATCTCTAACAACTTTTTATATCACTTTATTATCACTTTATTAAAAGACAAAAAATAACTGCTATATATTATTATTATATTAACTTCAAAATAATATTTCCTTATTACTTCTTTCTTAAATTTCTATAATAAAAAGTTTGATTTAATTTGACAATTTTATTTTTTTCTTTTTGAAATTTAAATATAAGGTTTTTTTTTTTTTTTTTTTGCAATTGGTTTAATTTATTTAGATTAATAGAATTAAGTAGTGATTGGAATCGATTCTATTCCATGTAGATTAATGCAATTTTCCATGTTGCCTAAACGCAGATCATTTTGCACCTCCACTTTTTTAATTACTTTACTGGTTATTATTTTACCAATAGAATTAATTATTTTTTAAATAATAAACTTTCAAACCTGATATGTAATGTTTATTTAATGGAGTGATTACTAAATGATTATTTATATTTAGTAATTCTCCAAGTTAAAAATTAACCTTTTTTGTAATGATGACAAAAATTGAGAAATCCAACCAATGCGAATATAGAACAAACGATTGGATAGAACAGAAACAAAATCGCTTAGTTTTTACTTTGGAAATCAGAAGATCAGAGTCATTTGATATATTCAAAAATAAATATTATCAAGAACAAAAGAGCCATTTTTGGATAAATTCCGTTCGGCTTTTTTTTTATCATTCTCATATTTTTTTTTAAAAAAAATAACAAAAGTAATTTAATCAAATTATTCAAAAATTTGCAATTATTTTTACTTTAAAGAATAATAAGAATGATATTACTAATCCAATTGAAGGATTGGATCATATTACAAAAATTTTGGAATAGTTAACTGTTAATATATTTGAATTAGTGTGAGACTTGAACAATAGAAAGCATGTTTCTAAATTACATAATTTTTAATTTAATTGGTTCAGAACGAAACGAAGGACGCAAATATGAAAATTTGTTATTGGCATTGTCTGCCACGTGGTCATAAGGCATTTTGCCCGGACTTGCAACGGTAGTTATAAATACGTTATAAATACGATGATTTAATAAATTGTTTGATTTGTACATTTGTACAATTCATTATAAATTCAATTCTCTAAACCTGTCATGTGTTCCACTTATTTTATCACACAATTGTATTATTTATATATTATATACTCAGCATAATGTATATGCTTATGTGTATATCTATATAATGATGTAATTTTATTATTTGGGGGTTTTTTTATTTTTATGAAAGAAANAAAAAAAAAAAAAAAAAAAAAAAATATTACAAATATAAAATTAAAATACAATTATAAATATCTATTTAATTAGACTATTTAATTGTTGTTGCTTTATGTTAAATAAATAGTCTTTATCTTGCGAATGTGGTAACGGTAATTCTGTGCTCATAAAGCTAGTATCCATTGGATCTGCTAAATATTGATCATTAATTAACCTTTCTTCACTTCTAATAAATTCATCATTAACCACATCTAAATTATCTCCACTACCATCAACACCATTATAACGACTGAATAATTGTACACCTGGCATTTTTAATTCTGTTATAAAAAGAAGGAGAATAGGAATTACTTATCATGTTATTAAAATTTAAGACTATATGAGAAAAACTTTTTATACCATCATCTATGGCAGATTCCTTTGACATATTCTCATCCATTTTTGGCCTGTTAACCTGGAATTTCTCTTGAGATGTATCACCAGGACGTGTTCTTGTCCAAAATCTCGTCGAATGATCATTTGAACCTGATACCAAAATATGTCCTATCGGATGCCAATCAAGTGACCAAATATTTTGATCATGAGCATATTCGATTGATTCAACCAATTCATCTTGCCTGTTAATAAAAATTCAATGAATTTAAGTATTAATCCTTGTTTGTATTTAAAATTTGCTTAAAATCACTCTATCAAATGAGTAGTATTTACCCAACAATCCAGTTCATCAAACACCCGTCTGATCCGCCCGTAGTCAACAATTTCTCATGGAATGGATGCCATGTAATCGCTGATGAATTTAAAAATTGATCAGATATATTATACTTATTATTCTTGCAAACTAATAAAAAATGTTTATTCATTTACTTACAACACACTTCTTTATTATGCCCACGGAAAGTTTGTAAATCTTTCATCGTTCTAATATCATAAACTTTGACTAATTGATCTCTTGATGCGGTTCCTAACCAATTACCATTTTTATTCCATTGTAAACCAAGAATATTATTCTTATGTCCATGTCTAATTAGAAAAATCGTTTAGTCAAGATGTTAATAGAAAAGATTAAAATTATTTAATAAAAACGCGTGAACTTACAAAGTGGCGACATTCTTTCCGGATTTGGGATCCCAAAATTTTATAAGACTATCCCTGGATCCTGATGCTAATAAAGATTTATATGGATGCCAATCAACAGCTTTTACATCTAAACCATGTCCTTTAAAAAAAAATCATGAATAAAAAAAAGATTTAATGATTTGAAGCGTCAATCATAAGCCCCAACAGATTATGTAACATTCGCTATTAAATATAAATGTAATACCAACCGGATAAAACATTTTCTTCAATTCCTTCATTAAAGTCCCATATTTTAATAGTTCTATCGTCTGAACATGTAGCAAATTTTGTATCGGTTGGCGCAAAACTATAATTTGGTATTTTTTTTTTTTTTGTCGTGACATAAGAAAAAATTTAAGATAAAGAAAAAAAAATAAAAATAAAATAAGATATTAATATTCAATTATAAAATTTGTATAGGATTTCTTTATTAATAAATTGAAAAAAAATACATATAAATTATTTGTTAAAAATAATAATATTACGCACGATAAATCTCGTATAGCTTCTTTATGACCTTCGATCATCTTCAAATTATTCATATTGGATTGCCAATATTTTATAATACCCTTGTGATCTGCCGTTACCATCCAATTATCGTTATGACTCCACTTCATCGCTCGTACTGCTGATTCATGTGCCTTTATTTTGTTTTTATTATAACATTATCGAATGGATGGGATTTTTTTTTTTTTTACCCAAAAGATCGAAATGATTGATCACGAAGGATAAAGATTATGATAAGGAAAGTAGGGGAACGAGAAAAAAAAAAGAAGACAAATAATCATGGTAAATCAAAGTGTATCAAGAGTAAATTGTTTATATATAATTTTACTCGATCATTATAAATAAAAAGTACAATTGAACAATATAAAGTAGAGGACTATGGAAAAACATATGATGTTTTTAATATCTTTATTTCTTTCCACATTACTCTCTTCATATATTTTATTAAATTCTTATCTTAATAAGCTAACTACAATTAATGAAACTTCTATCGAAGTAAAGATAAATTGTCTCTCAGTGAAGGAAAGTTGAAAGATTACAACGCGAATTCTTCCATATACTTATGAAATTTCATTGTAGAAAATAAACATGTTATATTTGGGTTAATAATTTTTTTTTTATTAAATTTATTAAAATTTGTAAACAAGGTTACATCATAAGAGAAAGAAATTGCGCTAAACTTTCTGCTTTCTTCATTCTTCATAAGCTGAAACTTGATCTCAACCAAGCAGACTTCACGAAAAAGAACACATAAGTAGGAAAAAAAATAATGATAAAATTTTGTAAATACCTGTAAAATAGTCTCAAAGTTAAAAGTCAATCCATTCCATAATGTGAACTCGCCACTTGATAATCCTGTAATTAAACGTCTTCCTTCGGGTGTCCACTATGAAAACATTTGATTGATTAAAATTCTTTCATAAAATCACGTGAAAGATTCATTATAAAGTTACTACATACCCGGACAACATTAACTGGATATCGATTTTTGTTTGTTGACGTGTGTACATATTTTGTCGCTACTGCATTTACTGGATTATGCAAATACGCTGACGGTGGTAAAAGCTAAGTAAACCATGTGAAAAAAATAATGGTTAATGCGAATCTAATTAAATCAATTATTGTAAACGTAATTACTAAAGAAAATTACATTTATAATAAAATCTGCCTTGGGTCTCAGGAGTTTCATACTTCTTTGATCTCGAATCCATATTCTATCCTAATGTTCATTTAAAAAAAAAAATAAATTATTTTTCATTAGATAATTCAGTTAAATTAGTTAAATTGATCCCCATTTTTTAAAAAATATTGCTCTACTTTACCTGTTGGTATTTTCCAATAGAACAATTGAAATCTACGGTTCTTCTTTGAATAGCCTTTCTCATTCTTTTACCATCAAAAACTGCTCTTTGTGCATTTACGTTATTACCGTAACCAGGACCGTGTCTATTTGCGTATTTCCTTGAATAACCACTTCTGATGGTATCTCCTGGAACAGGTGATTGGCTAGTTCTAGCTTCGTTGGCAGATCCAACAGTAACAGCTGAATGTATTTGTGGACTGTTAACGCCTTCACTACCTATACCATTACCACTTATATCTTCAGTATCCATTTTTTCTCCCTTCTCTGCAAATGTTTGCGGAGGCGTATTTAGCCCATTTAGAAGTCCAGTATTTGAATCGTTCTGAGCTAACTTAACATCTTCCCATGGCATTGTTTCCGAAGTCGAAACGGTCATTGCAGCCATAAATATTGAGTTTATTCAAATTAGTGATTTTAGTATATTTAAAAAAAAAAAAAAAATTCTTTTTTTAAAGAAAAATCAAATGCGTGTACTGTACATTATAATTCAAATAAAATCGATGGGTTTTAATTAAGCCACAAATTATAATTCAGCCGGAGGTCACGAGATTACGTTTATACGTTATTTAAGTGATAATTTGTCATCTTGTGAAACTCAAAAGATACAGATAGGTCTTCTTCCTCAATTTCGTTCGACAAAAATTCGAACGACGTCATGTGGAAGAAAACGAAGGCTTTGGTCGAGCCTCTGGAGCGTTTAATAACGACTTTGGGGACTAAAGGACCAAAGTCCAATACAACACATTCTGGTGGAAATTCGCAAATCACTAACTTTACTAAATCAAAACAACAAGTGTCTGAAATACCAAAACAAATTGCAGTCAACAATTTCTCAAACTCAAATAAAACATTGGAAAAACCACTACTTAGTAAATTTATATTTGAAAACTTTTCGATTTTTAAAATACTTTCTCCTCAACCTGCTCCAATTCCTGTCGTCTTCTCACAAACACCTCTGCGCCTATGTAAGCCTCAAGGGTTAGGGTTAATTTCTCAACACGCTTTTATACATCCAGCTGGGACTAGAAATGTAATCGGTCGTTGCGGAACTAGAAACTTTTCTACTATTCAACCTACAATGTTGAATAACTGCACTGGTAGTGGTGGAACAATACTTTCTCAGTTGAGTTTAAAACCATTTTCGGCTTTTGCTAAATCTGGTTCATTGTGGATTCAAAAAGAAGAAGGTTTGGATAATAATAAATTTAATTTTATTAAGAACCAAAAAGCAGAGAGAAAGAAGGAAGTAAAGGGAAAGAAACTTTTCGTTCAAAGTAATAATAAAGGTATTCTTGAAATAGTCAAGAATTCAAATGTTATTGAAGATGATAAGAACAAGCCAAGAGTTGTTCGTAGATCAAGCATAAAGAAATCATCAGAAGAGAATAAAACCGTAGAAAATGTTCCAGAATTAATTTTCAATAGTAACGAAGATGTTCAAGTTTATATGTCTATCATCCTTAGTTCATCAAATTTCTGGAATATTGATGACTCAATTTCGTTATCTAATAGTACAAACAGTATTAATTCTACTACAAGTGTATTATCTTATCTTTTACAACGTAGGAATGATTACGTTTCTCAAAAACGTAATTCACAATTAAATTCATCATTCGTTCAACATCTTCAAGAAATTGTGGAAATGCAACATGATCACATGACTGAAGTTATTTCCATATTAGGAGCATTATTACGTCACGGAGATTTTGAAATTAAAATTGATGGATGCGAGTTGATTGTAAATTTTCCTCGTGGAATGCAAAAAAATGAAATTGAAAATATGTTGGAAAATTTGGGTATTGATCCAAATAGTCCACATTTTGAACTTGAGGAAATTTTTTATGGTGAAAATATACCACCAATAGAGGAAAATTATGGAGGAATTGATTTACAATTCCCCGAACCAAATAGTACTTATGTTGATAACGCATCAGTAGGTTCACCTGGCTATGAAATGTTGTCATATTCATCAAGTAATGACAGTAGTCCTGTTCTGTTACCTAGTAGAGGTTCTATGGATTGCACAAGTGGGTTTTCATCACCTTGTAGTACACCACCTAGACTTGGATCCGAATATATTTCTGGTATCCAAGAATTTCTAAATGCTGTGGATGAAGCTCTTGTTAGAAACACGAATATATTTAATAACAGGGAAAATGATGAAATTGGGGAAGATTACTATGAAAATTAAACGAACCTTCTCCAATAATAATAATGAATTTTTAAACGTTAAAATAAAAAACTTTAGCAACAACAATTTTTTTTATGACGTTGGAAGCTAACTAATCTCATCTTTTTTTTTTTATAGCTTTGAACAATTGTCGTTGGAGTCTAATTAATCACAATTTTTTCTATTTTAAGTGAGAGTGAATAACTAATAATAAAAGTTGAAAATTTAAGAATTTATGTCAGTTCAATTACAGAATTTATATACAATCAATATGAACATTATATATATATTTATTTTATTATTATTATTATTATTATACTGTATATGCATGCTATTAAAATATGTATGTACTTTATAGGTTATATTATTATTAATAAATTTCAAAATATTTTTTATACGTGAAATTTTTTTTTTTTTTACGCAAGCCTCACTTTACTTAATTTTAGCAGATAAATACAATTTTCAATAATTAAAGCCTCAGTAAAAAAAATACTTTTTTATTGATGGTGGCAAAGTTTTCAAAGTAAATGCCACATAATCAAATGCCGATAATCATTAATATAAAGGGAGCAGAATGAATTAAATAATTATTACCTTTTTTTTTTAAAAAAAAAAAAATACCCATTAATTATTATGATGATGAAAAGGAACGAATTTATAATTATTATAGTGATACTATTTATTAATACTATTATTATTAAAGTTGAATCCCAAGGAACACAAAATTTCAATAAAATAGTCGTAAGTTATATAGAAATAAAGACGTGTAAAAAAAAAAATAATAATAATCACGTGATTTTCAATTATTTAGGTATTCGGAGACAATAATGTAGATAATGGAAACGAATGGAAACTAAGTAATCAAACTTATCCACCTTCATCAATTTATAAATTTCAAGGGAGATTTAGTAATGGATTAACTTGGGTAGAATATCTATCACAGTTCTTGGAAGCACAAATTGAAGATTATGCATTTGGAGGGGCAACTTCTGATTCAAATTTCGTTCCAGGTATGTATCTAAATATGTATATAATTAAATAATATTTACATATTATACATATTATTTAATATTATTTATATATTATTTATATTTTTTCAGGATTTAGTGGGGAATTTAATAATATATCAATTAGTGGTATTAAACAACAAGTTGAGAAATATTTAACAAATGTTGTACGTAATGGAATGAATTTTAATGAGACCTTATTTATCGTAGAGTATCTCGGAAATGATTATGTAAGAGATTTTTTTCTCTTCTCATCGTCACTCACTCAATGTTCTTATTGTTCTCACTGCTTTCCTTTATGACAGATAAATGATCCAACTACTAATCCAATAAAAGTAGTCGCAAATCTTTATCAGCAATGGGTTTCACTCTCGAATTTAGGAGTCAAACATATATTGATAAATAATTTCTTTGATTTTTCTTTACTTCCTGATAAAACGAAATTAAATAAAAATGTGACACAATTAATCGACAGAAAGATTACACTTTTACATAATACTTTATTAGTCTTAAGGGTGACCGAGTTTAATTTAAGATTTTTAGGGAAGACCAAACTTTATTTATCAGATTTTCAAAATTTATGGATGCGTGTTAGGGATGGGGATGTTAGTAAAAGATTAAGATTATCAAATTTTAATGAAAATTGTGTTGAAAGAATGAATATTAGTGAATACAGGGTTTGTGATGGTGAGTAAAATATTTATTAATAAATTATTACGATGAATTAATACTAATTTAAACAATATTAATTCAGATCCGGACTCTTATCTATATTGGGACTATATTAACCCCGTGATTAACTTTTTAATTAATTAATTTAACTTATCGCCCTTTTTTTTTAAACTGGATATTAATTTTCTTTCATTCCGACTTTCATTATATAATAGACGACGAAGATGCATTCATATATTGCTTTCTCGGCGTTTAATACGATAAAAGGTATTTCCACGGCCAATATACGATAGAATTTCGGCGTATCTTTCTTTTATTCTAATTTACTAACTAATATCCGTACCCTGTTTTAGGACAAAAACGTATCATCTTTTGACCAATCAGAATTTAAAAAAATTTGGCCGAATATTTTAGATATTAATGTTTTTTTTAAAAAAAAAACCTTAAAAACCTTTGTTATCTTATTAATTCTATAATTCTATTCATTAAATCATAAATTAATTCGTTCAATAATTTTCACAAATTTTATAAAAAATTTCTTTATTTAAAAAATATTTTTTTTTGTTATAATATAAATCAGGTAAAAGAAGAAGATAATGAAAAATATAAAATAAATAAATATTTTCAATTTGTGATTCAAAAAATAATGATTTTCTCAAACTATCCTGTTTTTAGGATTTTGTTCAATGATTCTTTTCTTTGTTTGGAAATTCGGTAATTTACCCGATAGGCATTGTGCGTATGTAATATGTACGAATCATGGATGTTCTTGCATATTAAAGTAAGCGCAGTAAATAAAAAAAAATTTTTCCCGATATTCCGAAATTTTTTATTTTTTATTTATTTATTACGTATTAAAAAAAAAACATTTTTTATAATAATAATAAAATAGTTAAAAATTGTGTAATACTTTTTTTTGAAGCATATGAAAATATTTATATATTTATGTTGTAAATAGGAAAAAACAAAAAAAAAAAAAAGGTTTCAAATTTCTATAAAATTTATTGGTTTAAACATTAGAAACATTAGAAAAGTATTATCAAGACGTGAGGTCTCACAATTTTTCGGCTATTTTTTTTTACTAACCTTAAAAAGAAATTTCTGATCAGTCACATGTTTCAATAAATTTAATCATTTTTTCGTCCCAATTTTTTTTTTAATTTATTTATTGGTTTTAAAAATGTTTGACTTTTTTCTAATTCTGGTTAAAATTTTTTTTTTTTTTTATTGAATAATTGAATTCGATATATTGAATATATGATTTATATTAAAAAAAAAAAATAAAAAATAATAAAATTCAATGAGAAAAAATCGAGTGTAGATTTCTGAATCTGTTTGGCAAACAAATCATAAATGGGCTTAATCCTTTTTTTTATGCAATTAAATGTAATCGTGGTACGTTTATTGTATATAAAGTTAGTACACAGTAAAAATGTGCTTAACCATTTTTTGTAGTTTAATTTAAATAAATCACCACACACATAAATTTATCTTTAATTAAAAGTATTGTACATATATATACATAAATAATAGATTAAAAAGATTCGGGTAGAAAAAACTTTATTATATACATATTATATTATTTTTTTTTATTTTACCTTTTTTTTTTTCCCTCCTCCTCAACCCCCTTTATTTCAGCTTATCAAACTTCCTTCCTTATTTTATACACTCGCTTTCCTTAAAATCCAACAATAGCGTATTTTTTATAAAAAATAATATTTATAATTTAAATAAGTTTAAATAACCATAATGCACCGTTTTCGAAAAAAGCAAGATTTGAAAAAACTAGAACATAATAATAACAACTCCCTCACTACTAAAGAAAGTCAAATCTCGACTAGTACAACTATTGTTACTGGTGAACTGCCTACACTGCCTACACTTCCTCCCTCAGACTTTCGTACTTCACTCATCCTTCCCACTTTGACAAAACGTTTCAGTGTATTACGTAGAGGAGAAAAAACAAATAATCATAATGATACGTCAAAAATTACTTCTATCACGCAAGAATCTCCTGATATTCGAACTATTCTTTCACATTCTCAAATTAATAATGAGAAATTCGATAATAATATCACTACCATTAATGAAGTATCAAAAATGAAAGGTAAAGAGAAATTATTGTTTTTTTTTTTTCATAATTATAATCCTTTTTTATTTCATCTCATATTTTAACTTTCTGATATAGGACGATCACCGTTAAGCAGTTTGGTTGAAATACCAAATGAGGAAAAATCAATGTCAGGAAATTCATCATCTACAATATCATCAATTACTCCACCAACGTCCGTAAATACTTCGGTATCAACTTTATCAATAAGTAATAATTACATTAATATTGATAAGGATAATAATAATAATAATAATGATAACAATAATGATCTTCATTATCATCATCATCATAATCAGGAGGTTTTATCAAATGCTAGAATATTTTATGATTCTTCCATTAGAATTCAAAGTACTACTAGTGTAAATAATAATATTGATGATAATTATAATAATAAGAGCTTTAACGAAAATGACAATAAAAATGATAAAATTAATATTATAAATGAAGATATTAATATGTTACCTGTAAAGAATTCAAAGAGAATATCCTCAAATGGATTATTAGTAAATCCTATAAAGGATCGACCTAAACCTCCAAGAACACGACCACCATCATTATTACAAGTTCCACAAGGGTATTCATGGCAAAATGAATTTACTACACTTTCCAAAAATAATAATTTATCCCCATCAAAATTATCCTTATCAAATTTAGTACCACGACAAATTTCACCTACAAAAACTTCACCAATAGTATTAACGCCACGATCGACAAATTTCAATAATAATGAACCAGATTCATTTCCTCAACCTGCATCTCCACGTTCTCCATTAGATAAATTATCAGAAGGATTGTATAATCTTCAGATTCATTCATCCTCAAGTCTTTCTCCCAGCTCTCCATTATATAATACACAAAATTTATCACAAACATCTCTTCGCTCTTTCGGAGGATCATCAGTCAATGATGAAGATATAATGGAATCACCAATAAAAAAATCACCTAGTATTAATTCATTAAGGAATCTTGAGGAAAACATTTATAATTTAGATAGAGCATCTACCACATCTACAATAGGTTCGTCATTGAAAAGAATTAGAACAGTAAAGACCATAGATATTGATATTAGCAATAATAGTAATAATAGTAATAATAGTAGTAATAATCATAAGAGTGTTAATGGTAACAGTATTATTAGTAATAATGATAGTATTGATAATGAAGGTGATGATGAAGCAGAAAACGAAATTAATAAAAATTCATATATAACCGAGACATCGTACCTGAAAAATAGTTCTGTAAAGAATGACGAGAAGAACAAATTTAAAATTCAACCTGAAATTCAACCAGAAATATCGATTTCGAATATGACCAATATAGCAAGTATGCAAAATAATAATGTTAATTTACAAAAGAGACCATCTCGTGGAGGTACAGCACCACCACCAAAACCACAACCACCTCCATTATCTCTCACTGATACACTAATAGCATCTGGTCAATCTGATATTGCTCATCAAGTAATGGCCATGAGAAGAGTTCAAAATGTGATTCCACAACAACAATTGTTACCTCAACATCAGTTCCATACTAAACAAGGTCCGATGAGGAAATGGTCAAAGAAGAATTTAAAAAATATATCGGGACCACAATTGGTTTCTACTTCATCTAATGTTAAAACGATACCAATAGTACAATTAGTAGGACAATCAGATGATGATAAACTTCGTAAAAAACGTGAAAGTGAAACTGGTATTGGTAAATCGTTAAGAAGGATAAAAGACGTTTTTACTAGTGATAGTGAATCTAATCTTTTTGGAAAGAAACGTACGTCATTGAGGTCTTCTAATGAAAATTTGTCTCGTAAGTTTGTTTCCGATGAGAATTTAAATCAAAAATTTATTAATAATGAAAAAAGAGGCCTTGAATTTGGAAAAAGACGTGCATTTAGCACACGTGAAAAAGATAAACCCGATGATAAATTGAAACAAGATATAAGGAATAATTTTACTTTTATTATGAATAATGATCAACAGCAGCAACAACTCAATGGGGATGATGTTTATATTCCAGGTGATAGGTTAAGTACTCCGATTAATAATAGTGATAAATGGACAGGGCAACAACCATTGTATGATATTTATGCACTGAAAAGACATGCGGAAATGGTAACAAGATATAGTAATAGAAAACTTGAAAATCAGTTAACAACTTCTCGTCCATCTTCTCAATCGTCTTCTTTTTCATTTAATGCTGACATTCCAAATGAATCTGAAAGTGTGCCAAGTAGTCCAATAACTCCATTTAGTGATAGTACAAGTACTCCACCTCCAATCTCTCCGAGAAATCCATTACGTCAACCGGATAAAAGTCGTATAAAATATTCTACTGGGAGTCAAAATAGTATTTCCGATACTGGTAGTGATGAAAAGAGAGATTCAAAAGATAGTAAAGCTTCCTCTTCACGTTTGATGTCTATATTTAGTAATCGTAGTAGTAAAAGTAGTACTAGTAGAAATAGTAAAAATAGTGATATCAATCATTCACAAACAAATAATAATATTGAAGAAGAAGAAAGTCACAGTAAAATAATTCGTCGTACTATTATCATAACTAAACCTTTTCTTCCTCCTTTACCCGAAGATCCTGCTCCTTCCACTCCAACTCTTCCACCTTCAAAGTCTGCTTTAAAAAAGAAAATTAGTCCTGTTGATGGAAATATTCATGCTTCTGATGATCGTCAATGGTTTCATTCAAAAGATACATCAAGTAATGATGATGAACCAGATAATTCAAGTTTATTAAATATTCCCATACAAAAAATTTCAATACGTGATCGTCCTCCAACTCCAATACCTTCTCCTAATACTAGAGATACGATGATCGATTTACCTTATGGTATTCCAATACCACCCATACCATCTCCCCATAGAAATAGTATGGCATCAAAAACCTCAAAACGTACCAGTAAATCCAGCATAACTTCTTCTTTAAAATCATCATCGAGTAAATTTAATAGAAAATCCATAGGTAATAAAAGTATTTATAGTACTTATGGTGAAAGTATATATGATTATTATAATTATAGCGATCAAGAAGGTGATGACGAAGGTGATAGTAATTCCACTGCTACTAAAACCACAAAGAGACAACAGTTTGAGGCTCAACAACATGTTGAAGTATTAGAAATGTCTGACGGTTCCTACGTATGGCAAGTGGTAAATGGTTTACGTGGTGAAGATATGAAAGATCGGTACAGTTATTATTATGCTGGTGCAAATGTTGATAGTAATGGTAATGAACGTACTTACTCTCAAATATGGCCACAAGATTTTGGTAGATTAAACTATGGTCGTGACCTTGAAGATGATCAACTTTCCCTATTATCTTTTAATGATCAACAACGAAATGATAATTTAGATTCTTATATTGACGATACTCCAAATTCTTTTCAACCATCTGAATATCAGAAACATGGTCAATATTTAACTCCTAATGTAATACCTTCACGTAGTCCAAATAGGATAACTAATGAAAAGAATATTAATTCAACTGTGTCAACAATATCAAATGGTGAGGAAAATTATATGCCAAGGACAAGTGTGTATTTTGCTAAAGATGTTCCATTACCGAAATTATTAGAAGAAATGTCAAGAGGTTTTGGAGGTGTTAGTTTGGATGGAGAAGAAAGTCATTACGTGTATGGTGGTGAAGTTGGTGCAGGTGGTACTGGTGTTGTTGGTGAAATGACTGTAGAGGAAAAATTGGATCAGGTTATGAGAGCTCTTGGAGTTGCTGATTCTTATATTAATGAATAACTATTAATTTCATTACAGAAAAAATTTTCAAGGATAATTTGCATACTTAATATTTATATTTTTTTGCATTTGCTTAAAATAGCATAATAGATTTTTTTTCTTTAAAAAAAAAATTCTTATTTAAAGAGCTGGATTCTTAAATATCTGTTTTAAGAAAAAAAAAAAAATTTTTTTATTTATATAATTTTCATAACATGAGCAATTTATTTTATTTTATTTTATTTTGTATTATTTTTTTGTGTATAGATTATTTTTATGTTTTTTTTAAAAAAATAGAATTGATTGTACTCTTTCATTGTATTATTTTTACCAATTTTTTAAGCACTTTATAAAAAAAATATTTATTTTTATGAAAAAAAATTAATTTATTGATAATTATGCGATATCATTTTTTTCCTCATAAATATTGTAGTACACAAATAAAAATAAATAAATAATATCAAGGTATATATATATATATTCTATACTATCATAACACGATACTTTTACTATTATAATATTTAATCATCTAACAATGATTTACTTTGCTGTTGAGTTTGTTGATTATAAGAATAAGCAGGATAACTTGTTGCAGGTTGAAAATTCCCTTGTGGATGTTGTTGGTAAGTATTTTGTTGTGTTGCTGAAGTATGAGGATGATAATTTGCTTGTTGAGCTTGAGGATGATTATTGAATCCTTGAGTTTGGGCTTGTGATAACTGATGTGGAAGATATTGGTTTCCTGATGATGGCTGACTAGGATAGTATTGATTTGTCTGATTAGCATAATTATCAAATGATGGTTGGCGAAATTGAGTATGCACTTGTTGTGACTGTGGAGTTAAAGGCAACGATGTCAAATTTGTCGTCGGTTGTGATGATTGTTGAGAGTATTGGAAGTTCGTTGATGAGTAAGAAGGCTGCACTGGTTGTGGAGGTGTTTGAGGTGGTGTTTGTATAGCATATGTGCTTGACGGTCTTGATTGTTGAGAAGATTGTTGACCATGTTGTTGATAAGTTTGAAATTGAGAAGCTTGTGATTGTGGTTGTTGTGGTTGTTGTTGTGGTAGCTGATGTAGCTGTTGTGGTGTTAGCTGTTGCGGTGGTAGATGATGATGTAGTTGCGGCGGTGGTTGTTGATGTAGATGTTGTTGCTGTGGTTGTTGATGTAGCTGTTGTTGATGTGGTTGTTGATATAGCTGTGGTTGTTGATATGGCAGTTGTTGCGGTGGTTGTTGATATGGCAGTTGTTGCGGTGGTTGTTGATATGGCTGTTGTTGCGGTGGTTGTTGTGGTGGTAACTGTTGTGGTGGGGGTTGTTGTAACTGTTGTGGTGGTGGTTGCTGTAACTGTGGGGGTTGTTGTAACTGTTGTGGTGGTGGTTGCTGTAACTGTGGTGGTTGTTGCAACTGTTGTGGTGGTGGTTGCTGTAACTGTGGTGGTTGTTGTAACTGTTGTTGTGGTTGTAATTGTTGTTGTGGCTGCGATAGTTGTTGAGGCGGTAGTTGCGGTGGTCTTGTATACTGACCGTGAGTATGTAAAATTGATGGTGATTGTTGTGGGAGCTGCTGTAATTGAGAGATTGATGCCGGTTGATGTGAATTATACATATTATTCTGCTGCGACTGATATTCAGAAGGTATAGGAGGTATAGGTGGGCCTTGTGATTTTGGAGAGGAAGGGTCTGCCATATATATTGACCTTTGAGAAGAACCGGTTGAATAATTATTAGAAGAACCCAGACCTACTAAAGCAGGTGGTGCAGATGGTTTTGGAGGAGCTGTAGGAACATAAGGTGCTGAAGCAGTAGGGTACGAGTCTTTTCTGATAGGTGATATACTCGGTACATAAGTTTGGGATGTGTTATTGAGGTAATTGATAGCAGGATTGATTGTCAATTTATTTGTTCCTTCTGTCAGTTGAGCTATAGAATCATAGCTATTTATTGCTTGATTAGAAGATGGCGTATTTGGTAATATTAGTTTATTTATTTGATCTTTAACTCTTTGCTGTTCTTGATTTTGAATAGACTGTAATAATTCACTACTTTCTTTTTGACGAGCTATTGTAGTTTGATGTAAATTCTTGGAAAGATTTTCAATAAGATCATTCAAATCAGCATAAAATTGAATTCCCTTCCTATAATTTTTATCATTATTATTATAAAAGTCTTAATTATAAATAACAAAACAAAAATATCATGATTAATAAGTCAAGAGTTTACCTCAAGCCATCTTTAACCTCAAGGTAACCATCTTTTGCTTTTCTCAACCGATCACAAACAACTCTTTTTCCTTGTTCAGCATAATCCCATTTTGTTTGTAATTTTTTTGCATCATCATTTTCCATTAAGCTTTTATAATTAGTTGTCAAATCTTGTAATAAAACTTGTTGATGATGTATACTAGCGGTAATACGATTACGATATGGAGAGAATTTTTCAAGCTCAGTTGCAAAAAGTTGTGGTTCAATATTTTGTGACTTCTTATTGAGGATTAAAAGATGGGATATATCATCTTGATGTGTCTATATAATAAAAAAAAAATAATAACTATAAATACATATTAACTTTTTATCAATATAATTAATGATGATGATAATTTTCTTAACCTTATCTTTTAAATCATTTAATGTATCCATTCGTTCTTTTTTAATTTTATTTAAATTACTTAAACATTCTTCGACTTTATGTAATTTAGTATTAATATCTTCTTCAGGTTTCGATGTATCTACATCTAACAAACTTTCCGCGTTACTCACTCTCCTACCTCCTACAAATGTATCATTACTTAAAGAAAGTGATAATGCTTCTGCAAATATTTGTTCTAAATCATCACTATTTTCGCCTTTTTGTAAAATCACAATATCATTCAAATATTGATTATATCTTTGAAGCAGATGTTGATCAGAATTTGCGGCTTTTTCAAGTGTACTACTATGAGTAAGAAAGTCTTGTCGAAAAGAAGCAATAGGTGAAGCCTGTGTCCATAAATCACCATATTTTGTCTAAATTATTAAGTAATATATTGTTATTTATAATAAACTTTAGGAATAAGGGAATTGAATTATTATACAAAAAATTTTTTACCTTCATAGTGTCGTAGTCTCGATGATCATTTTCTAATGTTTTAAAAATTTCATCTAAACTTTCCTTCGCACTATTTTTTAAACCATTTAAATTTGTTTGTAACTCTAAAATTGTACCACTATGTTCTTCTTCTGTTTTTATCATTTGAGCCCACTGTTTAACTTCAAGACTGGGTGATGCCAATTCATTCAAATATCTAGATTCATCATTATTACTAGTCTTAAATTTTCCAAGAATTTTTGGTAATTTCATATATTCTAAAGCAGCTTCTAATTCGCTATTAGAAATATCACATCTTTCAGTTTCACTACGAACTATTTTAGCCTTTTCTTCTGAATATAATGATGCGGATTCATGAACTGATAATGGAATAAGTCGATGGAAAATATCTTGTCCAATAACTTTTTGAATTTCATTATTTCCATATAATTCTTGTATTGGCATTTGTTTAACTGCATTCAACTTATCTATAGGCGGAATTACACTTTCTTGAGGTACAATTTCATGGTACACAATATCATTATCCTTTGTAGCAGAAGTTTTTTTCTCCGTAATCAATGCAAGATTTGACTTTGTAAGTTCTTGTAATGAAGTTGCAGCATCTGGAGGGAGAGTTTGAGTTGTAGTTGGTGAAAAGGATGATACAAAACTGTTGGAAAGTTTATTTGCTTCTTTAGCCAATGTCTCCGCAATGTTGAGACGACCAACACATTCCCCATATTTACTCTCCCCTTCACAAGCCAAAGATTTTTGATATTGTGCAATAGATGAAAGATATTTTTGTTTTATCTGAATCAAAGTCAAAATAATTTTGGGTTACTGCAATTTCTGATATAAAATCAGTTTTGTAATATTTTGATATATTTTATGATGTACCTGACAAATCGTCAGCCAACTCCTGTCAAATACGCTACGACTAACAAGATCACCCATATTTTCAACAGTATTTCCGTAAGACCAACCAGCCTGAGCGGCTAATTTAGCTATCAAAGCAGGTTTATTTTTCACTAAACTTTGCTCTAAGAAACATTCTTGAGCCTGTGAAAGCATTAGTTGTGAAAGTAATTTTACAGTATCACGACTTAAATCAGTTGAAGGAGCGTGCAAAAAGTTATCATTTATATAAGTATACATTCCAGCTGAAGCTTGGAAAAAATTGAAAGCGCGTTTTAAACCTTCAGATTCGGATCGATTTTGTGAAGCAGCAATTGCAGATAAGACAGAAGCAATATTGAAAATTGTGCTTGCTTTTTCATATGCAAGTGAAAACTGAGAAGTAGATTTATGAGTAAAAGCATCGTACCTAAAATAATTTCATATAATTCCAAAATATAAACCATCAAAAAATTCGTTTGTAAAAAAAAAATTAAATTTCATTATAATGAAAATTATTTAAATACCACGTGAAAGAAACTCTAATATGATTTTCATCAACAGGAAATCTTAAATCAAGTAACTCTAACTGGCCATAATATCGATATAATAAATCTCTTCCAGTTAGATCCTTACCAGCACCTCTCATATCTTGTCTTAGACGGTGAATTGAATTAGCCTCGTCTGCATATTTTTCTGGATCCTCTTGATATGTTGTTTGAATATATCTTTTTAGAGGACTTGCCCAATCAACTTCGTCTGTCCTTTTTGTTGGAACATGAATTGTTGGACTTTGGTTCATATTTCGATTATTAATCTAAATTAAAATATGTTTAAATAATTGTAAAGGTGGAGAACCGCAGTGAACTACTGCATTAGCACCGAGACCTTTATTAAGGTTACCAGCCACATGACTAAAATTGAGACAAGCACGTGAAACATTGATAAATGCTAAATCAGGTAGATCAGGTGAACACAATTCTCTTCATTACCCGTCAAGAAAAATTTAAAAAAAGTACATACAATGACTGAAACAAAACCACCAACCTCAAATGCTGGTGAAGACGTCCTTCAGTTTCTTGAAACATTAGATAACTATTCTCAAACAACTGCTACTAATCAAGAAACAGGAGGACAACCACCTGCTGATACTCAATCAGTTCTTGATTTTCTTGACCAGTTTGCAAACGCTCAAAATAATAGTTCGACTAAAGGAGGAGATAATCAAAGTAGTTTGGCAGAACAACCGGAACAGCCACCACAACCACCTCCACAACAACAAAAACAAAACCAACAACAAATATCAAGTGAAACTCAAGAACAAAAACAAGAAGGAGCTTGGTCTTGGGGAGGTTTATTAGCATCAGCTTCTACAGCTTATAAGACAGCAAGTACTGTTGTTGATTCTTCTGTTAAAGAAGCATTAGCTACAGTTGAAAATGTACGTACAAATGAAGGAACTAAGAAATTTGAAGAAAAGTTTCGCGGAATTCTAAATAAGGAAGCAATTGGAAAAATAGGTTCATTATGTTCATTATTCATTTTCAATCATTTCATTTAATGATTTGTTGGTTATTTATAATCTTTATTATTAGAATTATAATTTAACATTCTTTATTATTATTTTAAAGGAACTGATCTAAGAAATCTAGGATTAAGTACTCTTACAACTGTAGTCAATGCTGTAGTACCTCCGATTTCACAATATGAGATAGTGGAAGTATGGTTAACACATGATATGGTAGGATATGTTGGACTAGAATCCCTTGTGTATAGAGCATTTATGAAAATAATGGAACAGGTTGAGGGTGGAGATATTGTAGTAAGAAAAGGCAATGAATCAAAAAGTTATGATTCGGAAGATGAAGTGCACAGAGAATTAAATGTTTGTGAAGGTTTTATTGAAGCTGGTGGAATTGCAAAGGTAATTAAAAGGTTTTTATATCTTATCTGATTATATGATAATTGATTAATAAGAATTAACCATTTTTAGGCTAATATTGAACAAATGATCAAGAAACATTATAAACCACCCCCTTCAATAAATGAAAAAATAAAAGAACAAGATCAACAAGAGTTACTAAGAGATATTCCAACAACAACTAGTCCCGTTTTCATGGCAATTCAACCCACAAAAGCAAATCCTTGCTCTTTACCAACAAATAGCGAAACATCAACGGATTCTGAAAAATATCTATTTTACGTTATTGTTCTCACTGATCCAACTCATAAACTAACCTTTAAGACTGTCTCACAAGCATTACCTGTTAGTTGGTTAGATATTCCCCATGAAGAAAATGAATGGGTTGAGTTAAAAATGGTTCAAGCGATAAAATTAGCTGTTAAAACAATTGCTCAAGAATATGTTTGGCATCGCATGACAGCCAGTGAAGAACATCAACAAGAGAGTCAACCATTAGAGGAAAAACAAGAATAAAAAATCTATTTTACTTTGACTTAATTGTAATTATATATAGTATATGTAAAATATTTATTAATTATTAAATAATTTACAACATAAAAAAACAAAAAAATAAATAAAAATATAATATTATTATAATTATAAATAAACACAATAAATACTCTTTTACAGAATATTGAATACAGATAGGTATTAATTATATATTATCTACGTCTCATTAGTTACATTGGATATTGGTATGAGTTCAAATAATATCGTTGATGAATTTTATAATGACAAGAACAAGATTATAGTGAATTTGAAGAATTTTTCGCGTGAGAAAATTTCCATAAAATCATTTCATCTTTAGAACTAAATGAAGAAAATGATATATTTTAATAAATAATAATAAAAAAAAAATTAATTTAAGAAATTATTTAAATACTTTTCCAATTGTTCAAGGTCATTCGATAATTCATCAACGAGAGATTCTGTTTTATCGTATTGTTCTAACAAAGATTTCAGATCTATATTTGCGATCATGTCTTTATCGTTACTTTAAAAAAAAAAGAATTTGTAAAATTAATCAATAAAATCAATATAAATTAAATAAATTTAAATCAAATCGTCATCCGTACCTTACATCTACATCCATAACGTCTTCATCCTTACCTAATGTACCGCGCTCATCTAATATCATTAGTGATTTTTGAAAATTTGGAACCACTATTAATTTTTACCTTGATTACGCGTATTATCTAATATTCTCCAAGGAAATCCATTTTGTTGTTTTAAATCATCTATCTTTTTACAAAGTCCATGGATTTCTTGTATCGCTTTATTTGCTATAGTATTTAATATCATATGTTAAATAAATCAAATTTCTTATGCTTATGTAAAAATAACGCATAAATTTACCTTCATCATTTGCTTTATCAAGAGCTTTATCATCATCATCAATCACGCGTCGTAATAAATTATAGATTTCACGTATTGAACCAAATGAATGAGTAATACTTTCTGTTATAATCTCATATACATTTCTAATAATTGATAAATATAAATTTCAATTAAATAAGATCAATATATTATTTAAAATAATTTAATAATTTAAATAAGATTTATTACGAACAATAAATTTTCTTCAAGAGCATTATTTCTTTTCGTGATATGTTCATTATATAATAAAGTAGATTTCCGAACATCGATTGCCTTTTTCAATCTAACTTAAATCACGATAAATTTATTTGAATCAGATCACTCAAAAATGGTTAACAATTCATTTAACCTTGATATTTCATTTCGATATTGCTCTGATTTTTGTTGCATCAAATATATACGATCATGACATTTCAAATCTTCCTGAGAACTCGATTCATTTTTTTGTTGAGGAAGATTCAATTCATTATTTTGTGTTGAAGGACCTGTGAAAAGAATAAGTGTCAAAAAAGTAATAATTCTAAAAAGTTCAGTAGAATATATTCGTCTATATAATAAATTATTAAAAAAGGTATTCAAGATACGCAAATAAAAAGGAGTAATTACGCGATATAAATTTTTGTTGGAATGAACTATTAAGACTAGCAAGTGTAGTCCTTTTTTCCAAGTACAAATCGGGTTCCATAGTAGAGAATCGAGTTAATCAGATTCGAATTTCGAATTTTTTTTTTTTTTTTTTACGGATTTACGGAAAAAAGTTAGAATTTAAACGTGAAAACGACATATCAATCTGGTGTAACAAGGATAAGCTTAAAAATCATATGAAATGATTAGTATGATTAAAAAGTTCGAAAGTTCTTTTTTTAATCGTTAAGAAGAGTTAATAATTCAAACATGCTTAAAAAAGTTGTTATAACAGGAATAGTTGGAGTGGGTGGATTTGCACTCTACAAAACTTCTCTTGAATATTCAAAAAAAAATTCATTATCAACATTAACACGAGAAAAATATACTCCTTTAACTGTTAGTAAGATAACACCATACAATCATAATACAAGTATATTTCGATTAAAATTTCCAAAACCATTAAAAGAACCATCTCCAATTGCTTCTTGTGTGCTTCTTAAAGATGATTCCTCACAAATAATGAGACCATATACACCAATTAGTCTTGTTGATGAATTAAACCATATTGATTTAATGATAAAAAGATATGATAATGGACATATGTCTAAATTGGTTCATAGTTTGAAAGTTGGTGATAAGATTGACGTTAAAGGTCCTATTGTTACTTTACCTTATAAAGCGAATATGAAAAAACACATTGGAATGGTATATTTATATACATACTTTTTTTTCATCACTTTACTTTGATAAACTAAATAATTTTTTTTTTTAACATAGATTTGTGGTGGAACAGGGATAACTCCAATGTATGTATTTAAAATCTTGGATTCTTTATTAGACAACATTCTAATTGTTTACACTTTTAAAAAAAACGTAGGCATCAATTAATCGATTGTATACTTCGAAATCCAGAAGATAAAACAAAAATATATTTAGTTTATGCGAATATAGCAAAAGAAGATATTCTTCTTCATGAAGAGTTGGAACAATTATCGAAAGAAAATCCCGAACAGTTTAAAATTTATTATACACTTGATAATCCACCAAAAGAAAATTGGACGCAAGGTACTGGATTTGTAAGTCAGAAAATGGTAAAAGAAAATATCCCTGCTCCAAGTGATGATGTTCTTGTATTAGTTTGTGGTCCAGGAGGGTATGACATATTTTTTTCCGTTAATAAATTTATTATTATTATTATTATATGTTCTTATTCGTAAAAAAATTTGATTTTATTATAGGATGATGCGTCATATTAGTGGACCAAAAGCACGTGATAGGTCTCAAGGACCCGTTGAAGGTATATTGAAAGAACTTGGATATACTCAAAATCAAGTGCATAAATTTTAATATGGGAAATACTGGAAATACTGTGACTGTATATGAGACAAATTTGGTTACCCTTTTTTTATAATTTTTTTTGAAATTCATTATTATTTATTGTTGACATATGTTTATATAAGTATTTTATTTCTGAAAGGATTTAATCCTTTATCCATTGAATTTATAATAAAATAAATATTGTAAAAACTTGTAATTGTAAGGTGAAAAACTATAATATTAATATAAAGTTACAAATAAATAATAATATATCCGGTAGTTATAAACAAACTTATATAATATCATTTTTTTATTTCATTATTTATTTTTTTGATTAAAATTGATAACATTATTTGAATTTCTTATCCTAATTAGAAAAATTAAAATATAAAAAGTATAATTAATATTATTGTCAATTTTTATTTTTTTTTTTACACATTGTTACTGTACAGCAATCTTTAGAGTATAATTTTGACCTAGTTTTCTGGCATCAAAGACGAATTTGGCCAAATTTTGGTTATTGATCAACCTTCGGATTAAAAAAAAATAAAATAAAATAAACAAAAACCCCTAATTGTTAATATAATTAATTCATATAATACAAGTAATATATTATTTCTTTTACGATAATAAAAGTATATATATATTCGGCTTTTAATTATATAGTCAACTCTTTCACTATATAGACTATAATCGGGTCATGGGAAAAATCAAAATATTCGGTATAATATTTTTTATTATTTGATATACAATTATTTCAATTTTTTTGGGGCGGACCTGAATTATTATTTATTCGAAGAATACTCAATAATTATCTTACAGTATAACAAAAATTAATATATATGCAATTTTATAATTTTATAATTCGGAATTTGGTGTACAATAATATTTAATTAATAAATTTTGGAAAAAGATTTATGTACCATACTGAAAATCCATTCGTTGTATCAAAATAATTATTCGTTAAAATAAAAATTCGGTTTATGGCAAGACCGATTGTACGAACATGAATAAATAAATTAGGACAATGCAGGGGTAATAATGTTTTGTTTTAAATTATAAAGTTTTGATCCATTTGATCTGCGAGAAGAGTTAATTTAGTTGCAGAAGTTTTCTTTTCTTTTTCGTTTAACAACGTAAAATACTTAAATTCAAATTAAAAAATTTCTTACAATAATATAAAGAATAAACATTTCTTTAAAAATATCTTCTGCAAATAATTTAATTCTACATAAGGTAATTGTTTTTCGTTTTAAAAGATATAATAATTTGATTGATCAATACAATTTAATCAATTTAATAATAGCAGAATCAATTATAATATTTAATGAAATTGATTGGATTTGATAATACGTTGTTGAAACATTAAATATAACATACTATATTTGTTTATACTTTGTGTTATAGTCAAAGAATAATATTTTCGAGAGACATCTTATTTAATTGTGCAACATGACGTGCCGAATTATCTGCAACTATAAATTGTATTGATTACCAAGTTTAGAGAAACACGAAAATTGAATTAAAAATACTCTTACACTCTGATTTGACGACATCAATTATCGAATTTGTTGAACTTGTAGGTACGATTTCTTTTTCTTGCATATCTGTAGAATATGATGTCAAATCAGAACCATCCATATTGCCAGAATGAATGATCACATCCTCCATGTTTATTACATTCTTCACATTTTCGTGAATATTAATAATATTAATAATTTTATTTGGTTAATAAAACAAAATAAAAATGCAATTAACATCTTACTTGAGATGGGTCATATACATGCTCAAATGAATAACGATGTTCAGATGTTTCTTTTGTAATTTCATTAGAAAATAATTGATTCAAAGAATTAATTTGTATATATTTATCCTGTGGAATTCGATCAACAAGAGTGTTAAAAGATTCATTTATTTGAGATAAAATAAATGATGATTGTTTAGAGATTTCATCCTTAATGAAATTTTGATATTTTTCTCTATTTGCTTCCACTAAATAAATTTTAATTAGTTGAATAAAAATGATTAGTAAAAAATCATTATATAATTTATTATTTACATGAACGCGCAAGTATCTCTTCGACACGTTTTTCCAAAGCTTTCTCATGCATATTAATTTGATTGGTCATAGTTTCTCGGAAAGTATTTAATTCTTCTTTAATATTCATTATATAATCATGATGTTGATTATGTAATGTCGTAAAATGATTAAGAATATTATCGATTCTTGTCAATAATTTATTATAATCAACAATACTAGGAGCTAAAACGCAATCGAATAATTTGGACAAATTGAAATCATTAACAGGTTTATTTTGATGATTACATGAAGAGCAAATATTCTTATCAACTCGCTCTTTGTTCTGTAATTCTACAATATTCGGTTGAGACAAGTAATTTGACAAAAAATTAGATTGTGTCAAGAGATCATCCATCGTTCTAGGACGTTGTTTATCGTACGATGGCTTTTTATTAAAACAAAAATTTTAAAAATTTGAGGGTTTTCGAATTTTTTTCTTTAAAACATGAAACATGAAACATACTGTAATACCTGATATGTTTCTTGTGAATTAACATGAAAACAATGAGGATTTTTATTTGAACTATTCCAATCAAAGTTTAGTTGTTGAACGAGTAGTTCTCTTTCAGTTAACTCCATATTTAATTGTTTACCGTATTTATCGTAATCTTTTTTAAAAAGGGTAAAAAAATTTGTTAAAAAGTGATGATCGACAACGTACATATTTATAGTGAGTCTAGACGCGTTTTTTTTTTTAAACTAATCAGTAATAACGCGTTAAGTAAAATGCGCATCATCTTTTTATTAAAAATATTATGAAACGCTTTAAAAAGTTAGTATAAAATATTAGTAGGCATAAAAATTAAAAATGCGACTAACGAATAAATTGAAATAATTTGTTAATGGTTTCCAAATTGGTAAACTCGGGATTCCATAAAAAGCAAGTAAATCTTTTTAATCCATTTTCTTCTATATTACGAAATTACTTCTGATCTTCAAAGCGTGAAGATCAAAAATAAGTATCAGGTATATTAAAATTGGAATATGAAATAATTTAAGAGAGATTCATTTATAAAAACTAACCTAATGAGTAATGAGTGGGAGACTGCGGATCCTAATCAGCAAAAATATCTTGGAAAGGAAACATTTAAACAATAAAAATATCTATTTAGATAAATTAAATGATAATTATTTCATTGTGTTGTGATTATAACATCTGATCTATAATGAAATATTTTTAATTTAATATGAATTTGGTAAATATTACAAAGTGGAAATTTGCCAATCTATGTGTGAGTGTATATATAATACAGTATATATATCATATATATGTATATATATGTATATATATATATATATATATATATATTAGTAGATAACTGTACGTGGGAAAAATCAATCAATCAGTTAATGATATCATAAAAGATAAATTTGGCGAATAATCTAAATAATGATTATAATGGGATGAAGAAATTTATCACGCCAGTTACCATCACGCCCATTTAAATAATATTGTTTACTGTAATTTTTTTTTTTTTTTTTGATTTTAAATCCAAATGAAACTTGAATTGGATAAATAAATTTGACACAATATATTTTTATATTATTATGTAATAATTAAACTTCAAAAAGGCTGATGTGGGGAAAGTATGAAATACTTTTTGTTATTACATATGAATATGAGATCAATATGTTCGTAGATCTTATTCAATTATGGTTATATGGATTATCATTCTGTGTAAACGAATAAAGAAAAGTAAAAAAGGCGCAAAATAAAAACGCATATAACCGAACACAATACACAACATATGATGCATTCAACAGGCTTATAAGACGTAATTTCAATGAGACGATTAAAAATCGATTTCGTCATTTTCCTTTCATTTTATGTACCATGTGGTTAATTTTTTTTTTTTTAACAAGTTTCACCAAGAAAAAACAAAATAATTTTTTTTTAAAAACAATTGTGTGAGAAAATAAAAAATCTTCTAGAATGAAAGAAAAATATATATATAAATAATACTTCTTTCTCTTTTTTAGCCAAATTGGAAAGATAATGAGAATGAAATTTTTCATTTTTTACATTTTATTATTATACATGCACTTTTTTTTTTCTTTTCCTTATTATTTTCCAAATTTAGTTATATAAATATAAAATAAAATAAAGTCTTTTAAAAAGAACCAGTCATTTTAATAATAAAAATACTTTTGTGAAAGCGTTGTGAAAACGTTGTAAAAAAGCGTTATAAAAAGTGAGAATGTATGTGTGTAATCGAATACAACAAAAAAAAAAAAAACTATAATAGACAAACAAAGCTGTATGATATTATGATTTATTATCCAAAAAGTAATTTGAAAAAGTAATATGACAAAATAGTGATGAGCGAATGTCCAAACTTGTAAAAATGGATTGGAGGGAAATGTAGTAATTGGATAAAAAGAATTCCATCACTAAATCCAAATAAAGAAAAAACAATTCCAACTTTGGAATTCTGCAAAAAACATTTTAAAAATGATTAATAATTACAAATTATGTATAATATTTATTTATGTATGCTATGTATGGCTCATGTATGCGACGTTCAAATGATCTTCTACAATGTTTTAATTAACTTCGATTCATTATGATTGATTGACAATCAATATAATCAATTGAAACCCGCAGTTCTTAATTATCATGTCGTGTCAATTAAGACTTTATATGTCTCATTCCGTGTGAATCTTTCTTTTTAACATGTTGTGTATACGAGATAAATTTTTGTGATATGCTTATTATTTATTTATTATGATTAAATGATTATTAGATAAATAAAGTATTATTTTAAAAAAGAACTTCTATTCTTATTTCTATTTTTGTGTTTATCGTTTATCAAAAAAAAAAAATTTCACCACATGATCATCGGAATTGTTTTTTTTATTTTACTCCAATTTTTCTTTCTACAACTTTCTAGTTTTCGAGTAGAAAATCCCTTCCTTATTCGAATTTCCAAGACAGAATTCTTTTTTTCCCTTTTTTTTTTCAAAAAATGAAACTAATCTGGAACTAATCTGGAACTTTAAAAAAAAAAGTAATAATTATAATTATGTAAAAATTATCATGCAATTCCTAAAATGTTACACCCTGCGGAAACTTGTCCGTTTGGTTCGAATAAAAAGAAACGATCACACTACATTTTGTCTTTTTTTAAAGTACAAATTTGCTTTGTCCCATTAAATATTCCCATGTAATAAACACGCTCTGTTTTGTCTCGTCTTTTTTTTAAAATAATAATAATTTTTTTTTTTTTTTTTTTTTTTTTTTTTTTT